ATTTTAAGTGACTTTTTCGTTCAAGCTAATATTTACAGAGTTATATGTTTCTAAGTCTTACATATTTTGTCTCTCCCTCTCAAACTTGAAGAATTAGGTAAAAAAATTATTATAATAGAGTTTTTAAAATACTTTCAACGAAAATTATTACGAATAAGTACTTAAGTAATTTTAAGATAAAGAATATTTTCTGTATCACGGGTTTAATTTTAGTGTTACATCTCCGCAAGCCTCAGTGTGCGAGTCAGACTTACACTTATTCGTAAAATATATTAATCTTCTGTACGGTTCAAGATAAATAGTAGAGATCGGACTTCGTTACCGATTTCCTGCAATTGAGTATCGTTTAGATTTCACAGCGACCTTCACTCATACAATTACGTTAATCTGTATTATGTTTGTGACGCACTTTGTATTGTATTGTAATCATGATTTTACCAGGCTGCGTGTCGAATTAATAGTGCATCGTTTTTACTTAATAATATGGAAGTATAATACTATATCTATATTTTGTATATAATCATCAATTTACTTACTATCTTAGATTGAGGCGAATTTTTAACATCTATCTAACTTCTTCTATATAAATAAGAATCGTGTATGTATTTTTATACTCTATGCGTTCCTAAAATATTCATTCCCAAGGATGCACCCGAGCAAAGAAAGGTTAAATAGCTAGTTTTAAATAAACGATTATTGATCTTAGGGGTGGTTACTCTTCATGCCATTATTACATATAATTATATGTTATTTATTTAATTTTGATATATTTATTTACCAATACAACTTTTCATTCATCAGAAATAGATTCAAAGTTTCTGAATATTTGGATAGGCAGAATGATCGTGGTTTTCATTTTATAGTCGATAGCAAAGTAGGTATGCCCCAGATCCTCCTTTTGTTCTTCTGTTGCTTCGTTTTTTATTAACAGTAGTATAGTATTCTTAAATTTTATAACTTGCTCGGTCACTTACTATCGCTATTTTGGTTGTTATATTCTATTTTAGTCCCTATATTTGGTCCTCAATTATTTGATCAATTAAATAATTAAAAGCTACAGTAAGAATGTGACACAAAAACAATACCTATAAAATTAAAAACCGACTTCAAAAAAAAAAGAGAAACATAAAAGTAAAAAATAACTGATTGGTAGTTTTCATATACATACTTAATCAAATATTTTCGAAGTCGGTGCCAGCCGATACACAAAGAACACTATTTTTAGTGGTTTTTTTGTAGGCGATTTTTTAAGTTTTTATTTTTCCCTTTTTAGTGTAGGCATAGTAATAGGAATGTAAGAAGAAAGTATTTTAATAAAATATCGCTTAAGCCGTTTAAGTTAGTTTAATGCCACTTTTTATATGAAGACTGGCAAACTGAAATTCGCTTTTATTATTAACATTGAAAATTATGGCTCTAAAATTCCAGTTTAACGTATTGATTTGTCAAATCAAACAAAATAAGCTCAAACTCAAAATATTTACTATAAGCCGTTGAAGAATTCCACATATCCACCTTCTGGCCTAACCATCAGATCAGGATATATGTAAATCTATCAATGGAAATAGAAACACTTGCACATTAAACCTTTGGTAACTTTACATTCTTATACATTTGTAGGACAAAATCATATAGGGCATAGAATTCATATAGAGCTCAAAATTAGGAGAGGTCTCAAATTTCATGGCCAAGTCTTCGTGGCTTCTAACAATTTATTTGAAGAGGTGATAAGTTTTTAAAATATTTGAAAGACAATCCACTTGTAGTTTCATAGTGGTATGCTGCAAAAAAATAAACATTGATGACTATGTGATTTTTTCCGACGCTAAATATCTAATTTGATTTATTGGTCGTTTCATGATAGTTTTTCAGTACTTGTTCTTTTTAGTAAACCTAGTAAATCTTAAGTTCTTAGTAACTATTTTTCGATTTATTTATTCGTTAGGTACGTTTTAACGGTGAGTATGGATAGATTATATATCATATGATATATAGCTTTACTCAATAAAAAAAAAACTTCCTCATTCATGCATAAAGAATTTTTCAATTTAGCAGTAGTAAGTAGTTCCTGAGATTAGCGCGTGCAAATAAACAAACTGCATCTTTGTAATACCATATGTATATTACTATCAGTGTACATAGATTATTATTTGTTAAAATGGATTTAGAAGAAAAGAAGCTGTTAATTTTAGTTATTATTATAAATCTTTTGAAACAGTCTAAAATTTTACTCCCTCGCCTCACTGCGTACGGATTTTATAATTGAAAGTAATACTAAAGTACTTTTAAGCTGCAGGATTGAGACTTAACTATTATGAATATTATTTCAGTAAGAGGTGCTCTAGGATGCTTACTCATGCATTAGTTTCAATCTGCATCATTATTTTGTATTGATGGTCTCAGGCCATGGTTACTTACATAAGAACACAAAAGTTAAGCAAATAATAATATAAATTATTCTTATGAATTTTGGCCCAAGTGTTATATTTGTTGAAAATATTTATAATATTTTATACAAAAAGCCATGTCCTTGTGACGATTACAGCTATGGCTGTGAATTTCACTGATACTAGGCAAAAGCGCAGGAGATATTATGTTGCACAAGTGTGAGCACAAACACAAGTGCACTCTACTCTTTTCTTTCGTAAAGTCCGGTGGGTTAATAATTCGACACGAAAGGCGAGAGTTAAGGCGCAGGGCCGACTGTTTTACGCGCTATCCGTGGCACGGGACTGTAACCCCGCCAACTTCCTAACTCCGGGCCGTTACTTAGGCTATCTTGATAGAAACCATCAATAATAATTATAAGACATGAGACTTGAACACAGGGACAGACAGATATTTATACTGCTAGACTATCGTTTACGTTACGTTAATATTTTTTACTTTATATCCAACTTATTGCTACATATATCACGTTACCAAAGTAACACATCTGCTTATAGTTAAAAACTAATTGCAGATGCACGAAAAAGAAAAAGAATAAACTCTTGTAAATGCTTAGTGGCTTAACCACAAAAACCCTCAGCACGCTAGCGCGTAGGCCTGTGTATATTATATTAAGATTTATAATATTACATCATTATACCGACATACTTAAATAGGTTTTATATTTTTTATTAACATTAATCGACACTTTCGCTGTGTAGGTATTCGGCCATAATTTGGATCGCTTTCTATAATATATAAAAATATTGATCCAGTAATATATTAAAATTCTTAGTTAGCTAATAAAATGAATTCGGAGAATAATTCATACGATTTCTTATTGACAACAACATCATCATCCCTACATTTTTATCAATAATAACGTAACATTTTGTCTATGAAATTTACTTGGTAATAAGTGCGACTATTGCAGTTGGCTCGTCTGACACGTGACTCATTATTTGCGCTCATGAAACTTATATTTATCGTATATGTATCAAACCCTTAACTTCTGACTGCGTGTATAACTTGATTTTAATTAAATTAATACGCATAGATTAACACATGAAAAGAGTATGGTCATTTTTATAAAAATGCTATTTACCTTTTACTTTTAACTATAATTAATAAGTGTAAAGTTACTTTTGACAAGCTTTTTTATTGAATTTCATCAGCCCGGGTCTGTGTAATGGAATCTTGCAAGTTTAATTTCACCCATTTCCCAGTGTCTGATTGAGCTGAAATTTGGCACGCTAGTTTGGTTCCCGATACAATGCGCGATTGCTAAATGCTGCCATTTTTAATTCAATATGGCGGAAGTTACAAAATGGCCATTTATCTTTTCTAAAGTGTCTCTTATCATATGAGCATTTAATGATAGGAAATTAAAGTCTAGAATAGCAAATGAAAGGGCTTGATGAGCGAAAAACAATAAATAACGTGAAGGAATGTAAATCCAATATGGCGGCCGCCGCAAAATGGCGATTAATAATTTCCACATAAACCCTATGTATCACGGAAAAAAGATGAGTAAAGTGACGTCATTGTAAATCCAATATGGCGGACGTCGCAAAATAGCGATTTGTCATTACAAACTTTTTTGCACTTGTCCCAGTATCTGTCAGTCTAGGTATCTGTCTGTAATCAAATATTGCAAGTTAAATTAGACTAAACTTCATTCTAAACCCAATATGAGTCACAAAAATATTTTTTTATGCATTCCCATGATATGGATTAGTACATATTATAAAAACAAAGTCTGTCTGTTTGCGATAAACTCAAAAACTACTGCACTGATTTTCACAAATAGGTAGAGTGGTTCTCAAAGAAGGTTTTAGTATATAATGTGTTAAGTTTTTGTTTACATTGGCTAAAATATAACGATATTTGTTGGAAGTGTCCGGAAAAAAATAAGCCGTCTGGGAGCTTTCAACGAAAACGCTGCCTAAACCCTTTGAGATATAACAAAATAATGTATGGTGGAATTGTGTATCTTATATAGGTCTGCAGAAAAGTCCGCAATAGCATATGTCTATCTCTCAAGGATAACATACTATATCCATTTTAATGTAAAACGTACCTAGGGACGAACCCCAGCGAAGCGAGGGTGAGTCGCTAGTCTTTTTAACAGGCTCCAAAAAGAAGGAGCTTATTTATATTTTGGTTATTTATTTGCAATACATTCTGAATTTATATTTATATTCCCAGACGTTATTATTTTGTTTGTCAAAACAAATATATAATACGTTATAAACATTATTACAAAATTTAAAATTTTCTAGCTCATTAAATGACTGGAACAGACAATGACGCTTTCGCGTTGTAACAGTTCTCTCGAACATAATAGGCTTCTGTCCTAAGCCTTTTAATAACGATGTTAGAGCTATATTTCACTCAAATACGTAACTATTGTTTCATTCCCTATATTTGAAACTTTTCTACCAGTTCCACTTAATGCCTCTGCGCTTTTGTATTACAAAGTAAAAACTGTTCATCAAGTTTTTGTTTACTCTGGTAACACAAAAGTTTGAATTGTGGTTGCGCAAATTAAAACACTTTATTTATTGTTGCAGAGGCTCTCCTGCAGAGTCGGCCCTTGCCGCATATCCCAGATTTGCCGGATGGTGAAGGTGCCTCCGCCGCGCCAGCCACGCCTCAGCCTCTTGACTCCGCCAATAGGTCTAACATATTTTATAACAATCCTGCTACGAGTATATCTTTCTAATTCATAAAGACACATTACTTTCTTAATTACGAATACATCCCATGCGATAGATTTAATAAATTGTTTGTATTCCTTTCGTAGGTATATTCAGTCGTTTCTTTTCATTAAAATTACGAAATATTTATATATGTACTGTATAAAAGTAAAAAGAAAAATACAACTAAATTAAACTATTGTTAATATATATTGTCGTTTTCAATTAATCGTCGTTGATTTCAATTAATAATGATAAACTGCTGTATTTTACGTTTTTACGTAACGTTTTGTTAAATGCCAAATCATATAAACTTTGAATTATAAGAATTTTACGGGTTTTACAAAACTAATGATATGTTATTATTGTAGGTAATTTAACTATGATCTCGATATTTAAAATAACTATTTTGCGCTCTTTTTAGTAACTTTCTAATGGTAATCATTCAGTTCTGAATTATATTTGTGACAGATGGACCTCAAAAGAAAATTTGTTAGCACATCATGAAGAAGATGACCCTCAACTGTTTGTTGCGCTATACGACTTTCAAGCGGGAGGCGAGAATCAACTTAGCCTTAAGAAAGGTTTGCAAATCAAAGTTTTAATTTTGTACCGATGATAAAAGCTATATAATAATAACATATAACCATGGAATAAAAAAAAAGTTGTTGTCATTGACACTGCTGACTGTTCCACATAATAATTAAAATATTACAAATTTAGTGTAAATGTAGAATAACTGATACCTTAAGCGTTTTTGAAAAGTTCACGTAGGAGAGCTGCAAATGAAACAATAATTACGGAATACCATAAGATATTCTAATTTATATTCAAGTCTTCTCCTGTAAAAAAAAAGAACGTAGATCTATACGGGTGGCAAAGGACAACAATGTACGTAGACAAAGCTGCTGTACGTTGATAGTTGTCTTGCATAGTCCGCCGCATCAGTATGATATGGCGAGACTTTATGTATGTATTTTAAATTTAAAGAAATTCCAATGGCGGGAATTCGCTTGTTGCAGAATCCATACTTCATTTCCAAAGAATTTCAGTAAGTCCAATAAACAGCGGCTTCGCCCTAGGGACTTTTTCGATGTGGCATTTTCTATTTAAAAGTTATATTTTATGATCATATTTATTCAACCGTTTTAAATAATTTCAATATTCCCTTGCATGCAAAAACTTCTCCATTAATGAAGTAAACTTTGCATTAATAATAATATCTATCAGCCCAGCTTATGTTTATTATTATTTATTAGGTATATTTTGGATGTCATCTGAATAAAAAATAATAATTATGCATTAATTATTACATTTCATAATTAATGCATAATTATATGCAATAAAATTATTATGTATCTTTAACGAGTTTATAATTTAATTCTAATCATTTTTTGTCGTTCGCATTATACTACGTATTAACGAGTGGAACGACCTCGATGTTTCTCCTGCTCATGCTATAGATAGCATCTTATTTATTCAATTTCGTATTCATTTAAAAAAAATGATATCATTTATTAATATATTTTTGAGTCGTATATTGATGACCTTCAAATTACCATTACTCTATTATTAATTGTATTAATCCTGTGCTGTCTGCACGTACGTCGATCTGACTGGCCTACTTATAAAGAATAATAAATTAAAGAAAATACTAGACATAAGAAACGCGTTTTGAAGTTATTTGCCTTAAACGAAAAACGGTAAAACATAGGCAATGAACTTAGTGTGATTATAACTCACATCCCCTAAGGTGTAATGCTAAATAGTAAAAAATAGTCAAGTGTAAGTTGGATTGGTGTGGGCGCAACAGTGCTAACAAATATTTATTTGTTGGAACTCTCAGTGCGTGAGTTCTACTGACATGGATTTATATTTTCCATATTATCTGATTGATTCTATACTTTGTTACTTATAACATAATAGCGATTGGACTCTAACACATAATTTACATAGTATTTTTTGATTCGAAATATGGTATTTTGGAATTAATCTACGTATTGATATTATTTGGACGTAAAATAAAATAATGTATCGGCAATTATGTAATGTAATGATCCATGGAAGTTCTAAAACGATTAGTTGTACATATTCGCTCCAAGTATTTATTAACAATAATAAATGTATGTAGTAGTGGGAAACAATAAACATGTCCAAAAATTATGTTTATCAATGTCCTGTTTCTTGGTGACACAAGTTTTAAAGTTAATAATTAATTATTACAATTATACTAGCAAAACTCGCGGCTTCGCTCGCGTTAAAACTACAAAAAATATATTTTATGGCGTTATGTTATCTATACTAATATTATAAGAGGTAAAGTTTAGGAGTGTGTGAGGTTGTAGAGGGTAATCTCTGCATCTACTGAACCGATTTAGATGAAATTTGGTAAGAAGATAGTCTGAGACCCTCGGAAGGGCATAGGCAAGAGCATTGCAGGAGGTCTGGTGGATTAACACTTCTAAGAAACTTCACAGTTCACTATACTGCTTCATCTATTTACGTCAATCAATCACGGTATCGACAAACTTAAATTCTATTGCTGGGTAAAGGATTTAAGCAGGATGCTATTAGAAACATTAGCACTGATGTCTTTAGGGATTATTGTAGCACGTGCACATAGCCAACCAATCAAAGAGTTCGTTTGTATATTAGAAACATCAGGATACACTCTAGCTAGGTTCTCTCTCTCGCGCTCTCTAAGTCTGTTATAATTGTCGCTGCTGTTGCCAGTCGAGAAGTAATACATAATTTTACTTAGGATTTGAAATAATCTCTTTTTCTATTTTTTGTTCCACACATTACTCTACTTAAATATATTTCGTACGGGGATTTCAACTCGGGTTTGATTGATAGGTAGTGTAAACGCAGCGTAATCCGTTTTACCCTATTTAGTTGTCGTTCATTTTCTGCCACCCATTCTCATACGCAATTCGGACACACCAATATGACTATTATCATTATCTGTCGCACGCGGGTCATCAGAGCGGTTTTCATGTGAGGTAGCTCGTCGCACATTTGATAGACTACGACAACCCATGTCGGCTTTTCTCCTCCTTGCCATTGAAATAAATATTCAAAAAATGACACAGAAATGTTTTCACAGTCATCAATTTTACGAATTTTAACAACATAGCCTTGAAATTTTTTAAAATATTGACAAATTCAATCTTAAGATCTAATTAATTTTGACAGATGTCTGTCCCTTATTTTATTTTGCATGTATGCACGTGATACGTCCGCACAATAACCCATCTATTGAAAGTAATCCGAAGTAGTGATTCCCATACAAAATAAAGAGTTTTGAACTTTTTGATTATCCAGCTATTCTTTAGGATTTTCCTAATTTTCTTTTATACTTAAACGATCCCTGACACACCTCCAACAAAACAAAAACAAAGAGTTATTCAAATCAGTCCAGCCGCTTTTGAGTTTTAGCGAGACTAACGTACAGCAATTATTTTTTATTATACATACCTACTCGTAATCATTTTACGTAGTATGTGGTAATAAGAAAATAACCTTAGCTTAACAGGCATTAAAATAGTTTAGGTTCATATTTCTGTGTTTTAAAAATTAAATCAACTTAAAAGTTATGCAGAAAATGAGTTTTAAAACAAATAATCATATCTTAAAAAAAATAAGATTTTTGGTGTACCATTAAAAAGTCTTTTAGGAAAATGTATGTCATAAGACTTTAGACAACATCTTAGCCATTATCGTCTTGCTAAGCCGGGTTATGGATATTATGTCAACAAGAAGCACTATATATGTATGATGTATATTTTTTATACATATATTTTTTCGCGTATTTCGCTACTGCTTATTTATTAAGCTATTTTCTAGGATCAAACTATTTACAGAATCCACAATATTTATTTAACATTCATTTTCATTTCTCTCTTACCAGTATTATGTGTAAACTTGCCTTGAACTTCTATTAATTAACTATAGTTAAATGTATAATAATCTATATAATTTTAATCTATCTAAATCCGAATGGAGGTATCAGGAGCTTATATGAATTTCAGGCACATCCAAACAGCAATTTCTGCATTATAAAATTGCCTATGTCACGGGACTAGCTTCTGCATGGTAAATGATACCAAGCTTAGCCTACGAAAACGTTTGTTTAAAAAAAATAATGTTGATACTTCCATCATTGCATTCATAATTTGCATCTCATCACAGATTCGGACCTTTTCAATCGAAAAGATTGAAATATAATCTTGTCCCATTATAATTGTCCCAGTACATTTCAGTAGTTGCTTCTAATTTTTTAAATCGAGCAGTTCAGAGCGATGTTTTAGAGCGAGTTACCAGATTTTCTTGAGTGAGTTTTCGACACACATTGTCTTATATCATGTTGAATAACTTTATCGGTAACTAAAATATGATTAATAAAACTTGCATTTTTCAATAAATTTTTAATTGTAACGTGTGAAATGTATGTATAAATTAAATGAAGTTTTATATTTTTTAATGTTTTATATTAATATTTCCTTTTGAATTTTTTCCTAGGTGAACAAGTTCGTATAATGAGCTACAATAAAAGTGGGGAGTGGTGCGAAGCTCATACACTTTCTGGCGGCGTCGGTTGGGTTCCAAGCAACTACGTCACTCCAGTGAACTCCTTGGAAAAGCATTCCTGGTATCATGGGCCTATATCACGGAATGCTGCGGAGTACCTGTTATCTTCAGGGATTAATGGCAGCTTCCTCGTAAGTAGCATCTTGCTTTTTCTCTACATTTATGTTTTTTTATAATGAATGGTTACTTGTTGTTTTTAAATCATTTGATTTTATGTTTTATACACTATGTTGAAGTAGCATAAATATTAAATACACACATGTGTAGACTAGTATAATGTCCAGCCTGTGAATGATTCTATAGACATAAATTTAAGAAACTCTGGGAATACAATAAGTTATTTTAATAAAGTATCTTGATTGTGTATATACTCATATTGTGCATATACAAATATTATTAATAGGTACATATCCATTACAACGTATTATGTAAGTGTTATTCATTTGTCACGATAGGTACGCGAGTCCGAGTCTAGTCCTGGCCAAAGAAGTATATCATTACGCTACGAAGGTCGTGTCTACCATTACCGTATTAACGAGGACTCTGACGGCAAGGTAAGCGAACATGGAAATATATTTACATTTTCATATTTTCATGAAATAATACATATATCATGTGTACACTTTTCATATCAACTGACTGATAAAAATAACCTTATTAATTTTAATTTATTAAAGTTTTTTCTAAAACTTTCACTCGCTTACATTTAATAACCCAAATCCTACATTGTTATATTCGTGCTAAATTAATAACCAAAATCCTAATAGATTTTTAAAAGAGTGATAATCCACTAAAAATGGCAAAAATTTTAAAATTTATTGCTAATCTAAAACTGTTGAGGTACATTTAATTTTGAGAATTTAATATACTGTACATTTAACTGTGAGAATATAATATACCGGCATTTAAACTTTAGTGAGAATTTCAGCGATATATATATTAAAACGAAATTTCTATTTCATGAATTCTGACATCAGATATGATATTAATGAGAATATCTATCTTCCTAGTATCCAATGAAATACGCTTTGAGGATTTAATACCTACAAGAGTCTAAAGGGTATATTTGAATAGTTTGAAATTCAGCGTAGCCAGTAATTGGCACCTAGGGTGAGGTAGCCGGGGGATGAGGCGTCTACTCTGGCAACTGTGGTATTGTGCCATCGTTTCAACTTGACTGTCGTGTTTGAGTAGATTGTTTACCAAAGTTTCAATGAAATTCAACTCTATCTCTAATTGGATATGCATCTGTTATAAGGATTACGTATATTTTAATTAAGCATTGTTGCAAATGAAATATGGACATTAATTGGTTCTAAATAATTATTACTATGAATATTTATGTTATTGATTATCTTTTTCATTATATGGTATTACTGTTATACTGCAGTTGAAACAGGTTGTTGTATTTCCCCATCGAGATGTCCTATGAAAGATAGATACCTAAAGTTCCATAGAAACGGGACTAAGTGTTTGTGAGGCACACAAAATCACACAATACAATTACATACAAGCTCTTTTACCAATTGTTGTTTTGACTTGTACTCTCTTTCTGTATGTATTTGTATACGTCTGTAGGTATATAATGTTACTAATATTATAAATATGAAAGTTTAGATAGATGTTTCGTACTCAATCACGAAAGAACGACTGAACGCATCTGGATGAAATATGGCACAAAGATAGATTATAGTCTGAAATAGCACATAGGCTATTTTTTATCCTGGAAAAATGTGTAAAGCGAGGGTGAGCCGCTAGTTCTTAATAAAATGCTTCAAAGAATTTTAGTAATTAGCTACTTGTTTATGAGTAATTTCCAAATCCACTACCACTAAACACATACCTATCTTGGGCGGATTTCAAACCGTATCTTTGTATCTAAGCGGCGTATTGAAATGAAACCTCACTATCTTTTAGTTTAGATTGACCTATATAATAGAAAAATCGAAAAATGCCACGCCACTATTCAACATTTACTACAAATTAATTATTATACATAGATAATTTTTACTCCTATGGGATATAGACATAGTAAATTATATGACAATTACAAATAAGAACATAACTAACAAATGAAAACATGAATTATTCGTATGACCACTCATAAACATCTACTAAAAAGATACCCATAAAATTCAGTGCATTCATGCTCTCCATCAGGTGTATGTAACGTCGGAGTCGAAGTTCGGAACGCTCGCCGAACTGGTACACCATCACTCAGTACTAGGGGATGGTTTGATCACACAATTGCTTTATCCGGCACCGAAACGTAACAAGCCGACTGTGTTCCCCCTCGCACCGCCGGACGAGTGGGAAATAGACCGGACCGACATTGTCATGAAACATAAACTCGGTGGCGGCCAATATGGAGACGTATACGAGGCCGCCTGGAAGAGGTGCAATATGACGGTAAGTTCCGATTCGATTCGATTTAAATAGGTGTCATGTAAGTTTGCTGTCAGAAAAATTTGCCGTCTAGGTAAAATAGAACAGGTATAGTATGATTCGATAAGGTTTTTTGTTGAGCGGGAGAAGTGCTTTGAAATTATCAATATCGACAAATTAACTCTGAATGCAGCTATTATTAACGTTTGGGTATTTACCACATGGTACATCATCACTTTTAAATAGTAATTTGGTTGACATTCATTAAAGTCATGAATCTATTTAAATATAAGTAATAAAATAATGCATCATCTCGCTACATACCTTTTGTAATGATCTCATTATACAGTATGTATTGCGACTAAAGTTGTCATTTTGGAAAAGAGCTGATATTAACCAAGTATAGCTAAGAACTATAGCAAGGAAACCGGCTTTCAAATGAAAAAACCGCATCGAAATCGGTCGGCATATTGTAAATAGATACTTATTTTTTATGTAATTGAAGATTTTCAAAAAGTGGGGCAACTATCCGGCTTTTACCCTACATATAATAAAATTGTCACTAAGCCGAATCTGTACATTAAATATTTTTTGGAAACTTATTGAACAATAGACATATTAATACAGAGGCCGAATTTACAGTTTTTAGAATTTTTGTCTATCTGTCTGTCTGAGACCGCATCACGGAAACACCACTGGAGGAATTTTGATGAAATTTGGTATGATAATAGCTAGTTATTCGGGTTTTTAGCTCTGAGAAATTTATATTAAATGTTAAAACGTAAGTAGGGACGAACCCGAGCGGAGCGATGGTGAATGGCTAGTTTTTGTATATAATACCTAACTAATAAATAAATAAACTGTATTTTTGGTAGGTGTCACTTTAGAGGGGTTGGTATAAAAATTCACTCCCGAAAAATAAAATTATTGTCATTTTCTATCGTTTTTAATGGACCGAAAATTCTAGAAAAGATCTATAATATGTAGTTCGTTAGTTATAAATAGTTTCAATCTAAACAAGATCTCTCAAGTAGTATCGAAAAAAAAACAATTTAACCTTAGGTGTTGTCACCCCCATTACTTCCTTATTAGTGGGGGTGGAAACCTGAAATTAGGTGGGAAGGTGGTTTAGATAAAAACCAATAAATGTAAGGGAAGTAATATAAGTTAAAGGTAAGAACTCTTCATTAGATGCTGGTGCAGTTTTCATATGCATTATCCGCTAGACTCTTTGGCACAGAGATAGATTATGGTCTGGAATAGCATAGAGGTTACTTTTTATTCCGGTTCTCGTGGTATTTTTGTTTTAAACAGAGTTTCTATTCCATACAAACCGTTAAAACGTACCTAGAGATGAACCCGAGCGAGGTGACCGAGGAAGGTGAGTCGCTATGTATAATAGTTCAAAAAGAGGAATATAAATCGCTTGAATAAACGTTACTAACGACTTGCGAACAACTTGCTTAAATTTCAAAGCTGATATCCTTGTTCGTCGTCATAGATAGAGTAACTTAGCGTATCGCTAACAAGGCTTAACTTGTAACAATGTAAATGTTCAAGTTCTCAAGATATAAGCAGTATAGCACATGATACAAGAAATGTTCACACGATGATATTGCCTGGCAATTGGGGCCCCAGTATTCCGGAATAGAAGCTTTTCAAATACATTACGATTATTAACTCTAAGACTCGTTTGTAAGCTTTAACTCGTTTATTATCGATCGATTGATATTACCTCGGGGAAAAGAAATTGTCTGAGAAAATAGATGTTATGAGAAGTCTGGCATAACACCTTCGATCAACAATACTACTAGATAATGTGTCACATACAAAATCAAAGCTAAATTCTGTCCGCGCGAATATGTACTTATACAGCTACATTGGTATACTAACGAACCAAGACAAAGTCTTATAATAGTTTTATTTTCAACCCAATCAATGAAAACCATAGCACCTTGTAATAAAGTCACAAGTCTTCAAATTATCATCATACCCTTACAATCATTTCGTAACTTTTATAATCTTTATTATAAAATCAACCTTATATTTAAATAACATAAAGCACTTTAAAATTGTTCAAAATTTCACTTTTATATTATTTCGTAGGTTCAATCTTAAAATATTGACTTAATCTACATGCACTTATCCAAAATAAGACATTCTGGCTGAAAAATTTCTTCTGTACGCATTATTTTTGCAGCTTTTAAATACACATTGAGGCCTTGTGAAAGTGTTTACGCTGGCAGTGTTTCAATAAAACTAATCGAAATATACGCTCACTGCAAGTGAGCTTTTATTTACCGAGACGGATTTCTTACGTCGACCCGATATCTAGTAGTATTGTTGATCGGAGCATAAAACCAACTTAGCAGTGAAATTGTTTGATTTAATATTACTTACACCAAACGTAAAAGGACTGCCGGCATAAAGTGTTCTATGTTTTAATTTTCTATTATAATTAAGTACCTATGATATATATAATTATAGTGATGCAGGTCACCTTAATGACGATGTTTTCTTCGTGCTGTTCTATGTGCATATACCGCGTAATGAAACACGACATCCATAAAAATATGTTTTAATTAGAACAAAATTGTTATTAATTGAATTTACTTTCAACAAAGCTATGTAACAACAACTCATTATCAAAATCCCATACTTAGGATCTTAAATAAAACGCGCTTAAAATTTCAATATGTAAAAATAAGAATAAAAGACTTAATTTTGATTCAAAAGATAACACTGATTAATCACAATCTCATTTGTAAAACAGAATTATCAAGACTAAGTCGCTTGTTCTATTTAATGTTATTTCAACTCGGTGGGAGGGAAATGGAACTAGTACACCCCTTTAAATCCAAATTCGTAAATCGAGGTCATCCCATACAGAGTGTTGGACTAAGCCAAACAAAATATACACTATGACCCAGTTTTCAGCTTACATTTATGCTTTCAGTATAGTTTATTTATTTATCAGACATTCGACATTCATGTGAGGATAAAAGTACCCGATGTTGAAAAAAGTTTAAAACGTTGAAATTATTTATATTAGGTTATACTTGTATATATAAATTATTTAATCGAAGACGCTTATATAGTTGTATTTTTGTCTGCTTTACTAGAAATGGTAAATAGAGTGCGCATATTTATTTTTCCCCTTTAAAACGATTGTGTGATAACTAAACATTCATTTTTCTTTAACATGAAGTACGTTGTCATCATTCGTTATTAGTCTAGCTAGCTAAGGATATGTGTGTTTTCAATGTATTGTTTTCTCTATTATAAATAACTACCCATAATTAACAGGGACAAAAATTTAAAGACGTTAAACAAACCCCAGTTTTGTTTACATTTAATTTACTACAATTTTATTGTGCTATTTAATTAATTAGAATTAAACCTCATCCAGGTGGCGGTTAAAACTCTGAAAGATGACACAATGGCCCTCAAAGATTTCTTGGAGGAAGCCGCCATAATGAAAGAGATGAGACACCCAAATCTCGTTCAACTGCTCGGAGTATGCACGCGAGAACCTCCATTCTACATCATTACGGAGTTCATGAGTCGCGGCAACCTCTTGGACTATCTCCGTACAGGCAACCGCGAGTACATCGACGCGGTAGTGCTCATGTACATGGCTACGCAAATCGCATCCGGCATGAGCTATCTGGAGAGCCGCTCTTTTATACACAGGTAGTAAACCTTTATTTAATTTATTATTTCAAAGCCCAAAGTGTCTTTATATTATTTTAGCGAACCCGGTAGGCAAGCTGTGCTCCCACAGAGCTTGTCCTTCGACCTTCTAGATCTAGACTAGCAAAATATAGCTAGAAACCATCTAGATGATCCCATAAGTACGATGTGATGAATTTACATCAAAATCAGTTAAGCATACACACATACCTCGGAGTTTTATACAGGATTACCATAAATCTATATATACATAATGTAATAAAATTGTAACTGAGTCGAATCTGTACATAAATATTTTTTGAAAAATCTTATTGAAAGAGGCCGAATCTATAGTTTTTAGAATTTTTGTCTGGCTGTATGTGTCTGGGAACGCATCACGAGAAAACCTCTAAACAGATTTGATGAAATTTGGTATGATAATAGCTGGTTATCCGGGTCAATATATAGGATATTTTTTACTGCGGGAAAATATCTCGTCTCTGAGAAGTCTATACTAAACGTCAAAACGTACATAAGTAGGAACAAACCCGAGCGGAGCGAGAGTGAGTCGCTGGTTTATTAAGCGTGTAATAAGTTGCAATAATTGTATTTATTAATGCAGACTTAGGTAGTTGTTTTTTACTGTTAAATTGAATGCAATGAGGTAGTACTGATGGTTTATGTCATATTGAACTAAAATAAAATGGAGTTTTTGTAGACTCAATTATTTCATTCTAGCAAACATATATTTCATGTTTGCTAGAGTGAAATAGTTGAGCTGAAATGAATTAAGAGAATTTTATATAGATTTTCTATTTTTGATCTATCTACTAGTTGACCGAGGTTACTCTCGTGTCGAGGGATATGTATATTTTAGTAGGTTTCTATTATTGAATCGGTTATCTAGGTCCACAAATAATTTCCTACGTATAATATTATACAAACAAGTTTAACCTCTTTATAATAGTGTTCGGTTTTACATGTTTGAATTCCTTTTTCGAAATACAGTGTACATACGGATATATATGTATAATACAAGACATGATTTAAGTAGTATTATTGTTAAAACTAAAAATAGACAAAAAAATGTTTGGTTAAATAAAAATAAACCATCGCCCTAACAGGGATCTGGCGGCTCGTAACTGCCTAGTGGGGGAGAACCATCTGGTCAAAGTGGCCGACTTCGGGCTCGCTCGTCTAATGCGCGACGACACTTACACCGCTCACGCCGGTGCCAAGTTCCCTATCAAGTGGACTGCGCCCGAAGGCCTAGCATACAACACCTTCAGTACTAAGTCCGATGTATGGGCATTTGGGATACTGCTGTGGGAAATAGCGACATACGGCATGTCCCCATACCCCGGAGTTGATCTCGCCGATGTCTACCATAGACTTGAGAAGGTTAGTGCAAATTTTTATATTTTTTGGTTAATGTTGGTTAAAAAGTATCTTTTTAATGTTTAAGATGACGTTTTGGGGCTATTACATTTAAAAAATATATTAATATAAATTTTTTTAATGATTAATATTACTTATTTTTTAATTTTCATTTAGGCGATACTATAAAAAGATATTCTGAAAAGTGCATCAATATTGTTTTGGGTTATTTAATTATATTTTTTTTAACTATTGGAAGTTCAGGTTTAACTAAAATATAGTTCATAAATAAATTTTATTACATATTTTTAAAATATAAAACAAAACCCAAATGAATTTACTGATAACCATACACAATCGCTTAGATCAACGAGTTTATAATTTCAAAACAACTACTTAAGTTTTTACGTTTCATGTGAAAGTTGACTTTGAAGTTTATTAAACACATTATGTAATCGCGAACAATTATAACGACGTAATGAAATCAAACAAATGATAACATTTCACGTGTAATATTTGTTTTGTAGCATTTTGATTATCCTATAGAGAATTTAATATCGTACAATAACGAATCTTAACCTAGCAGCGGGACGAATCAGTACACAGATGTTTCTTGCAAAGCGTGCACTGTGGTCTGCTTACAGCTATACGGGAGAAAATCTCTGAGGCGGATAATTCCTTACTTAGTTTACTGCACATAGAGTAAGATACGATTTTCTTCGAGAAATCCTTTGCTGGTACGCACGTACGAGCGCGGACTGGACCGATTTCTTGACCCGTTTCCACTAAAAATAAAGGAGTAGTATAACAACTCTGGTACTAAATAGTGCAGTGCAAAATTTTGGCTTAACTTTTTTTGTTCTTTAATTGAACAATGTTGAGTTCATGGAAAAAATCCGAGTGTCTATGAATAATTAAGACGTTATAATACTGAGAAAATCACGCTTACCTAATTTTGCTGACTCTGATGTTATCACAATACATAAAAATTCCATTCCTGGTATATAGCAGTCAATGTTGGGAACCTGTAAAATGTTAGGTTCAAACATTTTAACATAAACATATGCATATGTACCTATTCTAAATAAGACTTTAACAGTTCTTATTTTTTTCTAAAGGTTTTCTTTCAATGTTCATAACTTTGAAAGAAAGATTGGATTGTTCGAGCTCGACTCGCCTGATTGGGGATATATATATATATATATATATATATATATATATATATATATATATATATAGGAATTTAAAGAATTGAAATTTTGTCAATTTTTCCTGTAAATTATTTAAAAAAATGTATTTGTATGATGTATCCTTTAGCGTGCCTTTCATTTGATCCGTTAGACGATTGGAACTTGCCAAAACTATTTTAATTTAATATCTATAATATCTGAATTACTTTATTTATTACCTTTACCTTTCTTAATTGGACCACTTAACTCCGTACTATTTATTACTGATCTACAGAACCAATACAATGATTATAATGAAGCGCAACCATGGTAAAATTATTATTATTAATAATAATCAGAACATTTTTAGTAAATATGAATGTTTCAATTAAATTATGTAAGTCTTTAAATATTTACAACTTAGATCAAACTCACTGTAATATTGGCATAGTCAGGATGATCAGGATCCCAGCAACCAGGGTGATCGAAGGACAGACAGTTGTAGCATTGAATACCTTTGATTGAAGGCGACACAAACTTTTTCGGCTTGGGTTTTTTGTGCTTTCCTATTACAGTGAAAGATTATAAGATCTTATTATTAAAGAAACATTTATTTTATATAATTAAATCATTTGTCCTTACCGGTAACGGCGATGGAAAGGAGAAGTACATAGATGAATGTGTCCTTTAATGAGAACATAACTTTATAATATTACCAGAGGTGATCTTATATTTGAACTAAGTAAATTGCAGTACAGCACTGGGTTAAGACTGATAAGACGAAGTGCAAGAGCCGCGTTTATACGCGAACGGGAAACAATGATCGCTGTTTTGGTATCGACGTCACAATGATTTATACAGGTTGTTCTAAAACATCCTTTTACTCTAGCTGTATATATTGTTAAATGTAAACATTTGCCATTACGCTATTTAACTTTTTTTATTGTTGAAAATAAATATGTAAATTTAGGGAGTACCACGTAAGGGCGTTGCGGTCCAAGTGGGTTTTGTAGTTCTAGCTTCTATTCTCGTACTGAGATAATATAACAGTTTCAAAATTTAAACTTAAGTAATATATATATATATACTTTGCGTAAAGCGTGAACAAAGAGAAAAAATAAAAAAATCTTTTACTTATAGTCAAGATCACCTTCGCACCATTTTCGTCATAATAATGACACAATTGTTTTTAGCTTTGCTTCTGATAAATAAAATTTTCTCTACGTAGTTATAGTAGTTATTTCAAGATAATAGGATGTGTCAGTTGCAGAAAGTTTATGTAGATACTTTGACATCATAAAGCCCGGTAAACAGGTTTTCTCCGTTGCTGCAACAATAGATCAAACAATATTACAGTTGAGTGGTGTATAAACTTCAGAATTTTCTTCGACAAATTTGGTTTTATAAAATATTAAATTTATAAGAGTAAAATTTTTATTAAAAATTTATGGGACATTTCTTTACAAATATTAGATAACATTTTCTTCACTTTAAAGGAAATAGTACTTGTAAATGATAATAATTAAAATATAACATCATGTATATAAACTTAGTCAGATTTATATGTGTATTTTTTTTTGTTGTCATCTGTAGGAGCACGGTCAGGTCGGTTTGTACATTAATCCGCATGTTATTTGTACACAAACATTCAATCGTTGTCGATTACTATTTAAAATTTGCTTTTTTACTATTAGTTTGTATACATCAGTGTCCAGCAGTGGGACGTTAAAAAGGGAATACATACATACACATTGTATACATCGTATAAATGACTTAAGTAATGCTTGCAAAAGTAATTGTAAAAAACCATCAAGTAATATAATATATTTGCCAAAGCGAATATGCATTCAGTCGCATTTGATTTTAACAGTGTGCTATATTGAAGATGGAAATGCAAATAAAGTTCAATTTGCGTACCGATCAAATAAACGTTTCCGCTCACTTGATCGCGGAACCAATTATTGATTTTCGTATTAATAAACTGCAGTGGGAATTTTGGAGAGTGTTTGAATAATTGTTTACAATTTGTTAAACATTATTATGTAAAACAACCTGAAATTATGTATTACGTAAAGTGATACTCGTGCACTATAGTTAGGACGGTACTTAAGGAACGGTAATCTTGTTTTTTAGTAACTCTACTATTGTTTCTCGAGTTTATTTTACATCAGTTGATATAAGTGTTTTTAATCTTTTTTACAAATAAAATTAAAAAATAATTATAGATTTTTCATCTTCAGATATATCTTATTGTTATATATATATATATATATATATATGTATATATATATAAATATATATATGTATGTATATGTATTCCTATTGACATAATATGTATTACGTATATAATTATTAAAAATATGTAGGGCTATCGTATGGAGTGCCCACCCGGCTGCCCGGTGGCCGTGTACGAGCTCATGAGCGCTTGTTGGCAGTGGAACCCCACTGACCGCCCTTCCTTCCGCGAAATACATCACGCGCTTGAACACATGTTCCAAGATAACTCGATCACTGAAGGTGAGACTATATTATTTATATTTGTATAACTTACTAGTAAATTGGGTGTTATAGGTCGACTGTTTTTAGAATATTATACATAGTACGATAATAGTATGATATTTATAATAATCGATAGGAGACAAGCGAGATTAGTGACAAATTAGGCATCCTAGTATGTCTTCTGGCTCTGAAACCTTAGTACTGTAGGACTGTGACATTATAATACGCAAACGTCAAATACATGCTAAATAACTTACTTTAAACGATCGACTACTATTATGTCTGAATCACAGGCAATATTTTATGTTTCAAAAAAAAAAAAAAGAAATGATTTACAAAGTTGCTTGCCCTGACTAATCTATAATAGCCCAGGACATACCACTGGACTTAGCGGGCTGAAAGACTATAAAATTCGACCCCTAAGAGGTACTACTCTTAGGGTGTATGAAATATAAAATGGAAAACAACAGTTAGGCGTTATATTAAAAAAGCCACCCAATATAGTCTGAGAATGCTTCTAATATATTTTTTATGTATCTACAAGCTATGTGTATATTATTATAATGCTTTTGATGCATTGGATGGGAGATTCTTAGTGGAGAAAAATTGCAACTTAGAAACTAGAATGCCAATATAATATATTATATAGAATCTAAAAACCTCATCTACCTATACCGTAAAAGGAGGATGCTTAATAAGTAAAAATGCTAGAATGTATGCGTTTTATATCAGAAGTGGAGAAGCAGCTTCAGGAGGGTGTGTGCGGCACTCCACAGATGTCGATCAAGAAGGGCGCGGGGCCCGCCGCCGAGCGGGTCCAAATGCGCCGCCCTACCAACCGGCGTGGCAAGCAGGCGCCTACACCGCCTAAGCGTACCAGGTAACCTTGAAGAGGGAAGAGTCGAATAGATTGAAGTGTAGAGTAGCGATGGGCGATGGTTGCAAAAAAAACAATCGACTGAATCGAAAATTGTGCTATTGCGCATTCGATTATCGATTTAGTAAATCCTCGCCATGATTATTCGAATAACAATCGACAAACCACTAACTGTACGCACATCGCATACTGCATGTGCGTGCGGTGAGCTGCGGAAGGCCGCGCGGGGCAGTACGTGCGCGGTGCGGGACTGTGTTACTCGATTGTTTTTAAGTATTACTTCAATTATATTGTGTATAGTAATATAAAGTTACACGAGAAGTCATTCATTTTCAACTCATGTCATTTTCGCCCGCCTTACGCTGTTAGTCGTTAAGAATCGAATAACATCGATTGTTATCGACATTTATCGACCAAACTGAACAATCGACTAATTCGATTAGTTTTAGTAATAATCGCCCATCGCTAGTGTAGAGTATAGGGGGGAAAGAAACAGAGGGGGCAGGTGGAATGAATACCGTTGGATGTCTAAGGATAGTGGAGATTACAGTGGGACCGAACTGCTGTGCTCAATACTAAGTTTAGAAGTTAGCTTCAGACGCTTTTGAAGCTAATTTCTTGTTCGGTCTTACACTGAACTCGAACTCGTTATCTCCGACTATGTAGGCACTCTCATATCATTCATCACTAGAGTTTGACACATAACACATTTATAATAAATAAGGGCATCGCTACATATTTACCGTGATGTCTCGCCGAGATTCGGACGAAGTCTGCCTTTTACGGTAATATCCAGAATGCCCACATACTTAAATAAAACTCATTTGATTTTAAGTATTCCACTATTTATTTTATAGAATTGTGTAAAAAAACCGACAACGCGTCATAAGTCGCATGGTTCTTCTTCAAAAAACTACAATATAGGCCTAATCATACAGAGTTATAAAAAAATTGTATAAAAATGTTCTATATCACAACCATCATCAATTCATCGATTTTCCATAGATACGTGGGAAATTATAGGTCAATTGAAATTTTAACTGTACTTTGAAATGTTATATATTGAGTATTTCCACAATGGACTCTCTCAGTGTCCATTTAGTATTGGTCACACGCCGAGTTAAAAATCGCAGTTTTGATTCTTAAGTGATTGTTCTTATTTGTGATACATTTGTTTGTCCTACGGTGGGTTCTAATAATTTATCTGTTTCTGTTTCCTTACTAAAAGTAGTGATTTGGCATAAGCTCCATAAAAATTATGTCAAATTTCTATCAAGGATAATTATTACAGATGAATAGGCTATTGGGATTAACTGCTAGTGTGGTAAGTGGTAACCGTGATTGATTGGTTTAGACACAAACGGCTATAGTTTCATTTTAATATCTTTTTGGTTTGTTTGTACATTTGTCTGTTTTTATTTGGCAGTCTGTTGTCATCGTGCAGCTCATTCCGCGAGTCTCAATACGCGGCGGAGGATCATGGCGGCCATGACGACGGGCTTGCGTCGCTCAATGGTTAGTTTTTTTTCACATTTTATATCTTGATTTTTAATATTAATTATTAAAATATATATTTATAGACCACAAAATTACTTTCAGTCACAAAAGTGAAGTATTTCTCCTTAATACGATTTCATGATAAACAATGCTATTTTCCCAATATTTTAAGTATTATTGAAATTGTATGTGAAATTATTCAAAAACAACTTTTAAAATAAGTAACGGTTGCTTGTTCTTTGACGATCAAATATTTTTTTTACCATATATTAGACATATTGTTTCTAAAAATTAAATAAAAATGGAAACAATTCTAATTGTGCGCTCCGGCCCCATTGTATTTAGCAATAATAACAATTATAAATACTATTGCGTATCGTCAATAGATACATTTCCATCATACTGTCCATATCACACTACATTAATTAAATAACATCTACTCATTAAATATCGAGCACGCAATACATTCGATTTCGTGGAAATGGAAAATTATTTATTAACAAGCATTTAACTGACCGTATAATGGAGATAATTGAATAATTTAAATTACTTTCGTTTCATTTTGCGATGTCAAACAAATGGTAAATTATTAACATGGCAACCTCGCTTGCCATGCTCGAGTAAGCAAAATCATGTAAGCATGTTATTACCATCATAAAAGGTTTTTTTTTTTAAATTGGTGCCTTGAATTTCATTATAAATAATATATATAATTAAAGATTTCGGGTTAAAGGAGAATTTTATTATTTTATTTAATAATATACAGAGAGCCTCTACAACTAAGATTATTTATTATCTTTTGGGTACTTAACATATTGAGACTTAACGAATGCTTAATGTTTTATTTTTTATTTTAAAGTCGAATTTATAACGTTGATGAAGCAATTTTACGAATTAATGAAATATTTATTACAGTGTCATATTTAGAGGAATGAATCAAGTATATATTTATGTATCGGTGATGTATTGATTTGTCTGGTTAATACCATATCACTATATTATCCTAGTTAAATTTTAACGAATTTTCAATGTTTATATTTATAATTTTGATAGATGTTCAAGTGTCTCCTGCTTGTGCTACTGGCTTCTGTCAATGTTGAAATATTTTATTTTTGTATGAAATCTTTTGTTGCACTGGCGTCGCCATTCCGATATGATGACATGCGAATTGAATTATACATTTATCATGTGTACTTAATCGCATAATTCGTACGTGTATGGAGCTATATATAATATTTGAGCGACGTACGGACAGTGTGTATTAGTTAGATACATGTATAACAATATTTGTAAGGTACACTATATCTGCATTCCTTAAACTAGCGTTTTTGTCTGTTGTCCGCTCGCTCAGGTGTATAGCAATAGGTTCGAACATTTTGTAAGTATACGATACGTTTCGGGTAGAAACGATCATGCCTTGTTCATTAAATTTGTTTACAATTTATTTATATTCTTTTAGCTATATTGTCTATATATTCTATTTCAGTATCAAGCGCCACGAGTCTGTCCAGACTGAGGAGCTAGTTAAATGGCTACTCCATTCTCTTGACAGGCGCGGTGTGCTCTTGTATATGATTATATTTATATATTTTAGTAATTCCATGTATGAATGTGCACAGGGCGTGAAGACTATCATTATGCTATTGTCCAGTTTTTTCATTTCTTGTCTAATAAAAGATAAAAAAAATATTAATCGCTTTAAATTCAGAAAACATTTCTGACGCCTTGTGTTAATAGATCTTGGATAATATCGCCATTCTAGAAGGCGCTTAACATGTGTTTTCGGTTGATGCATCCCTTCTTTGGCCTTTGTTCTTAGATGGTTTTTAGGACTTCTATGAAATTTTGTTTGAAAACATAGGTGTTTTTATTTTCCTTAAAAACTTAATTTTATTTATTAGCAATATTATCAACTATATTAGCTGTAGGTGTCGTTTCTATGTTTGTTTTACGACTTTTTACCCCCTGTTACTTATTTCACTTGTACGATCTCGGAAAACCTGCGTTAAATATAGCAAGTTTTAACGGAAATGAAAATTTTAAAGCCATTAATAAATCTATACCATGTCATCATAAATTAACAATATTAATGACAGATACGTTGTTTAGTATATTTTTTGTATATATATGTGGACATATATCATAGAGTTTACTGTCATAACGCAAGTATTCTTGGATCGTATCATCGCAAAATCAGAAATTCGTAAAATTCCATTACATAGAACTTTGACACTGTAAATCATTTTTATGGTTTTTTTTCCATTTCTAAATATTCATTTAAAACTATATATACAGAGATTTATTTTGTGTTATTATTTTAGATATTATTTTAAACTATCTTCTTCTTGTAGTGACATTAGTTACAGTTATGGATTTTATTAGAGGCGTTTTGAATTTAATTATGATTTTCATTCATGCTCATATGATTCGCTCATTAAATAGCCACCATTATCACTGCAATAGATCATATAGTTGCAGAAATAAAATAAATAATTAGATATATCGTATTTAGAAGGGAGAATAACTAAGGCAATTTGTAAGCTAAAACCGTACTGTTTGGAGCCTTGGGGGTGTGCAGGTTCGACTCCTGCAGGGAGCGAACAATGATATCTAATACCTTTGTATGTAAAAATTATTATTGTTAATATATACAACACAATAGGCGTATAAAAAAATGTGACTGATGAAGTCGTTACTAGTTTCAATGTAAAAATCGAGTTAAAGTTGAGTCAATTTAAGCATGTCGTTGACTTAACTTCAATAAATGTAGGGAAATGACAGTCATTTTGACACGAATGTATACACTATGTATGTTTATAATAACATACAAGTTGCTATAACTTATCAATAATATATTATATTATTTAACATAGTATGTAAATAATAATAGACGTTTACGCCAAAATACTGTCGTATTTCTACAATTACAGCTTATAGAATAAATTATTGTATAATTTGTGTTTTTGAGTGTTTTTTTTTAAAAGATTCCAAAATGTGACATTCTGATTGGACGCAGGCGGGGGTCGAGGTGGGGGTCGCGAGGCGTCGTCTGAGGGGTCGTTAGCAGAGGCGACCCCGGACACTGACGAGTCAGGGGGTATAGGAGTGTCGGAACATCGTCACAGGTCGAAGCGGAGGCACCACGTGCACGCGCAACCCTCACATCACCCGCCCGCGCACGATCTGCAGCCAAAGGTGAGCTAGCGAAGAGATACTCGAGAATTAGATATATAGTATGTCTAGTAGAATTTTGAATGAAATGTAGTGCTACTTTTGAATGAAAAAAAAAGCAGCATTTAATATGATAAAATTACAGACATGTGCGAATCCGCCCCCCCCCCCCTGGGTTCCGTACAAATTGGTAGGAAATCTGTTTTACTTTAATTTTCAAATTTTGAAAATTAAGGTAAATTTTGGTAATTACAAGTTTTCACGAAAATCTAAATTTGCCCATATCTTTTTATCGTGCTGACTCAGGACTTGATTTTTACAAACCTAATAGGGACTGTATACCTCAGTATCTGGTCCAAATTTCAACTTGCTAGGTCCACCCGTTCCCGAGAAAATCGGTGGTAACACACGCACAGACAGACAGGCGGACAAGAAAGTGATCTTATAAGGGTTCCTTTTTTACCTTTTGAGGTACGGAACCCTAAAAAGACCATGTAATATGGAGGTTCAAACTACATAAGATCGTACTTATTGATAAAAATAACCTTGGTTAAGCTTGTAAGTGAATGAACAATTAAAATTCACGTTTTTTTTTCAAGTCCACTTATTTTCATTTTTTGTAAGCATTTCTGTAGCATTTAAAATTTGGCGGCACATTAATTAAGTACATAGTAATTTTAACAATAATTTTACTGATTTACTTTGATATTGCAGCCAGGAGTCCAGGTTGCAGCATTAGAAGTGCAAAATGTGAAACGGGCCATCAACAGATACGGAACATTGCCGAAGGGAGCTCGAATAGGAGCGTTTTTAGAGTCGCTGAGGCAGAGCGGCGGCAGCGGTGCCCCGTGTATGCGCGAGCCGCTGCAGGACGAGGCGCGCTCGCTCTCGCCGCGCACCGCCCGCGCGCAGCCGCACATGATACGCTCGAACTCGTCTGGCGGCGTGACTGCGCCCGCCCCCGCCTCCCCGCGCGCCTCTCGCGCACCGCCGCCCCTCCGCTCCTTCACCAACAGCCCCGCCAAGCCTAGACCGAGGCTCGCCGAACTAGAGTTCCCTCCACCACCCCCCGACCTACCTCCGCCACCAGAAGACGCAGCGCAGCCGCCGCCTCCCCCACCCCCGCCAGACTGCTGCCGCGACGCCGGCACAGACACCGGGGACAAGTACGATGAACATGCAATGATGCTACACGAGCGCAACGACGTTGAAGATAAACCAGCGAAGCAAATCATGAAGGAAATGCTTGAGTTGAAATTGGTCGCCGAAATTAAAGAGCGAGCTGACAAGAAAAAGCATAAGCTCAAGGAGTCCCCTCCACCTCACGAAGTCATTGAAATGCATACGTCGTTTGGCGATCCCGTCACACGACTAGTATCTGAACTCTCCGAGAGTCTCAACATTGAAGCTCTGCGTAAAGCGGAGAAAAAGATCGAACCACCGAAAGCCATCGACAATGGAAAAGATACCATTTCTCCTATTGATCTCAAAGCGAGTCTCAGGAAGACCTCATTTAGTAACAATGTCGAAAGGAAATCTGAATTCGAAGGTAAAACAGATTTTAAATCACAACTAAAGAAGGTTGACACAAATAGAATTAACATCTCAAGCAAAGATGTCGAGGAGCCCGGCCGCTCCATAATTGATTTTAAATCCCGATTGAGGAAAGTTGACGGCGGCGCGCCCGCCACCAATGGTACAGCCAAGAAACAGGAGCAAAGTTCTCCCGATGACTCTAGGAAGGATACCTCGAGCAAAAGCGACGATTCCGACAAAAAACGATCTGAGAGTGGATCTCTCGACACCAGTGGTGGTGACGACGAGGATAAAAGACGAAGCACCGGCAGCATCAGCAGCCTTAAAAAGTTGTGGGAGAGTAAAGAGACAGATGAGCGGTTGAGTCCAAAAATGCGGCCGAAGGGAGAGGAGAGTGAAGAAGGTTCTCCAGAGGAAAGAAGTGGGTTGGCTCTTGGTCGAAGCGCTAGTGTGCAGGTCCGTCGTGGTGACGACAAGCCGGCTGTGGCCAGCAAGCCGGCAGTACGGGCGCGCCCGTTGCCCAAGACCGGCATATACGCGACCCCACTCGCGCCCCCCGCTACTGATGGAGATGAAGACGCTCTCGCCGCCTTAAGGACTTCCCTGGAGTGGTGTACCAATGAGGTAGTTATAATGAGAGTTGCTCTATAAATTCTTATTATACCAAGCGTTTCTAGATTCATTCATACATAATGGAAGCTATGGATGTAAAGTAACAGGTTTGGCGTTCATCTAAACAGTATCTATACATATAATAAAACTGTAGAGATCGAATGTCTGCACGTAGAAAAAAAAATGCTAAAAACCGAGCCAGAGGGATGTAAGAAGAGAAATAGAACAAATCTGGATGTTTTTCAATTTTTTTGTTTCTCTGTTTGTACGGGCTAATCTCGGAAACTGTTGGACCGATTTAAAAGAAATTTTGCATAGTGGTATCTTATACCCTCGGTAAGTCAACATTTTAGACTCTTTTTATCCCGGAAAAATGTATGGTTCCCGTGGGATAGATTTTTTGTTTGTCTAGAGGCGAACCCGAGCGAAGCGTGGGTGAGTAACTAGTAATATATAAAACGATTGCTCCGTGTATAGGTGCGTCGCGGGTGCGGCGGTGGCGGCGGCGGGCGCGGCTCGCTATGGCGGCTGCAGACGTCCGAGCGGCTGGCTCGCCTGGGCGGCGCGTGCGCGACGGCTGCGGCCGCGTCCCGCTGCGCGCCGCAGCTACGTGTGCAGCTGCGGGCGGCCGCGGCGCGGCTGGAGGCGGAGGCGCGCGCGCTCGCCTCGCCCGCCCCCCATCACCACCACCTCGCTGACGGCGTCGAGCAGGCCCTCAGGGATTTGGCTACTATCGTACATAGGTATTATGTTACTTTTATTAAAATTCCTTAAATATAACCACAGTCAAAGAAGAAATTAGGCTGTCAGAAATTAAGTATAAGGGTCGGCACAAGGATCACCCAAACGAACTTGCAACGAAACTCCTTAATAAAAGTTATCGCCAACGTCTAAAGCGGCATGACATACAAAGCCTAGACGCTTTAGTATAAGTAGGGGTTATCCTTGCTTGCTGAAGGATCATCTCAATCACGCTAAATTTTTCTTTAACACATCTGCTTATAGTTGAAGACTGATTGCAGATAAACGAACAAGATAAAAAAAGCCTTGACCAAAATCTATCTACTTATTCCACCACCATCGCTTCAGCGACGTGGAGCTTGGCTACCGTGAGGGCTTAACTACCCGTCACACATAGGGTTTTAACGCTTTGTAACAGTATAAAAATTTATACAATAGCCGATCGCAAAACAAAGTTAGAGAGGTTGTCAGAAATGCCAATTCAAAAATGGTTGTTTTTCTGATTTTCTAAAATACCAATTTTTTTGGTTATCGAACGTATTTATACATTGTCACTGTTGTTTCTAAGATCTTTGAGATTTTGTTTAGAAATTAAACAGCAAGTCTCAAAATGGTATCTTCACAAGCACTAAACCATACTTATATAAAGTATGGCTGAGTACCTTAGACTTGTGGATGTTTCTCAGTCGGTTTATACCATCCTATTCAGACATAATGCTTTGAGTGGAAAATTATTCTATTTAATATCTGTTCCACATTAAATACTTTTCTTTTATTAATGTAGGATATAAAAGACTAAACAGTAATTTGTTATATTTTACAGGTAAAAAGTACATCACAACGGCATTGGATTCACCGCCGCACTACGCAACCAGCCATGATATATCAGTTTACTGAACTGAAATACGCTTAATATTTTATATACAACTATCATCGACTAAACGTGATAACTTAATACATATTATCTAATCTGATATAATAAGTTATGTAAAATTATGCGAAAGTTATTATTTTTAGCCGGCGATATATATATATATATATATATATATATATATATATATATATATATATATATATATATATGATGAAATTACTAATTCGATTTACTCGACATGTGTAAATCGGATGGACAAATGTGGAGCAGATACAAACAATTCGCACTTTTTTTGTAAATATCGTTCCACATTTGTTTCTAATGGAATTGGAATGATATGCATGTCGATTAACTTGTTGTATAAGTTTTCTGCGAATTGACATTATTTTTGACATGATTATTGACATGATATGGATTTATAATACGATCTGAACGCTTCACTATTCGCTCGGCATTCGTTATTTAATAATACACAAACGAACCAAAGATAGCAAAGGCTTATTTGCCTTTACGTTTTGGATATTCAATACTGACACGTTCTGTCGTTTGATTACCATCAAATACTCTTGATTAAGATGTTAGGTGTAAGTCTCCTGCTGCCTGCTACAAATGCGACAGGGATATGTATAATATTTATTCAATTGTTAGTACAAAAGCTGAAAACTTTATGATTGCGTCACAACGTAATAGGAAGCAATAGTGACAAGTACAAGAGAGTTGAGACACTCCGAAGCCTAAGTTAGCATTCTGATACTTGTTTTCCTTTTCATTAAGACTGATCACTGTGACTGTTCATGGATTCACTGTTAAGAATTAGTAAATATTTGGTATGGTAGCAAAAGCTATAGGAAATCGCTTCTAAATTCCCGGCCATCCTGTCTCTTTACACTAGCCGGCAATGGTCCTGCAGTTAGGAAATCAAAATGTATAGGGTGTAGGTGGCTGATACTGAGTGAAGATGATACATTATTGGTTTCTCAGTTGTCGGACCGATCCCGTACCTGGCCAGTGTCGATCCCGTACCGTCTAGAGTAAACAACCATAACGTGCTGAATCGGCAGTTTCGGAATTGTTTCCCGCTCCAAATGAGCTGTTTTCTATGCTTGACTTTAAAATAGTACTAGATGTTACAAATTCATTGTGTTTCAGTGCCAAATAATCATTGAGTGAGGGACAATACTCTCAAACTCCCAGTCCCTGTTTAACTCAATTTTGACACATTTTACAGGCAGATTGGTTCTTAAAATAGTTGTAAATTTGTCATTATTAGGTGTTAGTTTGATTCTACAGACTCAATATATAGTGAGTGTTGTAACTGCGCCGTGGAAGCTTTGCGAGGCGGCTCTATGTTATCCTTTACCAGTGTACCCATTTCTGTAACTTACAGTCATCTGTTTGGTAGAGCGACGTAAAACTCCCTTAAATAATAATTAACTACTCGTATATACCAATAATAATATGTATAACATTAGAATAATAAATAATTTGATTCTATTAAAAGAGCGATTGTGCATGATGAAACAATATAATATTCCATGCGAAGCCGGTCCGCCATTTCGGTGTACGAAGTGAAGGATGTGTGATTTGTGTGACGTGTAAAGAGCGCGCTCGATTCCGACGAACATTCCTCCCTTCTTATCTACTTAACCGTAATGTATACTAATATTATTATATTAATCACCATTTAGCATTTAATTAAATATATTAATAAAGTGTATTAGACTCTTTCGACTCGGACCAATAAAGATGCATTTTATTTTTATTTGAAATGGGCGACGCTCGCGCCTTTGGGTTAAGACTGACGTTAAGGATCGGTTCGATTCAGGCCTATTGTTACGAAATTTTATATGAAGTATACTACGCGTGTTGCTATATTACTACATGTGCACGACGCGTCTACCGAGACGCGTGAACCGACATCCGAATCTTTTATTTCTTAATTATTTTCATTGTTGAAAAATTTTTTGGAAGTAATGTTATTATTTAAGTTAGCGTACTGTGATACGGCTTCTTTGATTATGCTCAACTTATTTCATTTTTATTTTATTGCATGTAATAATTCTTAATAATCAAATTCATAGGTTTATATCGAATATATGTAACGAGGATCGGAGTCAATCATTAAGTATCAAACCATTTATATTGGATGTTATTTAAGAATTTAACTGATATATGCTAGTCTTTATAATTATAATAAATGTATTACCTTGATAAGATTAAATATATACGTAAGTTCTCTTGAATAGATTTGCGTACAACTCTTCTTAATATTTTAATAATCATCGTACGAGTAAGTATTTTGTATTAGAGGGTTTCGGAGGGCATTTGCATTCTAGTAAAAGTGAAGAGTCGAAGGGACGGGTCCTGCAAGCCGGTCCCCCATCCACCTCCAAGCCGAGTAGATCGCTTACCGTTTAGAGGCCTCTTCACTTCGTTGAGGGCGTACAATTCAAGCGATCTAAGTTGATCGGCGTGAAGTTAGCGCTAGTGTCGCGGTAATATACGAATAAATAGTGTCAATCCAACGGAACTAACTTCAGACCTGTCAGTTTAGATTGCGCGTTTTGTAGTGTATCGTGTGTCGTAGCGTAGCGCACTCTGGGCGCAGTTGACACGAGGCTGGCGGCAGCTCAACGTGAAACGAATTTAATGAGGGCGGGGCGCGACGGGTGCTTTGTAAAGCGTTCTTTTCTTTTAAACGTAATGTTAGCTTAGATGTCAAATAAGTGGCGAATATGTAAATAAAATCTCTCCAATCCCTAATTGCTTATATTGGATTGTAGACTTCGCTGTATAAAAAATGAAGCATTTAGATTTATGTATAACCTATATACGTGTTTTAGCATTTGGATTTGGTTTTTTTGTTTAATCATATATTTTAAGTTCTCACTGAAACGAAATTAACTAATGGTTTTTCAATGGGTAACACTTAAATAAATAAAGGACGCTTTACATTCTAGTCACGCGAGGTTGTTGGAATTGAAGAAGGATTTGAAATGAACTGCATTCAGAGTGTCAACCAATCTTTTATTGTCTAATGTCTATTATATTAAATGAATGTCCAATATTTCAGAATAGAGCTAATAATGCCATATCCTCGTTTTCATACTTTATTCATATCACAGTTTAATCAAAATAGTATTATTAAACGTGGACATCTCGACCTCGCTTCAATTTATGTACGCAGGCTAGCTGTTTTATATAGACTACAATATATTTATGTACTGGTGTACCCATGTTCTTTTTGCTGATATTCAAAACCTTCACGCTTTTAAATTGTTACCCTTGCACGTAGTCGTTGTCACAGCGAGCCGGAGGAAGGGGTATTGAAGTATCTTACATACCAGGCGCGTGCCATATACTTACTCAAATTAAATATAATAAACGAACAACAAGTGTCCCGGACTCCAACTCGACGTGTGCACTGCGTCTACCTCCCACAGCCCCACCTTATGATTTATAGTTAATAGAATCCAAAGATAGACATTGATGATTACATTCTGATGTCCAACTGTAATGGAATTAATAAAATGTTTTCTTTATGATATGATATTTTTATTTAATACTTACTCGACTCCTTTAAATTTCCGCTGAGCGAAATAAAACACTATTTTCTTGGTAATTTTATTTAATAAAAAAAATTTACAAGTAAATGAAACAACTAACATACTAATCCAGTTTAAACCTTTTACATCTGTGCTGCTAACGTATAAAAATGTATATCGCTCGAAATTTGAAATGTATATTTTCGCCTGCAGGTTCCTGAATAAGTTTTGTGTGTTTGTTCTTAAATAGTATTAGTGATATTTAGTTTAACTTCCTAAAAAATAAAGTACTTAGATTTGTAAAATGAATGACGTACGTAAAAGTTGACACAGGCATTTAAACTAACCATGGCTTATCATATTTGTAACTAAAGTAAACGTATTAACATATCTTTAACGAAGCACACTTTTAATATGATTTAGCATAAAACAAATTAAAAACCAATTAGTAATTTCATGTCTTCTATTCATAACTTTCGTATCATTTTGTAAGCTATCCATTAAACATTTTAGAAAGTTCCAATGATATTTTTTTATTTAACAATATTTTTACTGTGGGGTTTACTTTTTTAACTTATTTTTAGTCTTAAATTTACTATTCAATACAATCTGTGCCACAATAAATTTGCATATGAATGTGATGTAATCATTTGTAATAAGTGATTGTTATAGAAGATACATTTCATATATTACTTTTGTGAGATCAAAGGAAAGGATGGTACCAGTAATTTGGAAAAGCCGATTATTATTTATAGATAAAATATGGTTTGTTACATTATATTTAAGTATATCGTGGAAGGTCATTTGCAGACCTAATGAAAAAAGCGAATAAATTCTTATATACTAAGAGAGTTGAGTAGATATTTTAACTAGCATTCCTAGAACATACGATTATAAAGAGACGTTTAGTGCTCATTCTTAATTACCTTCGCAAAAGCTATACCTACCCAATTTAGTGCAGAAAAGCTACGGAAGGAATGTTTTAAGTCTATTCTGACTGCAATCGAATATAACAACAGTAAATGCCAACTTTAAAATACACGAATAACTACTTAATTGTCCATCAAATCTATCAACTTCGAATAAATTTACCCTAAGCTAACGCATACAACTACATGCTAGGGCCGCTTTAACATTGCCCTCGAAGACGGCATTTCATAAATTACCATTGACCAAGTCTCAAAAAACCGCAATATATGGAAGCTGACGAGGCGTTGCGAGGAAGTAGACATTAAACGGAGTAGTAATGGCGAGTAAACCAGTAGTGGTTAGCTGGTTGTTTACCACAGCTTGTTGTGATAGAACTTGACGTCGAAGTAGCCGCGGTCGGTGAGCTGCGAGTCCCGACGGGAGGCGGTCGAGCCGGCAGGCGACAGCGCGGCGTCGCACACCGCCTCGAGTACTGGCTCTACCTTCAAGGTTGAAGGTCTCTCGGGACTCTTCTGGTTCTCCACCAATTCCTCAACTGCTTTGGCATCTGCATCGCCTTTAGGCTCTTTGGCCTCATCAGTTTTAGCCCGTGGTTCGACCGCGTTGTTCGCTTTACCGACTTCAGCGTCGGCTACGGGGCTACCCATCTCAGATGTCCTTCACAGATTAATAAAACATTATGACATTGATAGATCTTGTTTTAAATAAATAGTATAGCATTCCAAATTTTCATTAAAACGCATCTAACGTACATATTAATTCTCTACTCTAAAGTCTAAAGCTATTACTACTGCCAAAAATAGCATTCATATGAACTGACTATAATTTAATAAAGCATAGAAGTGGATCGTACGTAATAAATATAGATCTTTATAGAATAATAAAAAGTGGGCTTGGACAAGTCGGTATTCTCCAATACATATTATGACTAATAGACATACATAATATGTAACTCAAAGAATAATTCTTATTATTCTTACAACACACGTTCGAAGTTATACTATTACTGTAGCCTTACGTAGACTGGACACCATTATTGTACACTAGCGGCTCACCCTCGCTTCGCTCGGGTTCGCCTCTAGAAAAACAGAAACAAATCGATACCTCGGGAACCTTATATTTTTCTGGGATAAAAAGCGGCCTGTGTTATTCCAGACTATAATCTATCTCTGCCAAATTTCATCCAGGTCCGTTCAGACATTCTGGCGTGAAAGAGTAAAAAACATGCATTCATACTAACAAACTTTCACATTTATAATATTAGTATAGATTATATGAAAACAAGTATAGATTTAGAAGATAAGGCCTATACAGCTCAGCAGCTTACAACTTTGTATTTATATAAAATTATCAGAGTCCCAGGACAAAAAGGGTCGTCTAGTTGAAGTTTATGTATTATTTTGATAAGAAAATCACGTTTGGTCGATATGAAATAATTAGTCAAAATTTGAAAACGTTATTTCCACACTATCAAAAGCGTTTTTCGCATATACGCTGTTAAAATATATGTAATTTTAATATGTAGGCATTATTTCATTGTTAATTATCAGTTTTTTGCTCATCATTTCGGCATTATATTATATTAGATAAAATTACGTCTGGAACATTAACTATTTGACATTACCATGCACAAGACTTAAATGTAACAAATCTATACATATAATAAAATTGTAACTAAGCCGAATCTGTACATTAAATATTTTTTGGAAAATCTTATTGAAATAAACATTAATATCGATACAGAGGCCGAATCTAGTGTTTAGAATTTTTATCTGTCTGTCTGTTACCGCATCACAGAAAAACTACTGGAGGGATTTTCATGAAATTTGGTAACGTGACAGCTGGTTATCCGGGTCAACATAAATAGGATACCTTTTACCGCGGGAAAATGTCCCATTTCTGAGAAAATATACAAAAACTGCAATATAAGAGTATACTAATACATGTAAAACCTAAGAATTTGGTTTTTGGTCATCTGAACGCGGGCGGAGCCGCGGGCGATGCTAGTTTATAACTCGGGTCATCTAAAAAGAACGCTGGAAGGAAGTGGAGAGGGTATGTTTGCGCATGGGTATACTCGCGCACAAAAGTACTAAGCCTATTATTTTATTTTTCATAGCATTTCGCTCGCGGCTTCATATATTAGTTATTGGTAGGGAAATTGAAAAATATATTAGATAGAATATCATTAAATAGAATTCTATTCATTATTAAAATATGTTTGTTTCAGTGCAGAATGTTTAATCTACTTACAAAAAATTAAATTAATACGTTTAATACATTTTTTTAATTATTAACTGCATTATTATCAGACTCTTCACTTTGTAAAACAATATTATGTCAAAAATAATTTTTCTCTTTTCCATATATAAAACCATTTCATAATTAAAAACTTTTGTGTGCGCGATGGTATTTCGAACTGACGAACCAATAGCGCGCCGGCAAGCATGCGGCGCGGCCGCCCCGCGCACCTCTTACCACCAATTTGACTGATAAATCGCTTCTGCGCAGCTTGACAGCCAGCGTTCTTTTTAGATGACGCGAGTTATATCAATAAAAGTTAAAAACTAAACTACATGGATCACAGCTTGCAAAAAAAAATTAAGTAAAATTATAAACAACGAGGTATAATAGTGAAAAAATAAAAGAACCTGGAGTAGAAAATAAACAAAAAAATGTGTATATTTATTCCATAAAAATGAGTTTCATTATGATATTATTTGTGCACACTTATAATTCTAAACACATAAACGATACACTTACAACAGAAAAATAAATGCTTTTCGGAATTGCATGCATAATTTTGGTGAATGTGACGAGATTTTACAACTAAATATAATAATACATAGATTACACATATTTATATCACAGTGCATCAATAAGATTATTTTGTCTTTTTACAATAATTTTAGTAAAATAAAATGAAAAATGAGAAGAAACTTTAAAAGATCTAGATGCAGATGATTTATAAGAAGGTAAGTAATAAATTAAACATTTTTATTTTTGGTTAATATTATCCAACTTATTCGCTAAGCAAGTACAATATCTGACAATATATTACATCTCTTAAACATAAAATACTCGCAGTTAAAATGAGTAGATAAAATTTACATATTTCTAAAACAACATTACAAACTGAATTCTCGCTTGATCTGGTCGAATCGCTCGCCAGAGTTATTAATCGAAAATGGTCCCGTTTTATTGGCCTTTCTATATTTGCCCAAAGAAGAGGGCGGCGAAGTTAACTTCCGCCCCGGGCGGCGGAAGTGCACGCTACGCCGCTGTGTACATATCCACATTTTATATAGTACTCGTATAAAGTATGTTATATACATCTATACATATAATAAAATTCTAAGTCAAATCTGTACATTAAATATTTTTTGGAAAATCTTATTGAAATAGACATTATTATCGATACAGAGGCCGAATCTATAGTTTTTAGAATTTTTGTCTGTATGTCTGTCTTTCTGTCTGTCTGTTACCGCATCCCACAAAAACTACTGGACGGATTTTGATGAAATTTGGTATGGTCATAGCTGATTATCCGGGTGTTGCACATATAGGATACTTTTTACCGCAGAAAAATATCTCAATTCTGAGAAAAAAATACAAAAACTGGTTAGAATAAAAAAACGATGATACTATATAGATTTTAGCAAGTTAACTTACTAAATTTTTAAAACACTGTTAAAAATAGCTAATCTTGAAAAAGTATATCAATAGCACTATTTTATTAATTAAAAAAATATTTTAATGAATAGTTATTTTTGTATTATTTAGATATTTGTCAATAGATGTCGGTGTCTTAAAAATACGTAGTTTTAATTCCAAAAAATTGAATGTACAAATTCGACTTTTCTATGATTTTATTAGAATTACTACTAAATTACCCGCGGTCCCGCCCGTGTTTAAATGATCAAAAACAATCTTTTTGGCTTTATAAATTAGTTACATCTATAGATACATTAAAATTTAATGAAGCAGTATACAGATACTGCTAAAGCACAGGCTTTAAATATTTTTTGGAAAATTTTATTGAAATACACATTATTATCGCTAACAGAGGCCGAACCTATAGTTTCAAGAATTTTTGTCTGTCTGTCTGTCTGTCTGTGACCGCATCACAAAAAAATCACTGGAGGGATTTTGAAGAAATTTGGTATGGTAATAGCTGGTTATCCGGGTCAACTAATATACCTACTAATACGAGTATACTAATATATAAAACCTAAGAATTTGGTTTTGGTCATATGAACGCGGGCGGAGCCGCGGGAAATGCTAGTATAAATAATAAATTAATTATAAAAATGCCAAGAACTTGTTTTCGCAGGTCTGTATTATATTTTGAACTACGACAAAAACAGCATCCATCACAATTTAATCCAAATAAATAATAGCAAACAAATAAGCATATAAATGATATATTTCACTTGTCAGAAATGTGACTGGGAATAATCTGCTACAGCTGAACTTACGAAGCTGAAAAAATGAAATAAAAACTAACATAAATTAAATAGAAAAAATTAAAAGTAAGACGAATGAATGTGAAAAAAGTGAAACTTCTTTGACACTTTCGAATAATGCATAAAGAAAAATAAGCACTTTTGTCTGTACCCTGTACCCACTTCAAACAGCAAAAAGACCGACGTCATAATATGAATGCTGTTGACGTGAACTTCATACTATTCTATGACGGCTAAGTTAAATCCAACCAAAAAATAATGGTTCAGAGACATTAAGAGAAAGAAGTTATTTTTGCAATTGTTAAACTAAGCCCATAAAATAGCGCAAAGCACCGTGCTCGCGCATGATACGAACTTAGCTTTCATAGAATTAAATGAAGTTCACCTCAAATTTTTCGATATAATATGACCATATTTGTTCGTGGTCCTAGAATAATTATTACCCGTTGTCTTTTGCTGGCAGAACGTGTGAGCTCCATATTCTATCAAATCGAACCAAACAATCTTGTAAATTAATTTACTATTATTTCCTATTAATTTTAAAAAGAAGACTAAAAATTTAAAACGTACTATGTGACACCTGTCTCTGAGTTTTTATTCAAGACGGCCAAGGAAGATTCACTTTTAAAAAAATCAAATGATGTTTAAAGCAACAGAAAAAAACGTTTTACTCCTTAAATGTATAATGAATGTTTTTTGTGTTTAGCATATAAAGAATGAGTAATAAAAATATTTTCATTAGGCTATAGTTTGATAGCAACAAAGTAAATTAAATAAAAATATTAAATAGAAGGTAATTTTAGATGGTCAATATATGCGTATAATATATATATATATATATGTCGTTTCATTGGCTATTTATGTATGAAATTTCAGATGGATCAAGAGATGCGGTGTAAATAATATAGGTGATAATAATACTGTAAAAATTTATACTGCACGTGCATAAAATATAGTATATATACATGGTGTATAATATGGTGGTGTCTACTTAAATATAATAATAATTATATATTTAAATTGGCAATTCTAATGTATATTTAATATATTTATATATTGAATGCTCAGCATAAGGAATATGTTTAGGTCTACCATTTTCTTACTAAAAATTATTTTGTTCGAATGTAATGTGTAGAAACAAGTTTAAACGAAGTATCTAATTCTGTATATATTATGACGTTATCGAAAATAAGCAAAACAAGCATTTAAGGCGTAAAACATTAAAATATATTATAAAATATTATGTAAGCGAAGTACGTACCGCTAATAATTAGGCAAAAATATTTCGATCATTTATGTAATTAAATTTTGAAACATAAGTTCACTACTCTACCAAAAACATACATGTGAAAAAGAGGCCAAGTTCAGTACAGGCGACCTTTGGGTGTACGTCGCGTCGTTTAAGTTTAGATATGAACTGGTATCAAATGCTTTATTATAAAAAAGGTGGGTCAATTAAATGAAACTTTTCATATTTCACATATATGCTTTTCATTAAAATTATCAATTTACGTACATAATAACAAATGCATTCATGAAACATACCCGTTGCTCGTGCTCTGAAAGTGGTCACCATGAATTACCTGAAAAATATTTTTTTAATACATATATTAGTGTGTTGATTTTATATTCCTGTACTATAAGTCAATGGCCCCCACAACAATATTATAAATATTATAGTGAAACAAAAATAACATAGTTATGATTGGACCTCGCAATAGTCATTTGTTTTTATTTGATAATAGTGCGGAGGACAATTTGAACTTAAATCTACCTCATACGTTTTATTTTCATATTCCAGTGGGACGACAATGCAACACGACCGGATATATTGTTTGATCGTATCCGATTGTCGTCGTACATTGTTAACGTCCGTTATGAGAAATAAATGCAATTCAGAAAATGTGAATCTATTTTGTCATTATGAAGACATTTAAAGTAATCGTATTTAGTAGTTACCTATTGAATAGTCAATACAAAAATGGACATTTAAAATGCGCTTCAGTGGTCTTATTTTACCGATCTATCTCCTTCGTATCCTCTCCATTCTACGTGACATTGGCGCAATCTTGTGGTCAACTGACACGCTTTGAAGCCATTAACAAGAAAATAAAATTGAATTTAATTAAAATGCGCTCGCTGGAGGCATGGATAAAAGATTCTTATTTTTTACTACTACTACATAATATACATTTATGTTAAAAATAATGTTATTTTAAAGGTATAGTAATTAATTAATACTCTAACACAACACGATATATTTATTATTTATTTTATATACATATTATTCCTTTGCAACTATCTGACGTGATCTGTCATCTTCATGTATAGGTATATAATTTTCAATTTTCTTACACAATTTGATCTTGTGATCACATGAAAAAATTCACGCTATACGCGCAGAATTCTTTCTTAATTGTTCCCTTCTAATACAGTCTATGCTTTAGGTAATAGGTTCTAAAAAAATACCAATAAGTTCAAGTATATTTGATGTTTTTTTTTGACTAAAATATAAATAATTTCTTTAATTATTAGGTAGGATATCGGAAGAAAAAAACACCTAACCCATGACATTCAATATGTCACTTTGTTAAATATCGAATCCATATATTAGACAGTGCCAAAGTTAATCTTTTAATCTACGGCCATATCAAATATCAGTGTCACAATAAAACTGTATTACTTACGAGTATATCTTAGTCTCAACGGTACGCGCATTTATATTCAAAAAAATCATCATTCTGTCTGTGACCGCTTCACGAAAAAACCACAGGACAGATTTTGATGAAATTTTATATGATGATAGCTGGTTATCCGGGTCAAAATATAGGATACTTTTTACTGTGCAAAAATAGTGACGAACGCTCCCTCCGCTCGTGTATAATATAGCTAGTAAATAAATAAATGTGACTTATTCCTACAATACTCACATTGGCGATGGCAGACGGCGGTTTGGGCGCGGTGAAGCGGCCGACGGCCGGCGTCACCACCGGCGTGCTCCGCCCCGACTTACTATTAGCACGGAATCTCATTACCACCAAAATAAAAATTAGTTAAAAAATATTATAACAGATGGCGTATGTATCGATTTGTTTTTATTTTCACTTAAAATTCCAAATAAATATAGCGGCAGCTCGGGGATAGATTTTATCGCCATCTATCATTTACAACTAGAGGCCTTTACATTTACAACTAGAGGTGCTAGATGTCACCTTTTTAATTCTCACTTGCGCCATCTATTATCCATTTTAGGACAAAAAAGGAAAGCCAAATATATGTATGGAATGCACTATCTGTACTAGTATAGCATTATATGATCTGTGCTATTACACATTATTGCTAATAGTACTCTCTGAGATGACATTTAAATTGGTATTTCGTTAAGATATTATATATTGTTATATTTTTTTTTATTATCTTCGTGCTGTAGCGGTTATATTTCCTGTTATGATGATAATTTATATGAAATTTAGAAAATTAATCACTGATAGCATAGCAGTTTTAATATGTATATAAAAATGCATTGTGTTACACAATTACTGGTCGGTTATTCATTATTATTATTTATTTATTTTATTTTTAAATGAAATCATTTTAAATGAAGACATTAATTATAGTAATATAACGATTTAAGTAAATTAATCATAACAGTGCATAAGCGGAGTATAGGTATTAGTATATAGAGCGTCGAAGCCGCCTGGGTTTGGGTCTGTAAAGATAATTCATTTTTAAAAGATTTCTATATGAAATTACGTTTTCTTCCTCAGCACTCATCTAGCCTGTACAGAAACAAGCTGATTGCATCGTAACATTTTATCTTAACAAAACTGCGAATTAGTATATAATATGAATTGTCGACCTAACGTTCAATTCGAATATTTCCTTCAATCAAGAATCGGTCCAGCGACCTAGCCTAACCTGGGCCTATAACATAATTATTTAAAACATCTTAGATACTTTTTATCCCGGAAAAATAAATAGTTCCCGTAGGATAGTTAAAAAACTATAGTATCTTATACAGCTTAGTACACAACAACTTATGCACCTAATTTAGTAAAATTTAACATTCTGATACCTTATATTGCCGGTCAAACAACAGGTTACTTTCATCCCGGAAAAATGAACAGTTCCCGTGGGAACTAATAGATCTCTATTAGTTTTTTCTAGAGGCGAACCCGAGCGAAGCGAGGGTGAGCCGCTAGTATATATATATGAATCATAAATAAAAACGAAATTATGCTCATTGATAACATCACTGAACTGATTTGAATAATTTCTTCAAAAATATTTTAAATAGTCCAAATTAAGTGTTTAGAGAAAATATTTATAAAAGTTATCGGAAAAATTACGGAAATCGGTTTTTTCTATATTCCCATATTCCCAAAGATCACAAACAAAATTGAAATTTAGTCTGAAGAAGGTCTCGGTTTACTTTGTATCAATAATGTATATTAATATATAGATATTGTAGTGAGGAAGTGAACGTGCAGGTAAAACTTTGAACCCTTTTTTAAGCATATTGCAAGTACGTAGGAGATTTGCCATAGATAAAGTTTACATAGAGAAGGACCGCAGAAAGCCAAAATTTATTGACTTTCGTTTCCCGCGAATTCGCTCGCGTATTTTATTTATATATAATTGCTTCACTGCTAAAACATGCAGCATGATGTTAGATAACCTTCATCAATATTTTACGAGTACTTACATAATATAAAGATGAAAAGTTTGTTTGTTGTTTGCAAATCTCTGAATCTATGAGCCCGTTTCAAAACTCTTATGGATTTTAGTTTATAGGCTATCTATATAATTTTGAAGTAAGTATCGATCGATCACTAGTAATAATTAATATACAGTATATGTACATAATATGTGATTTTAAATCCATAATATGTAAAATATTAAATTTTCGCTTAAACTAGTTCTGTACTATATAATATGTAAATATTTTCATTATAGGTATATAAAAATGCACCTAATACATACTTGATATCCGCCACTGCGGCAAAGAATTGCGGCGAAATAGCAAAATTGTTATTTTGACGTATCAAACGGTCGATGCCGTAGTTTTTGCGTAAGAACTGCTCCATTTTAGGCGAGGGACCATCGATTGCTAGCTCTTGGGCCGACGTTTCCAAATCCTGTTAACAATCATTATTATCTTATTAGCAAACTATTGACACACCACCTCCGTTTATGTTTCGCGTGAAAAGTATAACGTATTAATATGGTAAATTTTTAGTACTAAAAACTTTGCAATATGCTTGCTAACTTTATTTTTTTTTAATAGAAATTATAGAACATTGAGAGAACAATAAAAAATAAATTAAATTAATTTTGAAGTTATTATCTGTACTCGGATAGGATATGGAGTTTCATTCAAATCTTTTTGGCAGAAAACAGCACGTTCCTTGAAAGTGGCTCGGTTAGTATTGATTGTGGCACATTAGGTAATTATAAAAAAAATAGGGCTACTATGTTTTTTTATAATACCTATTAATAACATACTACCTTCTAAAATGCTTTTAAAAATACATTAAAAACACCCGATATATATAATACTTACTTGCAACATGTGGTCAAATAGAACCCTTCCGTATCCGTGTCGTTGTCTATCCGGGAGGATGAAGAAGTCCAGGACGCAGAGAGGTTCCACTTCGCGCACTTTGTCTCGCTCGTCGAATAGGAACAAATGTTTGTGACCAACCTTTAGAAGCCCTATTACGTCACCTTTTCCTCTGCAAAAGAGGAGCCAAGTTCTATTATATAGAAAACAAGAGTAAAAATCAGTAAATACATAGTGTTACAACAAAAAGTATTTATTTATATTATTTTATAAAATTCGTAATATTACAGTAAAAACTTAGTAACAAATATAGCAATATTTAACCTGCAGTGAATTTCACTTAAATATTATATGTCCTAAAAGCGTCCGAACTGTTTAAAGGTCCTAAGTATTTCTGTCAATAACGGTTATGTTTAACGAAGTGACAAGCGTGTTATTTGGCAATTAGAATAATGTAAGAAATGGCGCAATGCCTTTACACCTGATTAAAATTTACTGAATTAACATTTCTTTTATATAATATCTACATAATGCCTAGAAACGAATTCAATCGTTCATTATTTGCAAAGTAATTACATAAATGTTATGTGTGTTTTAAAATAATATAATAGCATTATCCTGTGTTCTTAAACACTATAAAATATATTTACGCAAAACAAACAATTTCTAATACAATCTTAATATACCATTGGCGTTATGCTGGTTGAATATGGCGTAAAAAATGCGTAGCCACGTCACACTTCAAAGAACAGCTAGCATGCGGGCCCACAGCACTAGTTAGTGTAAAAAACGGAGCAAAAACTCTCAATGCCAATTTTTTTAGAATCAAATAAGAAATATTTTATTTTATTTCATAAAATTTGATCTATTTACAAACAAAATTGAAGTATCTCTGTGATTTATAAGGAAAGGATAGAATATCGATTTTAACGTGGAGATGAAACGTGGTAGAGTGTGGAATTCATAGGGGAGAGTAGACAGAGACAGATAAAGTATGAGATTATGTGGCGACATAGGTTGCTTTCAAACCGTGAAACTTGAGCAAAGGTAAAAAAATGTAAAGTATAAAAAAATCAAGTCTATCATGGATAAAGAAAGTAGTTCCATTACAACTTTAGTATTGTACAGATAGTACACAATGGAATTTTTAATGTAATTTGTTAACGTTTATAAAGAGTTCCCGAGGGATAGTGGGTAAAAGTATTATTATCTTTGAAATGACATGATTTAGAGTAACACTAATTTATATAATGAGTACATATTTTATAATTCAAAGCATGGCAAAATTGAAATTTAACAATTTAAAAATACGAGCATAAGCAGTAATTATACAGCTTTTTTATGTGGCTTATAGAGGAAGAAATTTCAAACTTTGTTTTATCTTTAACACCAATATGAAGATAATGGGTTTGGTGGCAATATATTTTCCCCAAATTTGACAGACATTGATCATAAACACTTGCCCCGTCCAGCATTAACTTTTTGGCGACCTTAGAAGTAGGTAACGCTAGCCTTAGAGCACTTACTTAGATATTGACATATTTGACATAAAACATCAAAGCGAACATAAAACATAAGAATTGTTATACAGGAATTCGCAAAATGATCAATATTTTATAAAATGAGCAATATTTAATAATGAATTCGCTTCGCTTTACAAAATACATTTCAAAGGCATTTTTCGATATTTACTTAAATAAAGAAGTAAATGAGGCCCTTCAAGCAAAAATACTCCTCTATTTATTCATATAAATAAAATAGCTCTAATATAAAAGGACATTTATGTGATGATTTATGATATATGAAATGTTCGCATCGCTAATAATAAAAGAATCAAAAAAATGTACGTTAAATCAAATTTGTGTTGAATTCGTGATACTTCATGGTATACCTACCTATATTATTTTAAAATCAAATTCAATCTATAACGTTATATGCTAATCTTTTAAACTATAGGCCGCTTTTGCGACAACAATTTAAAAATAAAAGCTTAAAAATAACATATTACATACATACATACAAACATAAATAATGTTAGGTAACAATGTTTGGTTTATAGATTATATGGATAAGAATGTTTATAATTTTTTCACATTAAGTCGAAGTAATTGCCGAAATACCGAAATACCAAAGGGGACATGCAATCTTTCGAGTTGATTAGCCGCATTGCGGATATCGATACGGTTTGGGACTTGTCTTATGCTGTAACTTGTAACAATAGTACCGACTTCATTAAATAATAAATGATAAATAACAATTAGCTTAGCTTTTATAAGTAAAATGATAAAATCAAACAATCACAATATACGTTATCGTCATGAATATTGCTTACGTAACCAAACCTGTTGAAAATGTAAATTAATCAGACGCGTCGATAAATAGGCAGTAAAAGCGAAAATGGTAGTAAAAACACTATATTATGTTGACTTAATATTTTTTGTGAATAGCACTTACATTACGGTTATGCTAGGTCTAATAGAAACTCTGCACATTTATATAATCTATCAATTTTTAAAACAATTTAGTTTTAATTAGCGAGGGTGAGTCGCTAGTTACCAATAAATGGGCATTGGTTTTTAATGATACAAAAATAACCATCTAATCTAAATTTGTAATGATCTGATTTGTAATGTTTTTATAACGTCTTCATTTTAGCTTCATATTACCGATACACTAACTAGAGTGCCAATGTAATATACAAACACATTTCTATATATGAAATAGCTGAGATCCATTGAAAATCCTAATTTTATTATATTTAATTTTAAGAATATACAGTAAAATGTATATGAATACTGTTTTTTTTATTATAAACAAGTGTTTTAATCATTATTAAAGCTTTACTTACTAGTAACCTCCACTGAAAAAATATTAATGCCGATTAAAATAGCATATAATATTCTTATTACTTTCTATGGTCATAGATAAGGAACGATATCAAATTCATACAATAAATTTTTTATTATTTTAATCTTCTTTTTGTATTAATTTTACAAACATTTTTTGTTATATAGTCTAAATCTCTTTATAATAAAACTCTAGGGATGGAGCATTTTTCTTTGATATAGAGTTTTCATTATATCAAGTGTTGAAGAAGTATAGTCAAATTTCAATAATCACAATAATTTTTGTTTTTTTTTTTGTTAATAGGTTATATTAAATACTATTATATGTAGTCTGTTAACATGTCTGATATTTTTTCTATGCCAGTATTTGTTTTGTATTTTATTCCTGTTTTGGGATTTGGTGGTTCATTAAACAATAAGAATTTTTATTAGTTTAGAGGCATTAAGTGCTACTTGAATAGATGGTGGTGGTTCAAACTTGTTCACTTCATAATTTTTTTCATCTTTATTTTGTTTCACACTATATTTCAACATAATGTATATTTTCAACAAAATGTATGCATTTCTTCATAATAGATAAATACCGTTTCGTTATAAAGAGTATATCAATCTTTGGGTTTAAAAGTAAACCAATTAGATTGAAGTAATTTCTATTTTATATGGTGATTTTTTCATTATAATAAATAAAGAGTTTACACTGTATTTTATTTTTATATTACAATATAAAAAAATAAAAATTATATTAAATTATCTAGATGAGAGAAATAATACTCACTCTTTTGCCTTGGCATCTTTGAGTAGGTATAAGACGTGAGTAGGTGAGTTGCGCAGTTTCTCAGCTGTGGTGATCACTTTATTCAGCCCTTGCGCTTTTGCCGATTGTTCTCCGAGGATATCAATCAACTTGCATAAGCTTTCTACCATTACCCTACAAAAAGAAATGGAAAGCAGTGTTATAGTGTTATTGAATATAAAACAATCAATAATAATTGGGGGTAACAATATTATTATAGACAAAATTCAAGAAATTATAAGCATGAGACCATTATTCCTTAATTTACTAAAAACCTTTAATGATTATGAGAATAAAATCTTCCAGTATAGTTGAAAGTAAATAATTTAAATTATGTAGCAAAATTAATACTTTGTGATGATCATTAATAGTAGACCTATGTACTATAACTAAAATTGTATAGATAAATATATGTATAAAATATATCCTTAACTTTATTGTATGTAAGTCCAATTAAAATATTTTGGAAGTTCTAAAATCATTGATATTGTAAGGATTTAGTCATAAATATTCACGTGTTGATATTTTTTCTCTTGTATATATTTTTAAAAGCCAAGTCAAAGCCTTGCTAAGTAAAGAAAGAACCTTGAGTAGGTGTGCCGTCCATTCGGCATTTCTAAGTTTTTGTTAATGAAACTATACTTATTTAGCATTTTTTTATGAAGCAATAATTTAATACTTTCTTAATTTACTCGAATATTTAAAATTTTAAATACAACTATCTTTTCGGATTATTTCACTTGTTACAGACCTACACAGTGCCTACACACTATTTTACAAAAATGATTTCAAAAATTCAAAAATGGCAAAAAAGTACCTACCTTACAATATTTGTTGATTTTTATTTCTAACAAGTATGTATTTGAGACGTAGAGACTATAACCTTAGTCTCTCCCGTGACCATGATTGCTGTAAAGCATTCGAAACGTCGGGAACCAAAAATCAGAATAAATCCGCGAAATAATTTGAAAAGATAGTTTTATTTAAAAAGCAACAATTTATTACGATTTACTTACATTATAGAACTAAATAAAAACACAATTTTTCTAACCTCACACTCCTTACATCTCCGTGAAATCCTGGTGGAATCAAGGTGCAATTCAATTTTGTGATATTTTGATTTAACATTTCATTGACCGGCAGCATCCACTCCATTTTAGTAATTTATTAAAAAAATAGTAGCAAATAAGTTTATTCAGTTTGTCCCTATCTAGAGATTTAATAGTAAATTACAATTAATTTTTCACCACTAAGAAGTAAGACACTCTACTTAGAGTTTACACAGATTAAAGATTTTATTCTCACGAATTGAAATCTACGGTAGATTTCTATTTTCTACGTTAACGGCAGTGCGGCACTACTCACCAGGGCTGCCAGATGACAGTCGTATATTTACCCGACCAATAAACCTCAAAATACCCGGTTTACCAGCGCGGCGCCGACCATGAGCAGAATACCCGAAAATAATTAAATCATGTTTTATATAGAATAAAAGAAAATACTAATGTTATAAAAAGAAGTCATTGTAATCAGTTCCCAATTAAACAGCTTTAAATTATTAAATCAAACATAAAAAAATAATTAAAATATCAAATTAATCAATTTCCTCTAGTACTTGGCTTACTAAAATCAGAAGAAGACCATAATTCGGTTCGTAACATTTGAACACTGGGCTGAAATTTCACGATACCTCCTGCTTTACGGATACCTTCCTGCGCGGCCAATATTGCAACAACATTATCTGTTTTGTATGAGTTTCGATGAGCTGTTGTTTTTTGAATTATTATTACGGTAATGTTGCCATCTAAACTAAAACCCGCTTTGACCCCGCTAAATGCAAATACCCGACAAAATTACCCGCCATTAAAAATCACCTAAACTTACCTGCCTTTCGGGTAATTTACCTGCCAATTGGCCGCGCTTATAGAGGGTAGAAATAAGGAGGACCATCTCAGTGTATTAAAAGTGTCCGTTGAAAGAGAGCAAATTAAGGTGGCGCTATAGTAGCATGTGAGAGAATTTTAAAAGTAGCGCCACAAATTATTAGAGTAGGACACTAAATTAAAAAAGGAAAGAAAAATTTCCGCTTTGTTACAATGTTTTTTTTAAATTATTATAATATACAGACAAAAATGAATATGGAATAAAATTATACAGTATTTTTAAGTACTCCAATTATTTGTAAATTAAATTATTATTATTTGTAAATTATATTAAATTTTTCAACCCAGCACACAGTCTTCTCTCTGTTCATAACTGCTAAATTCATATCATATCCATTTCCTACGCTAGCGCAATTTCGGTGAGTGTTCTAACAATAATTTGTTGTTTACAAGTGGACACTTTTTCAACTAATCCCCCATACAAGACGGTAGAGTATACATATGCTATAGAACGCGCGTATCGCTCATTGTCCATTAAGCGAAACGTAAGCAGATGTTCTATACACACTTATTGATACTTGTAGATGAAGCGGTTGAATAGTGATGCGCCTAGTAAAACTTTTAGAATTTAATTAAAAAAGAAGTATATTAACATAAACTATTTAACATAACCATTTATTCACGCAGATAATAATAGTCTATATTCTCTAAAATTACAGTATTTCAAATTAATATTTTTCATTTGTACCTAAATCTATGTAGTAATAGTGTTGCTTAATATTTTGATTTTTTTAAATAATAGTAAACTAAATTAAAATTATACCTATATTATTCTCTTTAACTTTTCGCGTTCCATAATTATATTATAATAATTACACAACGGGACTTAAACGCAAATTACAAGAATTAAAGGTGAATTCACGCGTTTAAATGCCTGTAATTATTATATAATTATAATTCTTAATTAATTTTAACATTTTAAATGTTTTAAATTTCACAAAGAACAATAATGTGGCTTGAATAATTCTTGCTTTATGTTTATAAATATAATAATGACAACACTAATTATGACGACTTATTCATAAAGTTTTCTAAAAAAAACGTAATAATTATAATAATAACAACTAAAATGAAATAAATAATATTCCATGCAATTATAAAACTTATTAAAATTATAAAAATGTTTAAAATTAAGTAATATTGTAAGGTACTTTGGTGCCACTAAAATTTAAAGGTTTTATTTTTGAGAAATACATATAATACTATGGTTATACAAAATATTCGAGTAGTACAACGAACTTTCTTTTCTATGCTTATAAATTGTGTGATATTGTACTGTTTGCGGATGATACCTCTTTAATTTTTAAAGTAGATAGAAATATAACTGATTATGACAAAGTAAACAGTGCGTTATCTCAAACACTTAAGTGGTTTAACATCAAGAAAACTAAATCTATTTACCCTACCTAATGTAATTGACACTCATTAGACTCAGGTCTTCAGTGGAGCCCCCATTTGTCATCTCTCGCGAGTAGACTGAGCTCCGCTGTGTTCACTGTTAGGAAAGATATGGCAGCTAACAGATGTTGATACTGCTAGTCTTGTTTATTTCAGCTACTTCCACAGCATCTTGACTTACGGAATTTTGTTGGGTAATGCAGTGGATATAAATTCTATATTTATTCTCCAAAAAAGGGCTAATCGGGCAATTTATAATATCAGAGCTCGGGATACCCTACGAGATTTTTTTAAGGAAATTGGTGTACTTACGGTTGCATCGCAATATATATATTGTAATATTCTGTATGTACGACAAAACATTCATTATTATTTAATACACAGTGATAGGCACGAAATAAGCACTATAAATAAGGATAAACTGCTTTCGCCTTCAAAAAGTGTATAGATCGTTTATGGGGCAAGGTGTACGCATGTATAATAGAATTCCACAATCCATTTTGAGCTTGCCATTTAAACAATTTAAGTCTAAATTAAAAATATATTACTGAATAAGGCTTATTATACCGTCACGGAATACTTTGCAGATATCAATGTGTGGAACTAATGTCTGGTTGGGTCTCGCGTAGGATAAATAGATATTTATTGTATTATAATATTGTACACAATTATTATTTCAAAAGAGCAACTGCTGAGTTTCTCGCCGGTTCTTCTCAGCAGAAAACTGCATTCCGAGCTGGTGGTAGCTTCCTAACGGACTGACTACACTGACATTTAATTTTAATTTAAAATGTAAAAGTGACGATTCAAAAGAGCTTGTAAAAGTCTATTTGAATAAAGTATATTTTGATTTGATTGATTCATAATTCATCAAGTCATTCTATAAATAACGTGTATTCTCCATTCTGCACGATTGACAATTGTATCCAACTGGCACTCCTAGAAGCCTCGAAACAAAAGAATTGAATTGAAGTTTTACTTCAAAAAAAAACGGTCAAACATATAACCTCCTCCATTTTGAAAGTCGATAGAATAAGACGAGATATTAATTTCATCTTTATTCAAAAAATTCAAGGCCGTTAAAGAACGGTAAATGGTTACAATAAATGGTTACAATAATTGATTACACATATTGTCTACACATCATGTTAATGACATTACATGAAGATATGTCAATTACTTTTAACGACGATACGAATATCACTAACATCTACGAGTACATTTAATTAATTAATTATAAATCAATGTTTCTTACGAATAATATGGAGTTAAAATTTTTTGACACTGGGACACTGACAATTAATTTGACATTGGTACTAGGTACATAATTAGAGGAGCTAAGTATATATTATCTTATAAGATGAAGGTAGGTATAATATAGAGTTCGATTATAATATTGTGATGGTACAAATATTTTGCAATGAGAATTAAAAAAGGATCATCGGTGATTATGTTTGTTTAACGTACTTAAATCTAAATATAGTGAATATTAATTAAACCATTCCAGAGGAAATGGTATAAAGAAGAGCTTAATCTTTTATACTTCTTTTTTCACAACGGCGGGATCATAGGACGGCACGATTCAAAAAGTAATGGGCCCATTTATATAAAAATTTAGTCTAATAGGAGCAAAAAGGGCATCGAAAAATATACTTTCTGCTATTTTAGATAAATTTAGAGAACTATAAAATTTATATAGCATTAAATAAAAGTATATAGGTAGGTATACTACAAAACATAACTAATTAAGGAACAAAATATCTTAGAAAGAAAGTAATTATTATAATTCGTGTCAGTATAGTGATAGAGGAATACATATTAATTAGTACCTAAATTTATGTACTTCCTCATAAAATATTTAATAGGTAACAGTTAAAGCCTTTATTTTTAAAACACAATGATTTTATGCATCTATGTACCCTATGACGTTACTAGTCACTAGTCTACTACATTGATAAGTTCGTAGTGAGATAAAACTTCAAATTCTACAAACTACATGTACAACATTTTTTTTGAAAAAGGTTAAACCTCCAAATATCTTAACATTAAGGGGAATGAATTTCATAAACATTAGAAAGGTGGCAAGACACATTTCATGCATCAGTAGGTATAATTTAAGATCTCTTGCCAGGAGCATCAATATAATAATAAGTCTCATAGGTTACATAAACATTACATTTAAGCGTACATCAAGTGGATACATATATACGAGTACATCTAAACAGGAAAATAGTATTTGGTTAACACCTGTTAGATATGCACATCTGGTTAAATAGAACATTTTTCGTAACTGTTTTACTTATCATCAGGTCCAACAGATTCACATTCGTATTTTCTATTCTTAACATGTCAATCATTCCTGAAATATAAAATCTCAACGTATGTGCGTGTAAAAATTATCAATAATATTCTTTAGATAATGATGAAGTAGTACAACAAGCCACCCAGAACTGATTCAGCACTTGGTTCACGCCCGTGCTGGATCATATTACCAGGTACAGCCTGAGATATCAAATTCGATTTAAAAAAAGTAATAATAATAATAAATCTTAGCATATATAATCGAAATAGCATATAATTAATAAAAAAGTAATAGCGTATACATATGAATAGATATATAGTGATAATAATAAATATACACAAAAGTCTTCATCAAAAATGAGTCTTTTGTTATTATATTACAATTTAATTAACAGTATATAATTCAAACTAAGTTTGTCAGTCTCACAAGCTCTTATTCAAATTCTTTTTCTTTCTTCCATTGTAAAGCGCAGTCTTGCTTCGTTTGAGCGACTTAAGCCTTAACCTCATTCCTTAGTATGCCGTTAGTCCGATGATGATTACCTATCCGAAAAAATGAAGTAATTCCGTCTGTGCATGGCCTATCATTGTGACCTATGGAAAAAATATTATTAGTATTTTTTTGTTTTATAATAAATCCTAATGTAATTCTAATTCAGATAATTTTTTAAAACTTACCAAACTGTTTGACTGGGACTGAAGACAACATTACATAAGGAAATTAGATAAGTATTATACTTAATCTAAATGTTGAAGTACACCAATTAGGCTGTAACAGAAACGAGATTTTGAATCGTATGAGTACTGAAATTAAGTTTGAAAATAATAATATGAATAATATTAATATTAACATACCCAGAATCATCTTCATTTTCAGAGTCGGAATCAAAGCTTCCAACTGGTAGTTCATCTGAAATTATTAAAATAAACATGTTTATTCTGATTAATTTTGTAATAAATTTCGTATAAATATTTGATTATGTTGTAAAAATTCTATTATTATCTTACCTATAATGCTGTGCATGAAATAATGGGTAACATGTTTTGTGAGCAAGTACTCCAAAATCCTGTCTCGTTCTTCTTTAGATCCTAATCGCACGATGATACGGAAATCATCTTTAGCGGGCTGGGTTCCAGGCAGAGGTCTTCCCTTCTTGCAAATGAGACCGAGCTATAAGAAACATTACAAATTTAAATTTTAAAAATAAACTAATAGGTACTGCATAAAAATAGCTTGCATCATCATTTTCTTTCGCTTTGCAAATTTCATGTATTTTATATAAAAATATATTTAAAAAAACGAGCTTTTATTTAATTTTTGTTTATGTTCTAAACAGAAGAAAATTGACTTTAAATTAAATCAAACCTATCAATTTATATGACATAAAAGCTTGTCGCGAGATTTACCTATTTTATTGTACCTATTACATGTTTTCCCACAGTAAAATGTATCCTATATGTTGACCCGGATATTACCAGCTGTCATCATACTAAAATTTCATCAAAATCTATCCGATGGTTTTCCCGTGATGCGGTCACACACAGACACACAGACAGAAGAACATTCTAAAAACTATAGAATCGGCTTCTGTATCGATAATAATAACTATTTTAATAAGATTTTCCAAAAAATATTTAATGTACAGATTCGACTCAGTTCGAAGTTTATTATATGTATGGACTAGTAGGTCTCCCACGCCTTGCTCGGATTCGTCCCTAGTATGTTTTAAATAGATATTAGCCAGCGTTAGCCAAATAATTTTTAATTTCGTGAAATTTTCTAATGTTTTAATAGTTATTCTGCTATTCGGGGCGGAGACTAACCCGATTTTGTTTTATTTGTATGGATAAAATATTTCAAAAACAAAGCTCCATTTTGACAAATAAGTACTCATTTAATATATTTAAAATTTCTGAACGCACGCATAAATATTTGACAATCAATAAATTCAATTCAACTTTTTAGGTTTGTGCTTCTAGGAGTACCTTTACTTAATTTACTTAATCAAGACAATCAATCATTTGCCATTACTCAGATTATTAGACATTTTCAAAATTTAAAAGGGAAAATTATTTTTTTTCATAGTTTTTTTAATTCCATTTTCCATTGTTTTAATATTTATTCTGCTCTGCGAGGCGGAGACATATCCAACAAATCAAGAACCATGAAAATCGGTCCTGAAGTTCTCGAGTTATAAGTGTTGTACCAAACCCGTTGTTTTATATATATAGAGTTTAGATTTGTGCATTTGAGTTTCGAATATAGCGATTCATTTGTTTTCACGCCATTTGATTTTTCTTTGATCATTTTATTCATACTAAGGAAAACTTAAAATATCGCGTTATTTACAAATACGAGTTCCACCATAGCACCAGCGCTGCAGAAACAGCTCGAAGGATTAATGATGTGTATGGGGAAGCTACTGTAAAAGAAAACATGGTACATTTTTAATTCCAACGTTTTCGAAATTTTGATCTACAGAATAAACCCCGTGGACGGCCGAAAACTCTAGTTGGCAATAAAGAATTAAAAGTGATCGTGGCAAGCGGATTCATCGCAAATCACGTCAGAGCTAGCAAGCTTCGGTGTGAGTGATAAAACAATTTTAATTCACTTGAAAGAAATTAGAAAAATAAAAAATGCTGAACAATGCACCACACACTGCACACCAGGCGGTCACTAAGTTAGAAGAGCTGCGATTGGAATGTCTCCGACACCCACCATTTTTTTATTACTTTCCGGAATTTGGACATCTCTTGCAAGGAAAAAAAATCAGTTTTAAGGAAGCAGTCAAACCGCCTTTAGAAATTTTATTGATTCTCGCTCCCACAATTTTTTTCAGCAAAAGAATTAATGAACTACTTATAAAATGGCGAAAGAGCATATATAGATATATACTTTGATTGATTAAATATATATTTTAATTTTTTTTTCTTTTTTCATATAAAAGGCCAAGTTCATATGGAAGGACCTAATATTATTTAACGGAATTATTATTATCATGTCATGTCGATATTATCAAAATGGCGGAAAAGCGTAACTGTTTTGAAGTTTCTGGAATAGTGATTTAATAAAAGAAAATGTCATGATTTGTATTTTAATTTCAGGCTGGCAGAACATTTTTATTTTACCAAATAATACAAGGTAATTATTATTGCTTACTCTTTTCACCATCATTTGTTACGAAGTCGAAATTTATTTGTTCTTTTTTATGCTTAGGCAATAAAAAGCAATAATCCGAGACTTAAATTTTAAAAACTCGTCCTTTGTCGAATTGAAATGCTTTTCAAATTGTTATATTGAATTCATCACAAAATTTACCACCTTTGTACACAGTTGAAAATCATTAGCAAATCAAGAGCATAGTTAAAAATTCGCGTTCAACAGCCACGCAAGCGACTTCGCTTATGCAACTTTAATAAGTATTTGTTAACTAGTAGTTAATTAATAGATTTTAAGTATACGAGTACATATGAATTTTTCATATGTTCTACGTAACAGTACATTAATTTAAGCCTTCAATATTATCTCCATCAAGAATTACCTACTTAATATGTAATTAATAGAACCATGCGATTGACATAGTGAAATAAAGAATATTTCACTATTTACTTACCTGACGACGAAGAAAGACTTTGACGAACTTGTAGCTCCATCCGCCAAGTACGTTTGTAAACAGAATCCAGTGCCCATACATGAAGTTTTCTTCATTTTTGTATGTCATCGGTCCTGGCTCAAAGTAATTCGTTGGGTTGATGTTTGGGTAATTCTCTGATGTTGGAGCAACATATCTGGGCTCGACATATATTTCTTCAGAGCGACTGCTGACACTAATGTTGCTGCTATTAGAAATTTCATCTTCAAGGTAGTCTACAGAGCGTAGCGCGTGACCACAATTCAGTTTTCTTTTTTTGCCGAATCCCATATGCCTGCGGTAGCCCCCATAGTCCCAAAAGACCCCCATATCAGGTTCAGGTTGGTATTGCAAGCCATGTCGTTCATGTTGCGTGAAATGATTTCGAGCGTTATCCTCGGACCCGTCTGAAAGCTCAAACGCCATTTCAGTATCTTCATCTGGGTGGCGCCTCTTTAGTGATGCTTGCTCAATTTCCATCTCGGCTTCCATGGGTTGTTGAGAGGGTGTTATATTGCTCGAACTCGGTACCTCCTTCGAAAAAAATGGATTTATATTACCATTATGATCCATTCTAAATGTTCGAGAGTTATAAATATATTTATATATATATATACATAAAAATGAACTATTTTTATAGAATTTTCGCGAGGATATAGGGTTTTTAATATCTAATTAATTGAATAACAATATGAAAATTAACTTTCCGGACACGCACCATTTCGCTTATTGAATACAATAAGACTTCTTTCGGAATTTTCCTTTCTCACCAAAACACAACACGGCGTCCTCTTCTGGTCCGGGTCACAAAATCAATACTTGCAAATGTTGGACCACGCATGCCCCACGCTCCTACGGGCTACAATAGCTCTGTTTCATCCCACCTCTTGTATGTTTGACATTTAAATATTTAATGAGCATTTTTCATTTAAAAATTTGGTACCATATTTAGTTTTCTAATATTTTATCGGAATTTTAACTTTAATTAACGACCCTGCGATTTAAATATTTATTCATGCAATTAAAAGTCATTTTTTTATTTATATACATAAATGTCCTCAGTCCTCCAATACATGTTAATTAAATCCTTATATAGAGTTAAAATTAGTTTCAATGTTATCGGAAATTAATGGATTTTATTCATCCATCATTCTTCGAAATATAAATGACTAGCATTGCCTGCGGCTCCGCCCGCGTCCAGGTGACCAAAAACCAAATCCTTAGGTTTTACATATTATTATACTCTTACATGGCAGTATTTGTATTTTTTCTCAGAAATGAGATATTTTCCCGTGGTAAAAAGTATCCTATGTGTTGACCCGGATAACCAGCTATCATCATATATCAATTTCATCAAAATCTGTCCAGTGTTTTTCTCGTGATGCGGTAACAGACAGATAGACAAAAATTCTAAAAACTATAGATTCAGACTCTGTATCGATAATAATTGCTATTTCAATAAGATTTTCCAAAAAAATATTTAATGTACAGATTCGGCTTAGTTAGAAAAAATTTGACAATGTCAATACAAAATTTATTGTGTAATCGAAATTTATTTTAAAATCTATCCAAAAATAACATTAATAATTGAATTAATAGTATAAAAAATGTTTTAAAACACAACAAAATCGAAAGTGCATAATATTTAACACCATTCAGACAAAGAAAGACAATAGCATTCCCAAGGAGGGTTGACGTCAGGCAGGCGGCCGGTCGTAAAACTTTTGCCAAATCCTATCAGCAGTACACTGAAGATGTACTGCGCCGACCCCAAGTGATTTGGGAAATGGGCAGGGAGAAGAAGAAGAAGAAGATTCGGCTTAGTTACAATTTTATTATATGTATAGATAAGTTTGAAATTATGTATTCATAAAATAGGCGTGCCAGTAACTTAGCTTGCAATATATAATATAACTTATAATAAAATACTGAACAAAGGCCAAATCTGTCCGATAAATTTCTTTTTGAGTTAGGTTTTTTTCATTACAGATATAATCATCAGACCAGAAATATTAAATTTTGTATGGATTGAAACATAATTTATTGACTTATTAAATAGAAATTATTTAAATAAGTATAAATAATCAGTAAATTATGTTTCTCGAGGATATATGTATAATATTTGACATCTTAAATCTCTTTGAATTTTTTCACTGATTTATTTTGATATATTCCATGCGTTTCGAATGATTTATAGCAGTTAAAAATTTTATGAAAGCTAACTTGCAAGCTTTGAGAACTTCACAATAGTTGATGTGAATTAGAGTACTAATTATTTATTTTTAGACCCTTATTATAAAAATAATAGTCGATTCAAATCACTGTGAGATGGGAGAAAATATAAAGATATTTTTTAGGGGTTTAGGGCAGAAAGTAGTTGCTATGCATACTAATACTATAAATGTGAAAGTGTGTTTGTTTGTCTGTCCTTCTTTCACGTCGAAACGGAGTGACGGATTGACGCGATTTTTTGTGTGGAGATAGTTGGGAGGGCTGGAGTGGAGTGACATAAAGTACTTTTTACCGTGTTAAATTATCTTTTTCCGACTGGAAAATACGTTATAATATAATACAAGAAAATATTTATGATCAGACTTACTTGAAACTTGGTATTAATGCTCTTCAATAAAATTAAATCAATACGTATTTTAGCATTTTTCGAAATTCACCTTATATGGGATTATGGACATATTAGGTCATTTAGGATGGAGTTAAAAATATCTAATTATCTAATAATCTATGTATATTAAAATGTTATGTAAAAATCGAAAAGGTTTCGAAGTAAAGAAAAACAATTGCACGTAATACCATTTATTTGTAATGAATGCTTACATACAGAAAGGCATTATACATGCAAGAAGTATAGTTCATAAAACATTAAAATCCTGCTACCTTACATCGATATCAGCTACTTGCATGACCATTATAATAAATAATATAATATAATTATTGCTAGAAATACGTAGTATCCACGAAATGTATCAGGGAAAATAAATGATGATGTAAAAATAAATGAAAACATTATGAATATTAACCTAAAAAATTATGAATAATTTTCGCTTTAGTCTACAATATAATTTTAAACTTTTTTGTACGCAGTTTATAAATATATATATAGGTTGATATACATAAGTGTATGTAGGTACATACTTATAGCAATGATTTGATTTGATTTGATTTGAATGAAATTAAAATAAAACCCTCTTAATGATGTGTTGTGATATTTAAAATTTTTCTCATATGTTTTCTTTTTTTTAATTATTAAAATTAACTTTTATATTGAGATTTGTAAGATTTCATGTTTGATAAATTTCTTTAGTATATTTTTAAATTATTATTAAAATGAAATTTAGTATAATGAGGATGTAATTGAAATTACAGTTGCGACTGAGATTCGAGCGAAATATGTATGTCTGTCTAGTTTAAAAGTCTACCTTAAAATTATGTAATGCATTCGTATACGATTAAACATGGCATGCCATAGCTATATGTATAAACACATTTTTCTGATAATTTAAATATTTTTTCGATTTACACAAGATTTGCACAAGCAGGTAGAAAATCCGGTGCCGGATAAGATATTATTTCATATACTACATGTAGACATTAACATATTTTATACAATCAGTGAAGACGAAAATTTATATATGAGTAACAAATTAAGGGATCTTTATTCCTTAAACTAATGCTATGTTACAAAATGTAAACGAAGACACCACGTATCTCTAACAATTTATGGTAAAAAATGTTAACTAATATCAACACACTAAATATGCACATTCATATTCTTTTATAAATAATAGTCAATATTAAAAATATTTAAATAATATGTAATGGAAAAAAATACTGCCGTTTCAATGTCCATATTTACAAACTAATATAAAATATAAATGCATTGTGTAGGTATTTGTTGAAAATAGAATTTTTAGTTATATCATGTTGTGCTTTCATGTTAATTATAAGGACTTATAATTATATATAAAAGGAAATTACCTACTCAGGATATCATATAGATATTCTACATTTTAATGTATCTAATTGGTCTAATCGGTTGCCTACATCCTTTACGTGAACTTATTGAAAGTACTTATTTGTGCTGATGAGCGATCATTGTTTTCACTGATAAATGTGTGATTTATCTGCATTCATATGCATAACTGTCACTTGTAACTTATTTACTTTACATGTATGTGAAGAGGGTTGTAGTAGAATATCTATACGCTGAAACGGCATAGAATATTTGCTTACAAAACAACGACAAAAATATAAGTACTTAGGCCATAACAGCGACACTTACATAAATTGGTCATACACACAATTAATATAAGATGCGTAAAATACACGTAGACATTAACATATTTTATTCAATTAGCACGACCGATCTTAACGAATACAACCTCGATTTAATAATTTCCAGCGATCCTTGGAGCTCGTACATGAAGGAACTCCCTTATCTGCATTCCTTTACAACATTTAATTAAATATGTTTAATAAATTCTTAAAACATGAAATATCCTACAAGCGTATAAAGCATAGAATTATGACACCAATCATTTAATATAGACAATTCAATGTTAGCTGAGTTCATAAATGCTGCTTTGTGGAATACGAAATAATTCCAAAAACTACAGTTATATATCTTTATATATCAGATTCATTTAATATTTAAAACATTTATTTGTAAAATGGTAATCTTAAATTACAATTATAGGTATCTGTTAGACCGCGTCCTTATCAAAAAATAAAGTAACAAAATATCTATCATCTACTTTAAAGGCCGAGTTTTAAATAATATATTGTTATTATAAATAATGGCACCCCGTCATCTCATCACAATGTCTAATTTACATTTGGACGTGGTCTTACAGTTGGTTTTCCTGTTTACATAAAGTGACACTTATCTGTAATTTTTCTAAAAGAAATACTAAGGTAAAGATTTGTTTTTTTGCGGAGCTTTTTGATAGTAATACCAGTCATAAATTGGTATGTAGACAATAATTTATATTCGAGGAGGAAGAGAAGCTGACGAAAAATATTCTCAAAGAACTGAGCTTCCTTATATTCAAATAAATTTTAACATATACATATAATTTAATGGTGTAAGTACATAACGATAATAACTTTTTACCAATATTAATATAAGTCTAAATTTCAATTACACTAAAATAAAATATTTTTTTATACTCATATTTTGTTATTGGTCTCAAGAATGCATTTAATAAATTGGAAATTATGTCTCAACGACAGTACTACTTACGACTAATACTAAGAATAAAATGAAATAGGAGTATGCCTGCTATGAATGGTAATTTACGCAATATATATGCAAGGACAAGATCACGTTATATAAAATTATATGTATATCATATATTTTTAATATTGCAGACTAATACTGAAATTCTACCCTCAAGAAGGATTGGCACAAGTTTATTTTATAGTGATATAATAAATATGTATAGAATCATCGAAAAATAGATAAGGATATGCCTAATTGAATTAATTAAAAATTTAATTCGTTATTAGATTATAAAGGGTTTAAGAATTTAGCAACTCTCGATACTGTATAAGGTTAAGTAAATAGCTTATTTCATTCTACCTAAGACTATGTTATTATGAAATTTGTTCCATAATTAAGTGAAAGTTATTTTAACTATACTGGTGAATATAATAATGCTCTGAAGTTAAATTTATCAAGGAAATAATGAGACTTGCATCGCCTCGGTTCATCTTTATAAAGTAAACTAATAATTTCACATTGTAGTTTCTTTTTTTAAATTATTAAAGGTATTAAAATTATAGATATACCAGACATAATTAGATTGCTGTAACTTGTTATTTACATAAATAGGTATTTATATAAGTACTTCACGTTCTGTTAAATCAATCGATGTGAACCATAATTTCGGTCATCTCGTATTAACTGATAAAACATTGAAATATAAACGGACATACATCATATTATGATGTACAACATATATTCCAATCAATTCAAATTAAGTTTTACGTAAGTCAAGATAGTTATTAAACTAGAATAGGTAAAATACCCATGTACTCGTAAGTACTTACATTTTACCAATGTAAGTATTTAAATTTTAATATTTATTTTTACTTTTTATACCGGAACATTCGAAATACGTCTAAAATACGTACAGAACTTATAAAACATTATAATAATTATGTCTGGCTTTGATAGTCAAGGTTACTGATATACAAATATTATAATTTACAGGATTTTTCTGAAAAAGAGTATGGAAAATTTTAAAATATTAATGATGAATATAATTTTTGTAGGTATTAAATATTAATAGAGTAAGGAAAGTTAAAATAAATAAAATATAATATCACTCTACTTAATGGTCACATTCTAAAGCTAACCTTGAGTTGAATATTATATACAAAGTAAAAATTAAATTAAGATACAATTATTTCTTATCTAATGTTGAGATTGTTCCTTTGGTTGAGCTTTAAATTGGAATATAGCAACTACGACAGGGATCTGACAAAATAGCCAAACTTGAAATTAAAGATTTTTTTATATAAAACAGGATATGTATGTGTAAGCATATAGAAAATTAGCTTCAAGTTTCAAAAAGAACAGATAGTGCCTCCATAAAATACACCGAGATGTTAAAAATGTCTACTAAAAGTTTATTATATTTAACTATGTAACACGTATTTACGCACAGTCACAAATATATTATCATAAATATTCGTATAACTACTAAATAGACATTGATTTGGTATTTTTTTTGGTATTTTTTTCTATTGTTTTACTGTGATGAAAGCTAATTATATTTCAAAAGCTAGTACTATATAAAAGCTCATATTTAGACGAAAAAGCTCAAATTCATGTACTTTCAAGCTATAAACCAAATTGTTAGAATAATTTAACTTCAACATACATGCTCCCCTACATAGTAGTTACATAGTAATTTTAAATATAAGTTTTTTAAGCATTTTTTTGGCAATTTCCCAACAACAAAAGTGAAATAATGAAATACTATAGCTATACGTTTCAAGTTAAAGGAAGTGTGAAGAAATGTACTTAATTGAATTTAGACTAAAAAGTTTCGTATTTTTTACTATATAGACAAGCATTTATGCTAAAGTCCACATAAAATTCAATTCTCTATTATGAATAATGTGTACCTACTACATTTATCTATACGGCCCCTCCAAATTAGGTCTATTCAAGTACAGGGATTTTTATAATTGATATTATTTGAGTGTCATTTCGTATGGACTTCAAAGTATTTTTTGGAAATCAGAAGATTGTATTTTGAGAAAATAAATATTAATAAATGATTACTTAGTAATTAACTAACAGAGCTGCTATTTATAAATTATTTTGACTAGGTGAGTGAGACTATTACATCATAATATGCATTAGAATTTTGTAAATCCTTTCAAAAATCCTTTAACAGTCTGTTTTTTGGAGGGGTTAGTTAAGCAATTGTGGAACATCAATGTAATTTGCAATTAAGTAATAGTAATCGTTTCATCAAAACAATTTAGATTCTATAACATTTAGTAAAATTGGGCTATACTGATGCTTAAACTACTTAATATATAAGAAACATTTAAAATGTTTCTATAAGTCGTTTCCTTAAGAATCATCCTATCTAGTTATAAACACGTTCCTAAATTTACTTTCCTCTTAAAAGCATACACCATGTAAATGTTTTAGAAGTGGCATTATAGCAATTGACAACATTGGCGGACTATACATCATGTTCCCGTATCGAAAACATAATCACAACCCTGATAAAGTCCAAATCCGCGTTTAAATATCATTAAATTCGTAAAGTTACGCAACTATAATGCTTCCGCGAAACAGCGTTGTAAATTTCATTGTCAGTAATCGTAATCAGTCTTGGTATGAGTAAAGAAGCTCAATTCGGGTAGCGTCAAATCCGAAAGCAAATGTCATATCCAAAAGTGAACGTCATAGCCGATGGACAGTGACCCCTTTTTATAATATATCAAAATTATATAAAATTTCAAGTACTCCAATTCCGCGCACTTATTGTAAAATTCATAGAGGTCACTTTGATCATGTCCGGGTAAAGTTTTGTCCAGTCAGTGTTTTACGTCATGTCCGGGGAGTCAAGTCAGGTTGCTTATTGAAATTGCATCGAGCACAATTTTTATTATAAGTATCTAAATAATCTTATCATATTGAAGTTATCTTTTTTTTCTTGTTTTTGAATTCATTTAGCTGTTTAGAACAAAAAGCTTAAAATTAAAATTCTTATATTGGGAATTAAATCGAATACTGACTAAAAATTATTTTTTTGTATTTCATGATTAATTTAAAGAGTGGTGGAAATGAATGTAGATAGATGAAGAGGTAGAGGAAGACAAAAGAAAAGATGGATAGATTGTGTGAGAGAGAACATGAAAGAGAAAGGGGTGAATGATGAGGTGATGAGTAATAGGGGAGAGTGGAATAGGAAGACTTACAGCACCGACCCCATGTAATTTGGAAAATGGGCAGGGAGACTTCATTATTAATTCAAAGAACAAAAAGAGAGAGTGTGAGTGTGTGTGAGTATGTGTAATGAGAAAAATATCATTTGGAATACATGTTTATGATGAGATTATCAGAAGCCTCAATAAAATTGGAATACTTTTTAGAAATAATGCTTTGTCCTAATTAAATTTAAACTGCATTCATTGGATTCTCGATGATATGGACTGGGGCGGTAGCGTGTCGTGGTTGCTTCCTTCTGAAGAGAAAATCAGCTAGACTTGCCGCTCGACGTGGGCCGCCCTCCTGCAGGAGAGTTTCGATGTCACCACTGCTCCTGGTCTCAACAGGTTGAACATCGTTTAGAGAGAAATTTTTCTTTGCGTCTTCGCGTGTGGTAAATACAGTATCCAATTCCGTGGAGTATGCCCGTGAGTTAATGAGCGAGAAGAGGGTCGGAAGTGCTGGTGTGTCTGCTAGTGATTGTGGACGGTCAAGCCGTCGCAAAACGCGCGCTCGCACGGCGCTTGCGAGACTTTCCCGTGATGCTGAGCTTCCATTTGTGACTTTCGGGCTGACTGATCCATTCATAGTATCTGAAATTAGAAATGGTTTTGTTAACTTACTGATCAATAATAATGTTAGTCGAAGAAAATGTGTAATTTAATTTAAAAATCTGAAAAGTTCTACGATATCTTCACGTGATCCATTAGGTGTATGATGTTATGTGTTGACAGAAAAATCTAATAGTTACACTCGGCCTGTTCCAAGAATAAAAATAGAAATAATATACACAAAGCTGCAAGCAGGCATATATCCTATGTCGATTATACAAAGTTTATTAATTATTCAGTGTTTTAAAAATGCTTAATTAATCAGAAATTCTTATAACTAGCCCCAGGCCAGGATTAATGTTTAAGTCGGATACAAGTCGTAATCGAACCCATGATTTTTGGCAGAGTTAGTTACCCATAACATATCGAGAAATATTATGATAAATAAATTTAACATATTATAATATTACCTTTCGGAATTGAAGTCCGTGGTGACGGTCCGCCATCTTCATCAGTGTGGCCCTCCGAGAGTGTCTCTAGGGGGCGATGCTCAATGTGCTCAACTAAGTTAGTGCCGGTGCCTGATGTTGAGGGCGTTGGGTTCTATGATAAGAGACATACAATTAAATAGAAAGTGTTAAATAATCTATACTAACCTACATATATTTATACAAATATAATAAATAAAAATGCGTTTGTTGTCAAATAGTTATTGCAAAAAGGTGTATAAGTTTTTATAACGTAAACTGGATTTCCAGCGTGTAATTATAAAAACATTATAATCATTTTTTTAAACTATTATATAAATAGGAAGCTAAAGTTTACAAATATTTTAACTTACAGCATAAATGTCCCGTACACCCGCTTGTGGAGTCTCGCCGATGCCATCGAGAAAGAAGGTGACCATATTGCCCTTGCCCTTAACGTCGACAGTTCCGCGGCACCGGAGCTTGTAGCCGCGGGTGGACAAGATGTCATACACTTCTTGTGTCACCTTAAATATTCGCATGGCTAAAGTGACTCAGTACAAAGCTTTGCCATTCGCAACGAGCCACATTAGACACTTATTTAACATATTTTACTAACATGAGATGTGAAAAGTTTTATTGAAATCATCAAAATTATATAAATTGTGGTACCACAAGAGTCGCAGTGCCGTCATTAATAGAATTAGTATAATTTAATAGGACGAATAACGATGCTTAAACAAAAAATATATAAAAATTAGTATTAGCAAAATATAATTTAAATTTTATCAAATACTTCACCTGGATGTGGTCGAGCAGACCCGTGGAGTCCATTCGTGATGCTACATTAACGGCATTGCCCCAGATGTCATACTGGGGCTTGCGAGCCCCGATTACACCAGCTACTACTGGTCCAATGTTGATTCCTATAAAAATATTAAGCTTAAGCCTTTATTGCTAACTTAAATTTCTAATTCATAAGTATCATAAACTTTCGCAGTGGTAATACTTATTTAAGGCAAAGCGCATCGCATTAAGGAGTCAAAAGTCGCATTGCAACAATATTAAAAAAGACAAGTTAACTATTTATCAGTTAGTTAAAAAGTATAGTTCACCACTGGTTTTATCTTACCTATCCTAATGCGGAAGCTATTGAATGAATGTTCGTTAACATATTGCAGTTGCTCACGTAGGCGCAATGCATAGTCCGCCATTGCAGTAACGTGGCGGTAGCCTCTGAGGTCCCTGGTAGCAGCTGTTAGTCCTAGGAATAGTTATTATTTGTTACAAATAGATGAGACACAAAGAATTACGAGTAAAAAATAAATCGCAGCTTATGAATCTAAGTAGTAAGGCATGCTTGAAGGATAAGAAAAAGTAGTAATTATTTCTTTAATAAAATGGAAGCAGAAGTAGAAGGCGAAATATATTTTTTATTTACGCTTTAATTGTGTTAGAATAATTTACCAGATGCAGCCATATAGGTGGCACCAGTACTCTTAATCTTTTCAATATATTTAAACGGTTCTTCCGCAAGGATTTCGTCAAAGTCAGCGATGATCTCGTTGAGGAGACGGAGGCATTCGACGCCCTCGTTGTTCCCCTCTAGCTCCACGTAGAACTCCGAGAAATTGGGGATAGATGCAAACATTACACAGACTGATTCGCATTGCTCGTGGTACAGCTCCTGGGAATGGAGATAGAGTAGAGTTTTAATACAATAAATAAGATAAAAAGAAAAATAAAGAAGTTGTTCAAATGCAAGTCGTACTCGCGTAAATTTGAGTATAAAAAGTTATTGAAATAGTACTAAGCCCTCAAATTAAAAATTCATTTAAATCTGTCATTGGGTCACCAAGTTCCATACCTAACTTCAAGTATATGCACCCAATATCAACTTTTCATCCATTAGAATAAAAACTAACAAGCAGACAGAATTATTGTGTTAGAATGAGTTATACTATAAGAGTTCTGTTTTTTCATTTTAGTAACATATTGCCTGAGTAATAAAACGGTAAGCTATGTTATTTTTAGTATTGGCGATGATTAGATTCGCTAATGGCTAATTATCGGAAATGACGATACTTCCAAGTAATAATTTATATGAAGTACTATTTACTTAACAGTTACAGCAATAATAACTAAATTGTATCTGTTGAAAAAATGGATATTTTTATTTATACTTTTATACGGACTTTATCAAAGTTATTTGTGCGATTTGCAGGGAACTGCTCACCGCCAACAGTCTAAGATAAATATTCAATTGTAATTACATCGATGTTCTTGTCGCTGCAGAGGAAGTGCTGGGCGACATGCTCTGGCAGGATGTTCGCTAGTAGTTTCCTGTTATACGCCTCCAGATGTTCCATGTCTTCCTTCTCATCTATAAAAAATAAATTTTCTTACATATATAATGTATATACATATGTTAAATTGAGGTTAAAATTATATACCTATTTCATTGTATGAAAAGATATATAATGAAATTCATTAAGGTTGCTTGCTTGTTTTATCCTAAGTTTATGGCACAATTCATATATAGCACTAAAACTTAAGATATCGCCTATTTTTTGACAATAATATACACTTAAGCATTTATGTTTACCATTGGCCTGCAGTTTCCAGATAAAGTCAAGACGGTATGTGCTCTCCGTTTGTTGTGAGTGCAGCATCAATGCCACCAGAGCACCGAGAGCCACCACAATGTTTGTCCAGTGCTGGTTCCAGTCAACATCACATTTGTCCCTATGAAAAATGAAATCTCAATTTATTAAAATGAAGATTAAAAAAACGAAGATATTTGAAATTAGTTATTGCAAATTATAAAAAGAATATTATCTGATAATGATGGAAATATATCAGAGTTATGTTAGTGCCTTATGTGTAAAACTCTATACTAAGTGTATAGAGAAATTGCAACTTTTATTTGATGGACCTGTTGATATATGAAAAGATGAACTTACTGGAATTTGTAGAAGTGCTCCTGGTAATAGAAGTGCTTCTGAATAGTGACAGCCACAAATGTAATGCTGATTACGAACAGAATTACAGTCTTCACCATTGTGATGAGTATCTGGTGCACAGCGCAAAGGAACATGACCATCAGTGTTAGCCGTAGGTAATGCTGAAAAGAAAACAAAAGAGTTATTTATGTTTTTTTAAATTATATTATAAATTAAAAATTGTTTTATATGAAAGTTGATTTTTAAATCATAAGGCATTTTGAGTGAACGATTTTTTACTCAAATACATGTCCAAGATTTATATTAAAAAAAAATGATTGGATTATATTTGTTTGAAAAAGTATTACCTCATTAATATCATGTGGGCAGTGTACGGTTCCATCCTTTGAAATCGGCATATCCTTCTCCGTGATCATGTAAGTTGCCTAAAAAATTGGTAATTGAATTTTAACTTACTTTTTACAATAATCTTAATAAAATTAATTATGGTGATTTAAAGAGAGATTGGAGATAATATGCATATAAAGTTCACCTATTTTTAAATTAGTTTTCCTTTAATATATGTTTAATATACGTATACATACATATATATATATATATATATATATATATATATATATATATATATATATATTTGTATAAATATAATATTTAGTTAATATATTTTAATATTAAGTCAATTCCATTTAATGCTGTACTGTACCTACACCGCACCAAATTAACTTATTATCTCACCTCTGAAGGGTTTCTGGAAGAAATCTCTTAAAGAGATGAGTTATCCTTTGTCAACATTTTGTTTACTTTATTTTGTACTAGCATTGCCCGCGACTACGTTCGCGTTCAGATGACCTAAAACTAAATTCTTAGGTTTTACATATTAGTATACTCTTACATTGCAGATTTTGTGTTTTTTCTCAGAAAGGAGACATTTTCCCGTGGTAAAAAGTATCCTATACGTTGACCCGGACAACCAGCTACCACCGTACAAAATTTCATTAAAATCCCTCCAGTGGTTTTTCTGTGATGCGGTAACACACAGACAGACAGATAAAAATTCTAAAAACTATAGATTCGGCCTATGAATTAATAATGTTTATTTTAATAAGATTCTCCAAAAAATATTAAATTTACAAATTCGGCTTAGTTACAATTTTAATATATGTATGTGGTGAGTAAGTGAGTGAGTGAGTGACTGACTGAGTGAGTGAGTGAGTGAATTAATGAGTGAGTGAATGAATGAATGAATGAATGAATGAATGAATAAATAATTTTATAATACCATGATAACTTTAATCTGGAGGACAACTGCAGCCACTACTAGGAAAGACAGCAGCTGTGCCAGGGTGCGGTTGTTGTGCACCGTGGTGGCCAGTCTCTTAACTCGTGCAGATACGCGCTGTGGTTCAGACAAAAAATATATTATAATAATATCCTCCTGATCGATTCCGGCGATGGCGGCTAATCTTATTGAGACTAGCCAACTGCGCAGGAAATTTTATAGTGCACAAGTGTGCGCGCAGACACAAGTGCACATTCTATTCCTGTCATTCTGATACTCCGGTGGGACGACTGTTCGACACGACCGGCCCAGAACCGACGGCTTTACGCGCTCTCCAAGGCACGGGGGAGAAACACTGCCAACTTCCCAACTCCGGGCTGTTACTAGGCTTACCATACAGAAAGACTCAATTACTAAACTTGGCTCAACCCGGGACTCAAACCCAGGACCTCCGGGTAGGCAATCATACATGTTAGCCACTACACCACCGGGGCAGTTAAAAATAAATATTCAGTCAAAATAATAAAATTTCATAATGAGTCTGAAACGTACCTCGAAGTTGATGCTGAGCACCAAATATGTGACACTAAAGATGATAATTCCAGAAACGACGATCGTGCTAATGGCAGCTGCATTACTGAGGAATATTAATTGTTACATTTTATTTCGACATAAAAAAAAGTTTTGAAAAATGCTCATCAAAATATTATATATTTTTTTGATTGTTATATTGTACACAAACAATGCAAGGCATATAATTTATTTCATTACTAATACTTACATATCAAAGGCCAGCAGTTGAAGAAGAGAGATTGCGAAGTACAATACCACGGTGCAAATGAAATATAACTTCAGCATCCTGTCCCTTTCAGCAGTGTACTGTAAGAGATATCGCGTGGAATGACTAGATGGCGTTCGCAACATAAACAATTTTCCTAGTTAAAATTTACAAGCTACGCTTTCTTTATCAAAGCACGATGTTATTTTAAAGTTATTAAAAATTTAATATTAATTGTAATAAAAAAATATATTTAGAAAACTAAAAAAAAATGTTTTCTCTATTCGTAACTTCGAACAAAATAATAACGCGATAAATTGTGCCCGTTTTAGCTTCGGGGTATTCTAATTAATGTGGAAGTTTTAAAAAGGCATTACACTTGTAATCTCTTTGCTGTGGAAAAAAAATGGAAAAGCTAATTTACTTCACAACTTTTAACCCGGTCCTAAATCTAATTTTTATCTTCAAACACTTTCGCGTGATCTTGAATAGAGTTTACGAATAATACCCTTTTAAGTGAACCACCCCGAAATGTAATAAATGGAGTCACGATGATCTGTCGCCTTAGTGAAGCTTTGATCCTTTTTATGTATCGCAATAACTACACGTTTCCAGCGAATATAATAAAAGAGCTGGAATAATAAAATTATCTATATATGTATTTTATATTCAAATCATATTATAATATCGATAGAAAGAATTTTATGGGCTGATACTAGAAAGGTGTACTAATGCGTGGCAGAACATAATGACTTCTTAGCTTCGTTGGTAATGATACCTTTAATGTCATTTAAAAAATGGCTTTTATAAATATTTGATTTTGTACTTCAAAAGAAGAAAGTACCTACGTATCCATTTCACATTTTTTTAATTTCTTTAATTGACTTTAAAACAAAACGCTCAAAATTGTTTTATATTGACTTTAACTATATATCCGAGATTTGGTAATCTTACTGATGTCAAAGAACAAAGGCTGTGATGGACGGATACGCATATTATCTTACAAGAGTTCCAATTTACATTGGATTATACGTAGTCTTAAAAATAAGAGCCTCAAACGAGAAATATGTTATTTTATTTAAAATAAAAATATTAGAAATTTGATAAAATATTATTTTAACTATATTATAAACACGAATAGCTGAGGGCTTATATTTTCTTGTCTAGCCTTTCTGTTTTATATTTATTTTATAGCCATAATATATTTTCAGTTCTGTATCATCAAGTAAAAATAACAAGCGGATCATTTATTATTGCCACGTAATAAGTAGATAAGTACGTTAGAGCTGAAATAAGACAATAATTCAGTAAAGTGGCAAACGGAAAACCTAGAGCAGCGATGCAAGCAGTATTGCCGTCAATTATTCGAATGCAGGCAATTACGTACTGCGGGCAATGGAGCCTCACGTCAGCACACACACTATGTTCACTTTATGCATCTGTAGAAATTCGTTTGAGGGTATTTTTGATTGAGTTCCTGTATTGCCCATACTACCTACGGTCGATACGACATCAAGAATAAACAAAGGTTTTTTCATTTAAAATCATAAATGACAACTTCACCTACGACCTTAACTCCATCTTTATTATTGCATCATTATTTTTGCAGTAAATTATGTTTTATTTGTCCAAATAAATTTTTATAATTTAAAATATGTCCCTGCGAATAGTATGTAATATGACATGGAATAATTAAGAGTAAAAAAATCTAAGATTTCAATTGCTAGTCATACAATTATATATGCATAATGCACACTTGTACATAAATAAACAGGTTAATAAAATAAATATACTCGTATAAAGAATTGATAATATGAAAGGCTTTCTTTTAAAACTACTTAAATAAAATGAATGATAAATACCTTGCGTTCCAGTTTATTATCTCGGAAGGTTAGCGTGAAAGGGCGGCAGTGTTCTGTACGAAGGCGGTCAATTGAGCGGGCGTCGATTGCCTTCATTAGATACTCATTAACTTCATCTTCTGGTTTCTTGTTGTCGTTATTTGCATCTACTCCAATCCTACGAGATGAAATGCTAAGATAACATTTATTTTTGATACTTTACAAAAAGACATTTGTAAATATTATATTTTAAATCTATTTAACGAATTTGAAAGTCTCAATTATAATAATTATACTATTAAAATGTTTATTTAGAAAATATCCAAAAGAATAAAACTAGGAAAAACTCGAATAACAAGAATAAACTGAAATTGAAAAACATAAAATTATATGTATCCATTTTTTAATATTTGCAAGCATTGGAATCTTGTGTTCCTTAAGAAATTATTGTAAGAAAAGTTGAAAAAGCTTTTTTTCGCTTATTTCATGTTATTACAGAGAAAGTGCTGACGTCAACCACTTCATTTGGAACTCAGAGAATTGCATTACGTTCTATTGCTACCAAGTGATTTTAATTTAAAATGTTGCTTTCTTATTGCAATTGTAATTGGAGGTTTTCTTATGCTCTTAGGTTACTATATAGATAGCCATTGTGATTAAACCTAATTTTAGCATACTTTTAAAGATTTATAGTTTACTAACGATTTACCCTCGCTTCGACCGGGTTCGTCTCTAGGTACGTTTTAAATTAAAATGGTATAGTATGTTATCCTTGAGAGACAGACAAATGCTATCGCGGACTTTTCTGTAGACTTATATAAGATACACAATTCCACCATACATTATTTTGTTATATCTCAAAGGGTTTAAGACAGCGTTTTCGTTGAATGCTCCCAGACGGCTTATTTGTTTCCGACACCTCCAACAAATATCGTTATGTTTTAGGCTTTAGCCAATATATACAAAAACATAACAAATTATATACTAACACCTTCTTTGAGAACCACTCTATCCATTGGTGAAAACAACATGAAAATCGGTGCAGTAGATTTCGAGTTTATCGCGAACAGATAGACAGAGGCGGCGGAGGACTTTGTTTTATAATATGTAGTGATGATACCCATTCTATACACTCGAAACATAGTGTATGTTTAATTAAGTTACCTAATCTCAAACTAAACTCTAAAACATGCGTCCAAAAAACTACAGAATACTCATAATAAGTAAAAAATATTATTACATTTTACACTGGAGCTTAACAAATTTGTTTCTGCTGGGTTGAAATTATTCGTCGAAAATTAATAAAGTTTGACCTCTGTCAAGCTCGTATGAAGGAAATGATGAATGTATGTACTATGTAGGAATGAAAGGTATGGCCATTCAAATAAAATATATATATATATATATATATTTTATTTATATATAATAATATATTTTATTTATATATATATATATATATTTATTTATATATATATATATATATATATATATATATATATATATATATAATGTGGGCTATCATTTAAAAATGTGTTTATAATTTTACTAAAGGATAATAGCAATATATTATTGAAACTCTATGAGCATTGAATAAAATATTTTCGTATGTTTGAATTGAAATACATTTTTAAATTGTCTCGTAAATATTTTGGCAGCGATTTATGCATGAGCTGCTGACCAATACAGTTTGGTACTGGTATAGTTAGGGTAAAATGTTTTAAAAAACTTTCAGTTATTTCGCTTTATATTGTCAATAAAAATTGTATTTATTTTCGAAATCCGTTTTAATGAATGTAAATATCAATACTTATATCAAAGTTTTATGGATCGGCTTTAAGACAAATCTCGTTTATAAACAGTTAGTATATATATATATAGCTGTTATATAAGCAACAAAAAAGGGCATTGTACATTTGCAGATGGCACATATTTATTATATTAATTACATAAACAAAGAAATGTCTAGGTATGTTTTTGACTCGAATTTCAAAGTCGCAACAGACAATTAGGGGCGAACTCCAGTGAAACGAGGGTAAGCCACTAACTAGTGAACAACTAGTCTCAATCACTACTTCAATCAAATATATATCAATAGTTCAATATCTAGTACATGGCATAACTATGGCATACAGTAGATATTGAATATCTTCCTTATCATATTATCATAAAATGAAATGTTAAAAATAAAATGTATGAATATCGTTCGTTGTAGATAAGTCTTATAAAACGCATTAGTTCAAGTATTTCTCCGTAGAGAGATTGCTATTAATTAACACGATATCAATTATACGGTTGTTGATTGTGTTGGTGCCACTGACTATCAGTCGTACCAAACTTAAGCTAATTAATACTTTCTCATAACACATCTGATTTACACGCTTCACATAAATCACTTCTTAGAAATGCTAAGTATATTGAAATAAAACATCATGTTTTCCAAGAAAAATATAATTGAATTTATTTCCTATAATGGATAATTACTATTGTACGAAATGTTTTTATGTCGATCAAAATTTACACGTATTTGAAGTATTTTTTTAAATAAGGCAAGTAATGTACGTCGTACCTTATGTCGCAAGAAATATTTGCCTTATAAAACTTGACCACGACTGCTCATTCTATATTCTCGGTAACTTTATTTTAAAAAGTTACACTTTAGAAAGTATAAAAGCAAATAAGTTTCATAGGTTATATTCTACTCAATGTGAAGAAAATTATAACAGGTATATTGTACAGTAATAAAATAAACATAATTACACGCCGCCATATCACTTATTAGTGTTGATGTTTATACTAAAGTGTTTTTAGTAAGGTTTTACAGGTATTAAAGAATTAACATAGAACGCGATACAGGTATACACATATTATTATGAGAAAAGTGTCTATAAAAACCCTGACGTGGAAAGCTAAGCTAAAACTTGAAATTTTAATACTACGATATCCGGAATGAAGCGGGTTTCACTCTGGCATGACATGGGTTTGGTGGTTGCGATTAACGTCTAATTATAGTACCGGCACGTAAACCGCAGCGTGGTTATGTATGTTTAGGCTAGGTTGAATAGGTCGAGGAAAAAATAAAAGAAAACTTGCTTACTTTGACGAGTGTTTCCCGTGCTGTGATCCATGCCCCATTACGCGCATTTCCTTCGAAACATTGCCGTTTAGTGAGAACGAGTGTTGCGGCTTCTTGTCCTGGTAAATAAAATAATTGAATTTAAAAAATAAAACACACACACACGCACACACATACACGCACACACACAGCCACACACACACACACACACACACACACACAGCCACACACATACTGTCACTTGGTTTAACAGTAGCCTATGTCGCATCACGCATGTGACCTACAAGCGACATAGGATACTGTATTGTCGATCTGTGTGCTTTTGACGCAAATCATATCTAGCCGTTTCATAAAAGTATAATTACATTATTAAGTTTAACATAATAATGTAAATTTTCACACTGACATCAATGAAGGAATTAAATTTACAGAGTCGAATAGACAGAGTGTTGTTGGTCTTATTCTATTAGCTTTGACAGTCTCACCGGTGGCAAGCTTTAAATAAATAGTTTTAAATGTCTCTCTGTTTCTAATTCGATGTCACTACGCAGTTCTTCGTTTCGCACGTACCAGGGACAGTTCGTGATGAATACAAAATAGTTTTGGAAAACTAGAAGGCTTTGAACACTACAAGAGGACGTATGTGAAAATGACTGTGAGGCGTGTTCTGTCATCTGTGATAGAACACGGGGGTTATTTAGTGTCTCTTTAGAGTTTCTTTTAGTAGTTCTTAGGTCTCTTTAGTGAAAAGAAACATGAAATATTGCTCAGAGTTCACTTCTATATATCACTTTTTAAGTTTTGTGTCGTTGACGTTTGCTAGGCTTGAGAGTATTTGGAATGAAAGACCAGACAATGGAATAAACATAAATAGCGGTATAATATGGGCATATGATTCCATTATTTATGGCTCATAATATGAAAACTCTATAGAGGCAGAGCTTACATATTTAGTTTAGGAAATGTAATTACCTAGATTACATCAAGTTTTTAGAGGTTTCCAGCTTGAATGGGCTTAGTGGGGGACTGAACACCATGTACTGTATGGGAAACTTCGATTTGATAAATAAAATCAAATAATTTTTGTTCGAAATTTTTTCGACTGCTTTCAACATATGCAGAAAGAATATGTGAAAGTTATCTTATATATTATTACTAAACATTATTATAGAAAATGACTACTAATTCAGTTACTGTACGACTAATATATAATTTAGAGCATCAGGATAAAGGATTATTTATTTTTAAACTTTAATTTTCGATTATATGACAGATCCGACTGGGATAACGTAAATTGCGAAGACTAAGCTTTTAGCCGTCTCGTTAGGTCTTTTTTATTGCAAACTCACAACCTCCAATATCATAATTGCTTTATGTTGTTTAAGATTTGGTGACAGTTTCGACTCGAAAATTATAGGCTTCAGACAGTATCAGCAGAATTAGAAGTGTCCAATGTATTTTCTTGAAATTACGCTCCAATTTTTTAAAGAAGGAGAGAGAATTATAGATTTTGTGTTGTCTTTCGAAAGCCCTAAATTAAAGATGACGGTCCCAGATTTGTGAATACCCATACTTTTCCTCTTATCTTAATAGTTAAGTAAAAATTTCTTTTGAGTAATCAATAGCCGGACTTATAAAAATAATATTAGTCATACAGTTAATAGTAATAAACAGTTACTATATCAATAGGGTCAGCCATTATTATATGCGTATATTCGTTGCCTATTTCCGATTATACGTTAGTTGTTTATTTAAGCTCCTACGCTGATAATTAATTTATTATAAGGAAGCTTTTGTGAAATATTGTTTGTTAAAATTATTATTAAGCATTTATGTATTTTATAATTAAAATTGGCAAAGTTAATTGTTAAGCGATGAATGAATATTCGAATTTAATTATCAAGTATTAATAAAGAAAGCCCTAAAGGTGCGGTCGTTACTTTTATGCAACAATGCATTGTTTGTATTCCAATTTACCTTGTTATATCTTTGAGTAATTTTGCTAATATGTACATATATCATGATATTTTAGTTTCACCAGTTTTATGATTGACTTATTATAACTTACTAGCAACTCACTCTCGCTTTGCTCGGGTTTGTCAATTGCTACGCTTTTAACAGTTAGTATGGAATCGCAAGACTATATTATATATACACACATACATAGGGTATGATGAGTTGTTCTGAGTTGTGTTGTAACGTGTATTCTACCCACGGTAAAAAGTAGCCTATATCACTCTTCAGCCTGCTAACTATCTACACACAAATCATACCAATCCGTCCCTCTGTTTCGACGTAAAAGAAGGACAAACAAACAAAAAAACAAACAAACACACTTTCACATTTATAATATTAATTATGGATATTGATATCGTTCCTAATCCGCTTCAAGGAGAGCACCAGCTTCCAAATAATAAAAAAAAATTAATTTTGGCTTAGATATAAACAATACAGCTTGCAATATTTTATAAGAATATAAAAATAGTATCTTAGCTACCTACATATTTCTTCAACGTAGAAACAGTGTTTCACATTTTTTAGATTTCATTGATTGCATGGGTTTTATTTCATCTCGTTAAGCGGTTTATTCATATCTCGTTAAAGGCACACAACGTAAAACCTTTGAAAAGACCCTGATGGGTAAGTCCCAAATAGTATTACTTGTTAATCTCGTTATTCGACAGTCCATCTGTAATCTATTGTCGAGCCAGCCAGTTACTGCTCATGTTCTAACGAAGATCCGCATATGGCATTTGATAAATGGTTGTATTCTATAAATATATTTATACTAGACTACGTTCATGTTTCGTTACAGGTAAATCTGGCTCAAAATTGACGGTTTACATACATATTCTTTCAGCCACGGCGTCATCATCGCCTAGTTTTGAATTTTTTAATGTTTAACTTTACCTACTTGTATTTCATTATTGAAAACTAAATGAACATACATATGGTGTATGTGATAAACAAAAACGTTAGTATAATTGAAATAATCAAATAAAGCATATAATAAGTATGCACCACGCAAAATTAGTTTATATACTTTTTATAAATGCTCCTTTGGAGTTTTGCGGATAAGTTTGTAAGTCTAAGTTTTATTTTCACCTAGGTTTGCAATTTTGTTAAAAGAAAATTGCGAATAACCGGTATTTTTGTACAAACTAGAATTGCCCGCGGCTCCATCCGCGTTCAGATGACCAAAAACCAAATTCTTAGGTTTTACATATTAGTAGGTATACTCTTACATTGCAGTTTTTGTATTTTTCTCAGAAATGAGACATTTTCCCGCAGTAAAAGTAACCTATATGTTGACTCGGATAACCAGCTATCACCATACCGAATTTGATCAAAATCCTTCGAATGGTTTTTCTGTGATGCGCTAATAGACAGACGGACAAAAATTTTAAAAACTATAGATTCGGCCTCTGTATCGATAATAATGTTTATTTCAATAAGATTTTTCCAAAAAATATTTCATGTACAGATTCGGCTTAGTTTCAATTTCATTATATGTATAGATATAGTGAACAGGAAAGGATAAAACTTACCACTCGGCTGGTGTCATCGGGCACAATTAGGTACGTCTCTATATTGTGGTCCTTTAGGTAGGTATTGCGTAGGCCTCCATACCCAGGCTCTACCTTATAATCCTCGCCGAGGCATTGCAATGTCTCCTTTGTAATGTGCACCCGTCTATTTTAGATAAAAATAATAATTAGCTTTCCTTCTAACCTTACCACATGGATAAATGGAAAACCTCGTTCTTCGTTTTATTAAATCCTGTTTATTTTGATAGCAAACTTGACAATTTCATATTTCGTAGGTAAGCCAAGAGGAACATCTTCATGGCCAACGTAAATAATTTAATCGCGCATTATTAGAACCTGCGAGTACCAGCTTGGTATCGGGCTAAAAGATTCTCCAACTACGAGTATATTGGTTAAGTATTATTATATTTTATAATTTATGTACGTTTCTTAAACAAGGACCTATGGCAATTATTTGTAGAATTCTAATTTTTCCTAATTTCCTATCTTTCAGTTTATTTTCCATTAATAGTGTAGGCTTTTCGTAAAGGTTCAAACGTTTAAAAAATACAGAAAATATTGAAAGCTGAGGCAAAGAAGATCTTACCCAGCTACACCGCCGCTCTCCATGTAGTTGGCGAGTGTGACATCATTGGACCATACATCGAACTGCCACTTTCGGAGGCCAAGCACCACGCAGTGCACGCGGCCAGTGTGTATGCCCACGCGCATGTTCACATTTACTGCCATCACCTCTCGTACAAGACTGACAACATTTTTGTACAATTGTTATACCTATAATTAATATTTTTACGACGCTTTCAATATATTTATTTTATTATCAAAGCAAAGTGAAATGAATGAATAAATCTATCATTTATATATTTTTATTTTTATGAATGATTGAAATCAAAAAAAGAAATACTACAATCTGTACACAAAAATGATTTTAGTTAACCAAAAATGGAAAAAAAATTATATGTAATATAATCGATACATTGCGTTACATAACATTTTGTCGAAAAAAGTTCAGATTTAAAGATTAACAAAAGAAAAAGTAAAAGTGTATACTCACGCGATCGCATCGATCATGTCCAGTCCCATCTCGACGCAACACTTGGCATGATCATCGCGAGCCTCTGGTAGTCCCGATACACAGTAGTAGCAGTCGCCGAGGAGTTTGATGCGTAGGCAGTGGTGTTCTGCTGCTAGGCGATCGAATCTAAGATATTGATTGATTAATATAAGATATATATATATTGATTAACTCAAAAGTCTTATGTCACTCGCATGGTTTATAATATGGAATCCTAAAGGGAATAATTGTAATATGTAATTACACATTATTAATGGTTTTAATTTATGTTTAGTTATCGCTTAACTGACTTAATATGCCAGTCTTGTAAGTTCGTCAATAAATCGAAAGATAACATGACATTTTGAATGACTTTTCAAGTATAGAGTTCTTGAAATTAATTTTATTATTAGCGGAACAGTCTTACGTCGTGTCGTTGCGTTTGCGACACCTTATCTATTCTATGAGAGTCGAGTTAGGAGATGTTTTCGTCACCTATACATCTTATATTTACAACATTTTTTACGATGCTTATTCAAATATTTTTTTTATAAAGAAATGAGTTTGATCATAAGTACACTGTAGTAAAAAAATAAAACCTTCTAATACATTGAAGATTGAAGTAGACTTAAATGAATTCTTCACTTGCCATATCGTAAGATTATATAGAGATAGTTTATGAAAATATCGTCCTATATTTTTTTTATAATATGTTATGAGGTTGTAGATTCTGGAATGAGTTATAATAAAAAAGAAGCGGACACGGTAATAGGTTTCATTTTTTCGTAATAGTCAAAGGGCCTCTCTATGAATAAAATGTGGTTGGAAATCGATAGAATATATAAGAAAGGATAAAATATTCAGCGGGGCAATGTAACCGCCTACGAAGCGAGGGCAATAAAAAATGTTATACTCTAAGTAATTTGATAAAGATATAGACTATATCATCATCGCACAATTATTTTACCCATTATACGTTATTATATAATGCTGTTTGTTGTATCTTTCAATATTAATGGAGCCTACTTAATTTTTAATTTTACTCTGTCTTTGTAAGATCTGCTAATGAAGCATAAAATATGTAGTGTATGCCGTTAAAGATACACAATATGTTTTCTGATGCACACATTTTAATGATACCACAATTTTTTCTAGACGTCTTTGTAAAATAATAATAATAATATTATAATAACTATTACTATTAACGGTGACATGAAAATGAAGATCAGATAAACTTTTTTTTCAAATAAGGGGAACTTTAGTCGTTTTGTTATTATTACTGACTGTCTATTTTATATTTCGTTATTAAAGAAGACCACAAAGCTTTGTCGAATTACTTTCGGCTTTTCCCTCAAAGCTTTATAACTTTTCGAAGCGTTGGTTGCTGCTTTGGCGGCATAAAATACTTTCTTTGTAGCTTTCATTTAACAAATGATTTTACGCCGCATAACTTTGATATCAAATTCAGTAAAATTTATATATTACGTTTGAAAATATGTTATGAATACAATTGCATAGTATGTGAGGAAGTTAAGAAAAGATTCAGATTTCATCACAATCATATCACATGTAAGAGTAAGAGAACCTTTTCTTAGAATTGGTAACTTCCTTTTACGTTCAACGAATGGAAAAAAATAATTACAGTCTTTCAAGTTACGACATGTCCGTTTGCTTTTACAGGCAAAATGTTTAGAATTTTCTTAATATGAACATAATATAAAGATGAAAATATAAATTATAATAGAGTGATTGTGTAAGTATCGATTAGATATCGTAATTTTTAATTTAGCGTGAAAATTCAAAGTCTTAGATTCAGTTAATAATATTAAATAATAAGGTATCTCATGAGAAATCGAATAGTTTTCATTTCATATTTCTTTGTTCACAATATTCATATTCACTAATGATAAATCCCAAAAAAATATATATTTATCTAGCAAAAAAATATTTGACAATTGTTATTAGTAATTTTATAAACAAAGGGTTGACATTATGAAAAATTAAAATGTTTAACAAACAAATTCAGTTTGTTTATGTAGTTCGGTAAGATTGGGTAAAACTAATATTTCCTATATTATAAGATATCCTAAAATAGTCTACCCTCGCCTACGTCTAATTATTATTAGGAAAGTAATATAACATTTTCTTTGGTGCTCGAGAGATAAATAAATTTTATTTTATATTAAAAATTTATTATTGAAAAATTAAAAGAATACTATTTCGTCAATAACGAACTATAATTGACTATTAATTTCACTAACTCATGGCTTCATCTTCAGACCCTCATCACCAATTGTCATATTGTATTGGATTCACCAAATAAAGCAAATCAGCCTAATTCTGGGCTTAATGGCTATACTAAAAGCCATTTATTTACATTTACTATCCACTTTCTGATTCGTTCATTATATATTTAGAAGCTAATATACCTACTAACGTAATAAAATTTTTCCTTTTCTCATTCCTTACCTGTTTGTCAACGTACAACCAATCAATTAGAATTTCTGTTTTAAGCCGAGGGAAAAATGGTAAAATTGTTAGGACTTTATAAGTTTTTGACAGAATGATAGACGTTTCAGTAACATACGGGGTGGCACATAGCAACGGGAGAATATGCTGCTGGTGCTCAACTGGCACGCTTTGAAGTAAGAGAATTGAATTTAAAAACATATTATATATATCATATTAAAAACATTTAGATCGTAAGTAGCTGCATTAGTATAAACTGTGTCGCAGCTATTTTCGCCCACCTCGGGACAATAAGGACAGTTATGTACTAGGGTTAGTACAAATATATTATTAGGGTGTGTTAGCAGAATTAGTTACTATTGTAATGATATTAATTTAGTTTAAGCATATATTTATAAATTATACGAATCCTTAGGAGATGAAGATAGAACAATCAGGTTGGTAAGTTTTATAGTACCGTAAGTTCTGCATTGTATAATATATACCTGCTATATTTACGTACAAAGCTTAGAAATAATAATTCACAACATTATATTGAATATCTACTGTCAAAAGCTATTAATTCCTATCTGTGATCCAAAATGAAAAATGCTTTACTATAAAATTCCGTGAGGTTTGTTTTTTTTAAGTTTTGATATTTCCTTTTTTCCTGATTGAGCTCTTTTTAGTGTAAATTGTCACAAATACACAAACACACACACGAGTCCGATTATTTAAAAAAAAAAAAATTTTGTCAGAATTTATTAAATGGCCGTAGTAAGGCCTTTGAAAAACCTAAGCACTTAATTGCTATTAATTGATAATAATCGCGGTCGACGGTTTACTCTATTTTTTGAAGCATAGCAAAACATACTCATAACTCAGTATTATATTATACGGTTATAAATATAAACGTGAAACTGGGATCGTTGCTTGACTTAGTACTTTTTAGTTCACTGAGTCAAGTTATGCTGTAAGCGCTTTAATATTCTAATCATAACATCATAACAATTGTATACCATATATATATATATATATATATATATACATACATAATTCTACAAAACTACGACTTACCAGACAATTACCGATTTCAATTAGAATCATGATGTCTGATAGTAAAGATATTTTGTGAGAATCATTAGTACTTTCACTGATCCCTCTTAAATACATACTTACAAACTTTACCTCTTTATAATACATACCACACTAAGTATGATGTCATAAGTATTGATTATAAGTATTTTATTTACAGGTAAGAGTAAAAATTAAAAGTTTTAATTTAAATTAAGCCTTACCTAGCAAATAATTCGTTAAGAAGACGCACGAGCTCCTCAGCAGTACATTGGTCCGAGAGAGAAGTAAAGCCGCAGATGTCCGCAAACAGAATGCTGTAAAATACAAAAGTGATAAACACAAATGTACATTTATTGTGTAGCGAATTTAAAAAAATATGGAAATAAAAAAGTTAATTGTTAAAAATTATTGATAATTTGGGAAACTATAGTTTTACATATAGTGCAAAAATGATAATTTTTATTTTATTGTAGGTAAATCAAAGAACACTATTTCTATGACTTTCTTATACATATAAGTATTTTCATAAAGTAAAACTATGCACGTATAGAAATTTGCTCTTTGTCTTATTTCCTTCGAATATCATATTCCACGATTGACGATTGATTATTTTCTAATTTGTTACGACGTCCAACGGTAGTCAAATATTGGTATTGTTTGGCAATTAGGTTAGGTTATGATCAAATATAATTTGTCATCTTATAATGAACAGATTTTTTTTATTAATTACTTTATAACTATCTGTGAATGATTAAAAATATTGTTAGGTATATTATATTTCATTTTTTTTCTTAAATTAGTTTATGATCTTAAGTGAGATCTGCCTTCGCTCATTTGCTTATGAGATAAAAATAATAATATAAATACATTATAATTTGTGAGAGGTTCCGTCATGAAATAGGGCCATAATAATATATAATATCTGCAAAAGCATTTGGCTAAAACATAATCTTTAATATTTTGAATCTTTTACTAAATGAACTACTTTCGATTTTAGTATGGTATAAGAGTAGAATATGTTTAACAAGAAAGTTAAATTTTCAAAGTTTTAGGCTTTATTGGCAACAGCCTAAAACATATTAAAAGCAACGCAATATCCACTATGAAGTATGTCAATCACGATGAACACGTCTAAACACGCGTTAGTCTTTCCCATAGACCTCTCTATGCCTATGGTGTTTCTCTTGCGTATCACGTAAATTAGACAAGTAAGTTAAATATTTGATCAAAAGTTAAAATAAGTGATCGCAACGTATTGTGTGGTGGATTTTAATGAAATTTAGTACATATATAGACTATTACCTGGAGGGGCACATACGTTACGTTTAAATTTGGCTACATTTTACGATGACGGTGAAGTGATACTATTTTACACATGAGTGTGGTTGGTTTTATTTGTAATTGGCCGCGCACAGCGTCAGCGTGCCACTTTGAAATATAATAAATTATAAACACAAAATATTTACATATATATTACCCTTTGCTTAAAAACTCGTATAATTAATATTGGTTCGCAGTGTACAAAATCGCTCGACATCAAATGAACTGAACTGTGAAGCCAATAGTGTCAGTGACGCGTAAGTGGCGCGAAAATGAACGGTTTTTATTGCTTGTTTTGTAAGGTACATACATGTAGCGTATCTTTATTTTGTGCTTTTCCCCGATTTGATATTTTCATTTTTATATTTTTTATGATGTCACTACTACTACAAACACGCCATTTCTTTCTTATTTAAAACTATTCAAATCACAACTAAGATAACGTACTTAATAGGAGTAATAGATAATAGAGAATCTATACATACTCGTATAATAAGATTCTGAGTCGAATCTGTACATTAAATATTTTTTGGAAAATCTTATTGAAATAGTCATTAATATAATACAGAGGCCGAATCCATAATTTTTAGAATTTTTGTCTGTCTGTCTGTAACCGCATCACAAGAAAACCGTTGGACAGATTTTGACAAAATTTGGTATGATATAATGTATGGGTCAACATATACGATGCTTTTTACTGCCAGAAAATATCCCATCTTTGATACACATAAATCTATACTTAACGTTAAAACGTAATTAGGGACGAACCCGAGTGAAGCGAGGGTGAGTCGCTAGTAGAGAATAAATCTTGACACACTAAGTACATAGCTTTGTACTTACCTATTTTCCTTTTAAATTTTTACACAGGAAAATCTCGCATTAAGCTTTTATATCATATAAATTTGTATTATGTAACAAAATGAAAAAATTGGTTTATTTTTTTCTTTGTAGCGTATTATAATAAAAGCCTACTTTTAAAAAACATTTTCTTTTATTACGAGTATTTCATTAAACCACGTTACGCTGTTTAGTTTCTTAAAAATAACTTCATGTACACTGTACAAAGTACATATATTCTGTACCTATATATTACCTTCGTACATACATACATATATAGGTTGTTGAGTATTTGATATCACTGTTAGTCCATTAAAATGTTACATTTTTTTAGGCTTAGCGTGGATTTGTCAGCGGACGCAATTTTATTTTTTAGATATCAAGAAGGGGTTAGTGTAAAGTTAAATCCAAGTTTGTGGGGCATTCCATCATTGCAGCAACTCGACCTACTTCATTTCCTTCGGTGGTTTTCGCTCAAGTATTTGATATAGAAGGTTAAACAGATCTTGAGTCACAGCCTGGTCCATCAAAAAGACCGAGCACAGAGTAATTATACCACGTAACAAAAACGCGCCTCCAGATTCTACCTCGTAGGTGGTGGGGTAAAGAGTCAATAATCTATATATATAAAAGAAAGTCGTGTTAGTTACTTCGCTTATAACTCAAGAACGGCTGAACCGATTTAGCTGAAAATTGGCAGGGAGGTAGTTTAGAGCCAGGAGAAGGACATAGGATACTTTTTATCCCGTTCGACCGCGTTCCAATTTTTATGATATTTTAATTTTTGGATTTCTCTTAGTCCGGAATAGGTAAGTATTAAAACATATAATTAAAATGTGAGAAAGAAAGATTTTTTCTTTTTATATCTATTTAAAACGTACCTAGCGACGAACCCGAGCGAAGCGAGGGTGAGCCGCTAGTTAATTAATAAAAATATTGCATTATCAATAATTAAAAATATTATCATAATAATAATGACAAGAAGATTGAAAATTATGGCGAATCAATAATATTTATGTAAACTATACATACACATACATGAATACTGAAGAATAGTATATTCATTTCGCAGCGCTGTAAAACCTTAATTAATGAATAAAATTTAAAAAGTTTATATACTTCTAAAAAATGGTCTGACATAATTTTTTTGTAAAATGATCAGAAAAAGAGTCATAACGACAAATAGGAAATTTTTTCTTAAATTTTCACCGATTTTCGCTTATAACTTTGTTATTTTTGGTTCTACGACTAAAAGTTACTTGATCTAAGTTGTAGAAAATTTTATTTGCAACCAAAAAGGGTTTAATAAATTTTTTGTGAGACCTATAGTTTGTCAGATAAACCATAAAAACCACTTGTACCCCTTTTTCCAAGATGGCGGCCGTAGGACAAGGGCTGCAACGCCACAAACTTGGATTTAACTTTACACTAACCCCTCCTTGATATCTAAAAAATAAAATTGCGTCCTCTGACAAATGCAACCCCAAATGTAACTTTCAATGGACAATGTCCTTTTAAAAAAAAGTGCTAACTTTAAAAAAAATACGTTAGGTGCGGACAGTATCCGTGCGTTGGACTGAGAAATCCTACCATTTTATCTATAAGACGATGTGACCATTCAATTATGCATCATTGAAATAAATGCTATGAAAATCAGCCGGTTATTAATAAATTTTATGATGTTGTTATTTAACAAGTTCGGCGTGGGCACGGTAATGTATTAAATATGTAACATTACCTTAGCGTGGGGGACGATTTGATCCAAACCATCTGTTTTGTAGGACAACATTTTTTTTCTTGTTTTATGTTGGATTACCTCAAGGTTAAATTGTGAAACAACCTGTTAGTAATAGACAATCACCATTTCGACATATTTCGTATGAATCCACAATTGTCTACAACTATCAAATTTTTAACCGACTTCCAAAAACGAGAAGGTTCTCAATTCATCGGAATCTTTTTTTTTAATGTATGTTCACCGATTACTTGAAGACGCCGGAACCGATTTGGAAATTTTTTGTTTTGTTTGAAAGGGTATTCTTCCCAGGTGGTCCCATATAAATTTTATCGAAATCGGTCGAGCGGTTTTTAAAAAAATCAACAATAAATATTTATATTTAAACAAATTGCTTAATCGAACATGTTATTAAAAACTTTCTTCCTACAAATTACCTGCTTATTACGTCTACACTAAAAATTTAAAAATAAAAACTTTTTAACAAAAAATAAAACCGACTTCCAGGCACTAAAATGTAAAAAATAACTAAACGGGGGTTTTCATTTAGAATAGATACCTAATCAGATATTTTCGAAGTCGGTGCCAGCCGACGCATAGGAAATCTAACATTGATACGTAAAATACACATTTATCTATTAGATATTCATATCTTAAAATATTGGTAGTAGAAGTCGGTTTTATTTTTGGTTAAAAAGTTTTTATCGTAGAAACAAAAGTTGGGCGTCTCGTCGAGATGAAGCTACTTGTGAGGTTTTAGATTGTTATTAATCATTAAAAAAACCCGTGGTAGACTATACACTTTTATATCACGAGTATAATGCATAGGTCCTAATCGTAATCCAGTTAATAGAATATTTATACATGTTTTTAGCATACGCATTCAAAATAATTGATCAGTGGATGAAGTTGCTAATATAAATTTATTATTTTAGATGGAGCTAACATGAGACTATTATGAAATACAATACTTTTAACTGTTACTTTGAATGTTACGAACAAGTAAAAGTAAACTTTATGATAATCTAATAATAATAAGCTACCCAAAGAAACTTCATGCCCTAAGGCAGTCCAAGAGAGCGAAATTCCGGGCCAATAAATCGCAAATATTGTCTACCTACAACTGTTTCATGTTTCTAACTGAAAATTAACATTGGTCAAGATTATTTCCCGTAGTCTACTAGTAATTCTTTGAAAACAGTTATGTGTTTACACTTTTAGTGAAAAATTTTCATGATCGCAGTATTCATTTAAATGTGTTGGAATATAAACACAATACAAGCAGATAAAATAATATTTTATTTACATCTTTGTTATCTGTGGCGCCAGTGCCTACTCTACTCTGTACTTGTCTCTGTTCACAACTTCCTTTTGCAATATACGCTATTAAGTTAATTTCTATTTTCCGTTTTTCATTAAATTTCCCACAAAATGTTATGTAAAAATATCTGGTTACTCGTGTTCTACTTATACTATAATAATTGATGATTAGTTTAATGAGGATCCCGAACCTTAACTTACTTCAACCCAAAACTTGATACATATATCAGACGACTTAATGATAATAAAACATATTTTCCTTATATCCAAAAAATATATTCACTACTTTGAAGCACCTTTAATTGAAGTTTTTGCTAGAATAATTTATTTGTTAAAGGAGGTAAGTACATTTGTATCTATTTAATCTTTTTCTAATTAGATATTATTTTTTAGGAAAAGACATTAAAAAAAATGTATTAATTTAGCTAGTAGATCTTTAATTCAGTTAATAATATTTTTCTATATCTTTAGAAAGGCCGTGTAAATATTCCACTTATTATTAAATAAATATAGTTATTAGCCAGCGTTAGCCATATAAATTTTAATTTTTTTTCGTTAATTTTTCTGATGTTTTAATACTTATTATCTTATTCCGAACTAAGAGAAATCTAAAAAAATCAAATATTATAATAATTGGTCCAGCCGTTCTTGAGTTATAAACTGTAACTGACACGACTTTGTTTTATATATATAGATAACACGACATCTATTAATTTATCTGTCTGTAAATATATTAAGGCTTTTTCATACTAACCTTACATTCTCATATCTTTGAATATAGATCTTGTGGAACTGTTCCTGTCGCGGCTGGTTGGCAATGTCCGCCTTCATCTCCATGGCAACGTGGCGGGGTAGCACAGACAGCAGCAGCCGTTCCTATTCAAAATATAAAAGATACGATTTATACGCTTCCGTTGCACGCGTCAGTATGAATAAAATTTCTGATATAACAAATCGGATTAACATTGGACTCGAGCTAGTGTCCGGATTTATGATAGCACACGGTCAAATTCGATCCATTTACGGACAAGCTGACGTTAGTGACTGGATGTGAAATATTTTTCAATAATGATACCTTCCTTAATTATATGTATTTTATATTGTGTTGTTATATTATGTTCTTATTTGAGATGTTAAGAGTTAAATCTTATAGATATACTAGCATTGCCCGCGGCTCCGCCCGCTTTCAGATGACCAAAAACCAAATTCTTAGGTTTTACATATTAGTATCTTACATTGCAGTTTTTGTATTTTTTTCTCAGAAATAAGATATTTTCCCACGGTAAAAAGTATCCTAAAAGTATATGTTGACCCGGATAACCAGCTGTCACCATACCAAATTTCATCAAAATCTGTCCAGTAGTTTTCTCGTGATGCGGTAACAGACAGACAGACAAAAATTTATATATTCGAACTCTGTATCGATAATAATGTCTATTTCAATTAGATTTTTCAAAAAATATTGAATGTACAAATTCGACTTAGTTACAATTTTATTACATGTATAGATATGTAGTATTTAGACTGATTGCAAATATCATATATTGCAAAAATAAAATCTTCTAACAAAACTAATGAGTATAAATCACGCTCTGTGTACGCTTGGGAGTTTTTGTGCACGATTTCTCCACGTGGATTTTAAATGTAGGCTGTCTTATGAAGGTATATCAAGTTTCAAGGTGATGAATACCTAATGCCGCGGGGAATAAGACTTTACTTTAACTTTTATAATACATTGAAATAATAGATTACAATTTATTTTCGAACTATGTTTTAGTATGTCTTGGTATAGAAATGCTAAGTTTAACTGTTCGATTCCAGTATAATACAAAAATTTGCCCGCTTTATATGTTTTGTCGATTAATAGCCTATAAAATTATTTATATTTTAATCACTGGTAAGTCCAGAAATTTGTGCGTTTAGAAAAACTAAAATACTTAGTATATTTTACAGTACATCGTAACTGTCACATAACATATAGAATCTATACATATGTGGGAAGCGGATACCAGCCTGACGCATCACTATTTCCACTTCATAAGCTACAAACAAAGTTTCAGATGGGTGTACAATTAGTAGTTGGCGCCACAAAAACATTGTTTTACCCTTTTTGGAATACAAAATAATTGCTAACTCGAGAACTAATAAATATTATCGTTCTATCGCGTGTAGATTTTGTTATTTTTTTACACAAAACTAACAACATACGAAACTGTAATCAAGAAACAATTCGGTTCAAATATATAGACTTTGTTAAAATTTCGCCTCCTTAAATAATTAATTATTTTTTAAATAATAATGTTTTGTGGGTATAATATATGTCCTTTTGGATCAAGTTATTTAGGAGTCATAGTACACATAGTCATGGACGCACTAATCATTGTTATGTAAAAGTATGTTTTCATAAAGCATTAATTAGCTTTGGTCCCATTACATTTTATAACTTTACTCTTCAGTTTAGTTATGCATAATGTCCTTCAATACCATGAATGACCAGAAAATATATAAACTTATTTAGAATAATAATAAAAAATATAAAAATTACAATAATATTTTAAAATTACCTTAGTTTGTCATTCGTAGTATTAAAAGTTACAAATAGCTATATTATGCTCGCTCACACAGCACAGCTAAGTTGTTTACCATGACTTTGCAAATTATTCATCGCTTACTCGAATGGCTGACAACGCCGCCTATTAATTGATCTCACTAGACCGGGGAAGCTCTTCAGCGCCAGGCTATCAGTTGTGATAGTACTCAGATTAATAATAAGCTTAGCTATTGTACCAGTGCAACGATATCATGATGGACGAGGTGTGCCTTGATATACATATTACCTAGTCTATACCTACATATAATAAAGTTGTAACTAAGCCGAATTTGTACATTAAATAGTTTTTAAAAAATCTTGTTGATATAAACATTATTATCGATACGGAGGCGCTGAATCTATAGTTTTTAGAATTTTTGCCTGTCTGTCTATCTGTCTGTTACCGCATTACAGAACAACCACGGGAGAGATTTTGATGAAATTCGGTATGGTGATAGCTGGTTAACGGGGTCAACATATAGGATACTTTTTACCGTGGGAAAATGACTCATTTCTAAAAAAATACAAAAACTGCAATGTAAGAGTAGTATAATACGTAAAACCTAAGAATTTGATTTTTGGTCATCTGAACGCGGGCGGAGCCGCGGGCAATGCTAGTATAGTATTATAGGATCTGTGATATTACATCATTTAATAATTGTCATGTTAATGTTATTTAATTGTAATGATATAATATGTAATTATTTATATTATTATATTATATTTACTATAGCTACATATTTTTCCTAAGTACTCGTATCAGAGTAACAAGTCAATTTTCTTAATTATCCTAGCAGGGTATCAAGAAATAACTACGTGATTGCAGATACTATTTTTTATGTCTCGATTGCACTGCATTGAATCAGACTCAAACAACTTCACGGTCAGTATATATGTATACGAAAGAAAAACAAGTATATTATACTAGCGGCTCACCCTCGCTTTGCTCGGGTTCGTCGCTAGGTACGTTTTAAATAGATATAAATTGTTATTAGCCAGCGTTAGCCATACAAATTTTTTTTTTCGTAATTTTTTCTGATGTTTTAATATTTATTATCCTATTCCGGACTAACTAAGAAATCCAAAAATTCAAATATCTAGCCGTGAGTTTTATGTCACGTCACAACGGACACGCAATCGAACGGGATAAAAAGTATCCTATATCTGTCGCCTGGTTCTAAACTACCTCCCCACTAATTTTCAGCCAAATCGGTTCAGCAGTTCTTGAGTTATAAATAGTGTAACTAACACAACTTTCTTTTATATATATAGATTTCGATGTAGATTCACCTATTTCTCGTACCATGTCTTCATTATAAATTACAAGTAAATTGATGGAATGGAAATATTAATACAACATTTTATTTTTTTATTTTTTACCTATTTATGATAAGACTTTTTACAGACGTATCAAAAATAATATGAATAGGAAAACACTATACTCTGATCGCAGAACCTTGATTTTACAATTTTTTTCTTCAAGAACTTTCCTGTAGACTAAACATGTCCCGTGTCAATCAATGTCTCATAAACATAACCACTAGCAGATATGCCTACAGTACTAATTCACGGATTTAATTGATATTTCATTCATAATTTCAATTATATTTAATCATTTATAGGCATAAGGATAAATTCGTTTATAAAATATATATGTGACATTTGCAAGATGAGTGTGCGTGAAATGATATTACAAGCTTTTATTTAACTTGCAATGTTAGTATGAATATTTGTTCTGGTCAAAACTTGTAAGTGAATCTTAAAGCAGTTATCTTCAACCGATTGAGCATGAAATTTTGCATACACGTTTAGTTTAGATGACAATGAATGGTTAGATAAGTGACGTCATTCTAGATCTAACATAGCAGACTCCCAACGATGGCGGACTGTTTTTTTATGCGCCTCCACGATATCATCAAATGAAAGGGTTTGCTGAGAAAAATACGAATAAATACCTAAAAAATATTAAGTTAAATATATATATTAATGAACAAAAACTACGTTTAAAAAAACCGACTTCAAAAAGCTAACAAGTATAAAAAAACTTAATAAAGATTTAATTTAATACACCTCTAATGTACACCTAATACTTTTAATATTAATAAAATACTATTATTTGTATGTGCTACCTATTGATAGGTTTGAAGTCTGTGTCAAACCATATGTAATAATTGTAGGTATATGTTATAACCTACACTTGCCACGATCTGAGAAATCTATACTAAAGGCACCCACTTCAAACCTATCAATAGTTAGACAAAAATGGATTGATGATGTAGAGTCTAACGCCGAAATTTTTGAGCGGACTCCGCTACAAAAACTTCTTGTCGTACGAAAAATACCTCAAAGAGACGGCTGCCCAATGCTTGAAGATTGAGCGACCATTCAAAAGTTGGGGTAAACTAAAAGTCGCAATAATTAAAGAATTTATCGACTAGTTAGATGGAAAACTGATACACAAAATTATGAGCGCGAGAAAGAAACGGCAGGATGAAAGCTGCATAAACTATATTTCCTAATGGAGGACTAGTCACCTAGTCCTCCATTAGGAACATATAGGTTACCCGAGAAAAAATGTAAGATTAAGTAGCTATTAAATATATCATTGATGGAACCGTATATAAAGAAATTAATAACAATATTATACGGAGTAAGTAATTATAAAGAATTAAAGGAGAACTTGAATATTTATGAAACAGTTATTGGTAAAATGGAAGAAGCCGAGAAAAATAAAAAAAAAACCACAAAAGTTCGTCGTATTCGATGTTATGGTTGTGGTGAAGTTGACCACGTTTCTTTACAGACACATAAAGACAAGGGGCGTAAATGCTTTAAATGCAATGCATTTGTTCGTAATAGTTTAACGTGTAATAGGAATGAATATAGATCATAATCACACAACTTCGAGTAAATTCGACAACAGAACGTCATAACTGTCAGACTATACTACCACTTCGAACGAAAAATTTGAAAATCGAAATGTATTGACAACAAAAACCTATGCCGTTAAAAATTTAAAAGAAAAAAAAATTCGATAAATACGAGTGACGCACCTGTCAATAGAGATGCAATGCCAGTCAAAATTAATCTGTCTATATAAAAACAATAGAATCACTATGATCCTCAGTATATTGAAAAGCTCTATAACGTGGATGGATTTTTTTTTTCATTTTATTTAAAATTTAATTAAAATGACAAAGTTTGCAGTGCCAGAATGCAAGATAGATATCATTTGTTCCAAAAAGGCTATGTGGACACCATTTTACAAAAACTATTTTTAAAACTCTTAAAATGTCTACAGGTGGTTTTTTTTTTTAATTTTTTGTACTTTTTACATACTAGTTACAGAGTTTCATATAAAATTTCATCCCCGTTTTACCCCCTTATGGGATTGAATTTCAAAAAATGCGAAAATCACTGTCATACCAAGTTTCAAGTAATTGTGATCATAAATATTCTTTGCACGTATAAACTTTATACCGCATTTACCACTTTAGGGAAAGATATTCGAAAAAATCTATTAAATATATTTCTTATTTTGTATCTTAAAGCTAAACCCCACTTTCTGTGTATTTCACATAAAGAATGACAGACTATTTGTGGTGTTTCGTAATTTCTTCCGAAAATATATTATTATTAAAATAAATTATATAATATATTTATATTTTATTTACTTATGTTAATATACTTATTTTATTAATATGTTATATAAAAACACTATAAGTATTAGTACCTAATAATAGTATGGTAGGTACCTAACAAATTCCCCTCATGGCTGCGGTTATCAGTGTCAAATGCACGATGCGACTTGATAAATTGATGTGTTTGATTGGAGAGAGAGAGAGGAATAACCCGATGTCCAATAATATCTTACTGACTCTTTATGGACTTAATCATAGAACATTAATTAATTTGATTTATGAAGCATTTACAATTTACGAAAATTTGTAGAAATAATATTCGTTTTATATATTAATAAGAAGATTTTATTATATTTTCATCTGTGAAACATTTCCAACATTATTACCACTTGTATTACGATGAAGGAAAACGTGAGGAAACCTGCAACCTGACTTAATAGAAAAATAAGATTTGGATAACAATGACAGTCGTTTACCGTCCGTTATCGCTCAATGAAAAATTTATTATCTTAAACTGTTGTTAATGCGATTTACTTAAATCCGTTAATTTATTTAAAAATTATTTATTTTAGATATAATTATCACTTCATTCTTTATCTTCGTGAACATTTCGTGTAGATTTCGAGGGTACACTGTTACGTGGGTATTTGCTTATTGTAAACATTGTATCGATTTATATAACATCTGTCAATTTATCGACATCTGTGTATATGTTGTTATCTTTTCGATCCTAACGATTATTCAAGTACATACGAGGTTTTCGTTATATCACAGTTCAGTCATGCGAATCAATGCGAATCTATGTATCCATACTAATATTACAAATGTGAAAGTTTGTTTGTTTGTTTACATCGGGAGATTATCTCATTCTCATGAGAAAACACGTTATAATACAACCTAAAAAATATTTTTGATCATAATTACTTGAAACTTGGTAATAGTGCTCTTCAATACAATTAAATAAATACGTGTTTTAGTATTTTTCGAAATTCATCCCGTAAGGTGGTAAAATAGTTTGTATGCATGTTTTTTTTTGTAGTTAGCGCGAGTGAAGCCGCTAGTAAGTAACTAGCAATATAAATTCTTCATAGAACACTAAAACCATACTCTTGCTACTGCAAGGAATAATAAAAGATATTTTGTAATTGTTTGTGTTTTGTTATTCCTACATTGGTTTTACAATATTAAAGGAAAATTACAGACAAGTGCGAGTCGGACTCGCCCGACCCGAGGTTCCGTTTAAATTTGTAGGAAATCTGTTAATTTTCAACTTCTTTTATTTTTTGGACTTTTTCCTTTATTTGTGTCGGTGTTTGTGTTTGATTCCATGTTAGGCTAATGTGATAGTCATAAAGTTATTATCACAGTCCGATAAACAAAAAGTGCGAAATTATAGGTTAACAGTACAGTAGTAGTAGTTAAGGGGGTGAAATTTCACTGCTCTCTACTTCACAAAAGAAAGTGCGTGGAAATAAACACGATAAATTTCTTTTGAATCACTTCAAGTTGTTGTAAAGTGTTTAAAGTCTAAGCAACCAAATATTTAGTTCAATAAAAACTAACTGAAAACATTTGTTAATCTGTTAATTTTTTTTTTGTAACTTCTGTAATAAATAATAATATTAGCATAAAAATATTATAATATGTATATTTTTAAGTGGATATTTAAAACTATATTGTTACAATAAGAACCTATTATTTTCATTCCTTGCTGCCTGTATAAATACTCGTACATAATCTTTTGTCAATCGCACAATCAAGGCGCTTCTGACAATGCCATAATATATATAATTAAAATCCATAAATCTAGCTATAATATTCAAGAAGCAATACCCTCTTTATAATAACGTAGGGTATAAACTATACAATTTCACTAAAATTGAACAGCTCAAATTCCAAAATAAAACAAAGAACTCAGTTCACATTTACAATTGCATTAGTCTAGACTAGACCGAGTATAAACAAAGCTTTTTAATCAATTTAACACGACCGTCTTTATCAAATCACTTCTAAAGAAAATTTTGTTATTATTGTTGAATTTATTTTGATTTTATATTTATATTATTATATATCTATAACAATAAATATCTTCATTATCAAATCTTCTTAAAACTCTCTCTCATCTTCTCAAATCTTATTAACAAAGTTTTTCTTAATTGTGTTAGCACTCGCTAGTGTAAAACTTACGTAAGATTTTGTTGGCTATACCTAAATATATAGGAACTATATCCACCGCGCAGCCTAAAATATAAGCAATATTTTAGAGTCGGAAAGAAAAGACTAATGAAGCTAAAATTTAACGTTTTTTTTCTATGTTCAGGAGGCCCACCTCGATAGGTGATGTGCCATGTGGGTTGCTCCTGGTACTTCTCTGATAGCAAAGTGGACCGTTGGAGCAACTCATGGCTGTTGTATTCTGCTTCGGCAGACCTGCCGTCGGGGTGTCGTGGTTGAGTGTGTAAGGGATACTGCGACGTCCTATTAAGACAGGGTAGGTTTTGTTGGGCTTTAGTGGGTAGTACTGACTTTTCTAGCCAGTACGTCCCATATAGCCACCTGTTTGTATAAAGGTGGTTTGAGTAAATGCATTTCCCAGCATTAAAAAAAGGGTTAGTGCAGTTTAACACTCTTTTATCTGCACTGTAGACTGAACAGGTAAGCTCGAGCTCAAGCAGTTGATGAAAGCTTTTTACGTTTACCACTGAGTTTTAACTGTACAAACAATACTGTACGGGTACATATATCCTTGTAATATAACATTGATTCAATGTGAGTAAATATAGGAAAGTAAAACAAATACTTTTCCAGTATAAAGAAAAATAGTATATAAGTAGTATGCAAGTATAAACAGTGACTATAAACTGAAACATGTAATTTTTGGTGGGACGGTCCATTAACTGATTACAATAGATTTCTGTACTCAACGACATAAAAGCGTTCTGCAGAGACAAATAAAAAGTACACGGAATACCCTTTACGGTATCCCATAGATGAGAATCCAGACAAGTTTATTTTGAAATGAGCTGAATATGTGTAATAGTACTGTTCTTTGTAGTCAATCTCTTTAGATTTTTATTTCATATGTACATTGCACAATGTACATAAAGGCGGTATAATGAGATTGAAGAGAGAGATAAAGATAAAAGCGTCCTCGAAGGAATAAAGTTCACATAATAAAAAGGGTTTAGATGATTTTTACATACACTTAGTTGATGTTAGCGAAGGCCATATCCGCTTTTTGGATGGACGTTTGTTTTTTTATTCCGAAAAAGAAAGTGTAACAAGCATAATATTATTCTATAGAAAAGCGATAAAAGTGTGGTACTGGAAACCATTAAAATAGTATTTTTAGATAAAAATATATATATCAATAAATATTGTTACGAGGTATACATACATATATATTAATAATTGATGACAGCAACCCAAAAATAAAACCGTACCAGTTGTACCCTCATACATACTTTTACTGTACTGCAATTAATAAAAGCACATTTTCTTAAAATGAACGTCTTTAAGAATGTATTATTTATTGAAAAATGCTAATTTTGGATTTATCTGAATATATGTAATTTATTCCTGTTAGAATTTTCGTAAATAAAATAACACTTTTAGAAGTAAATTTAAAAAATAAATAAATAGCAGACACACGTTGTCACTGCCATCATGCATTTATGCACGCCCCACACACACTTGTATTATGAAATTATAAATTAATTTAAATGTTATTGGAAACTGAATTCCTTCCGAAAGACAAAATGAAAAAAAAAACATTTTACAATTTTAAAAGTGATATCTTGCCTGTTGTTGGTTCTCCCTCTGCGTCACGAGGCGCGCCTCTACGCAGTCCCTAGTCTCTAGAAAGGCGCGCCGCTGTGCAAGCTCCCGCGGGTGGTGCGTCATGATGCCGGCTACATTGCAAGCAATCAGTGTCACCAGGCTGCAGAAGATCTATATAAAGATATACACATAACTGTTTTACTGCTTTCTATGACTTTGAAAAATAGTTAAGAAGAATTGTAAGTTAAGAAGAAATCAATTTTCGGGCCTTGAGTTCCACGAACCAAATATGATTTAAATCATAATAATTTTACAAAAAAAAAACGAACTATATTATATGTAAAAACGTATAAAATATACATACATATTATATGTAAATACGTATAACGGTTAAAAATATCTTATTTATTCAATAAAACTTCAATCTCTATAAATGAAATATTTGTATATAGCTGTTCTATAAAATTATGACCATTTTATTTGTCAATCGATGCCAAGAGTGTTACTTGCTCATACATTTTTGTATTATTTAAGCTGAATTATATTTTAGTACCTATAACTAGAAAAATGATAATCTAGAACCTTAATCATTTTTCAATATGATCTACAAAATAATATCTAACAATACATTTTTTTCTATAATATAAAAGTCTCCTTGGCTCATAAATGTCTTTGTGCTGTAGCTTTCGTTTATCGTATTTGTACGCAAATGAGACAGTTTTAATCATTTTATTGATTTCTTATGTACTTTTGCAGTATACAAATTACTTATGGATTACTTCCTGGTAGCCTATTCCTTTAAAACTGTACGCATCAACTACCCATGTTGAACTCTACTAGAAAATCTGTCTTGCCTAGTAAGTCAATTTTTTTTTGCATTGAAGTTACACTTACCTTTCCTGTGATGCCCTTGTCCTACAGTTAGTAATTAATAAAGTGTTACCGTGCGGTAGACAGTATCTGAGCATAGGACCGAGATATCCTACCATTTTATTTGTTGGACGATGTGACCATTTAATTATGCACATTTTTAATAATAAATACTATGAAAATCAGTTAGTTATTAATAAATTTTATGGTGGTATTATTTTAATAAGTTTGGAGAGGAGGACGATTTGATCCAAAACCGTCTGTTTTGTAGGACATTCTTTCCACAACACTCAAAAGATTTTTTCTTGTCTTATATTGGATTATCTCAAGATTAAGTCGTAAAACAACCTGTTAGTCACAAATTTTAGTCAATCACCACTTCAAAATGTTCCGTGTTAATCCACAATTGTACCTATCACTATGAAATTCTCGTAGAAAGAGAGAATTTGCTACTCGTGAAGTTTTATCTTGTTAAAAGAAACCCGTGGAGGAATTTAAAACTCTATTGTCTACTTCGATTCTCTCTTTTAATTTATATTTAATTCATCTTTTTAGATGGATATGCATATGTAATTTATCTATATAGAGATTTGGACTAATCTAAATAAAATTATTATGGGAAGCATTTTTATTTTTAATTATAAGATCTCTTAGAATAATTTTCCTCGTCTATTTTGTTATATATATACAGTGTGTAGAATGACTGATGGATCAAAGCGTTGAGGACTTTAATAGGTACCTATCGGTTCAACTCCCATGTATGCCCAGCGATTTTTAATAATTCAAAAGTGATTAAGATCTTTAAAATAAATAGTGAAGACTATATTTGAGACTAAACTTAGAAATTAACTACATATATGATAGTGGTTTTTTCCCTAAAGTACTTGATTAACAATGAGACTTAAGACTAAAAATAAGTATGGTCTTCTAAAGATTAAATTAGTTTTATCAGAATCTTCTAAAAATCTTAATAATAATAAAATATTATCATGAAAAACTTCGGTAATTTAATAATCAGCTTTGATTTTCGGAATCCTTAAAAAATGTTTTAGTGATGATGTTTTTTCTATAACTTTTTTTAAAACCTGCGCGAATTTATGGAGAATAGACACTCCATATATTAATTATCTAGGATCAAAGCTTCATTTGAAACAATTATGTTATTAAATTGGCCTGGTACTAAAATAATTACTAGGGACTTTAAATAAATAGTGATTACAATTTCTTTTCAAACAAAACATGCTCTAGATATTATGATATACTAATTTGATCTTAATTTACAGACTGAATTGAAGGGGAAACGACCTTGCAACTTTTTTTCCGGTACTAGGATATTATGCCAAAAATATATCTATTTTAGTTATGCATTTTTTTTTATTTAATCCCTCGACGACCGCGAACACGCCGGCGTGTCAGTTAACAATAGATTTCTTTGAAATTTAATTAATTTCTTACAAAATTTACCTGGAGGTGTTAATCACCAGTTTCTAAAACATTAGGACGAGTGCTTGTAATCTCGGAGCATAAAAAAGTATAGATATCCCACGTATCTTTTAAAACATACTATTCTTAAATAATAAAGATTCAGATTTCAACAATTGTACAACAATAGAAAAAGCTCCTGCTACTGCATTACTTTTATAAGGCACATAAGTCTGTAAATTTATTTTCACTATTTATTTTTTAAAATCCCAATGGCATTGGAACCACTAAAAATCGCCGATAGGGGTTAATTTGCTAAGCTTTGATCCATTATACGTTACACGCTGCATGGAGTTCGGAAATGAATGCATAAAGAGCTTAAAAATATTTTAGTAACAAATCATTTATATTCTACATTATAAGCAACACCTATTGCAGTGGAAATCTCTCAAGCACGTATGCTACATTATTAACGTGAGAGTAAATCTGTTCCTCTCTTTGTTAACATTTAAACCGCTAAACAGATTTCGGTGAAATTTGGCAAGGACATAGATTATATCAAAGGGACTTACAGAGGCTACTTTTTATCCCACACCGCCATACATTTGACCGGAGCTACATTAAAAATCTAGTTTTATTATAAATAAACTTAGACTCTAAGTTTTTAAATGCTTCTTACCTGAGTATCTGTAGCCTTATTCATAATCAGTTGGGCACCAATATTGACGGCCGCTAGTGCAAGCCCGCCAATAGTTGCCTCGTGTAGTCTAACCGGGAGGGTCGCGTACGTCACATACGTAAAGAGAGCACACGTACCAGTGCTCAGATCTAATGACCTAAACGAGGACATAAAATTTTAAAGTTCATGATATTATCTTAAAATATTACACATATATAATGTACTAATATTAAGTAACAATATTTAGTGTAAAAGGTGGTTAATATGTTGTCTATATTAATAAAAATCGATGTTTACTAGTAAGTTTCTACTCTATGCGTTTCTAAGCCATTTATTAAATTGCTTAACTGTTTCAGCTCAAAAAAGAATTTTATGTCCATGTTTGTCCACTCATATTATGTTATTCATTCCCTAGGGATACATATGAGTATGAGCCAACATAGGTTAAAACACTGTTTTTTATACAAAACGAAGCTGGAGAATAATTGACAAAGATTCTCGCAGAAGTAGAAAAATTTATTTTTTTCAGATTTCGGGTATGAAATGAGAAACGTTACTACTTTCTATTCGTGCAAATATCAATTTAAAGTGTACGTATTAAAATTATGATATGTCCGCTGGCGGGACGCTAGATAACATATTTAATATGTTGAAAATATGTACTTGGTTGATTTCATTCGAAATAAAATAATAATAATTTATTCTGATGTGACAATTTGCATAAAATTATCATCTTTTATTTTATGTAAATTATATGTGCATGTTATATAGTTTTTATTACAATTATGTAATAACATGACATAAATATTAAAAACATTCACAAACAAACACACAAAGAGAAATAAAAAAGATCAGTAGTTTTGCTACTATACCTACATATAACATTTCTTTTCAGCACTAAGATTTTTTTTAACTTTTTTTGGTGAAGATTATGTCTTACAATAAACATTTACCTATTGTTCTTCTGCTACTCATATTCAAAACCATTTTGGAATTTTTTTTACTGCCTACATTATAATTTTTGTTTTTAAAACATCTAAAAGTTAAAACTATTTGCCGCTTCACTCGCGTCTTCATTGGTAACAGCCTTTATTTATATACTAAACATTTAAAATATATTTTCATAATATTTATACCTATCTATTAACTTTTTATAATGATAGACTCGAATTTGATTGATAGCAAAATAATTTGATTTTGTTCCATTTCAAAATCATTCAAAAATTGGCACCGCCGTCTCAAAAGTTATTTACATATATTACACACAAGTATTCAAAACAAAATCACTCCAATGTAGCGTAAAACACGGAACGAGCTCTGTAAAGGCTTTAAAGAAGAAAATTTCATTTTCAATAAAATTTGTAAAGTTTGCGAGACGGTTTGAAATCACTTTCAACATGTGGTATATACAAAACTTTGTTTTGGATACGGTATTATTTATTTGTTGAAAAGCAGACGGGGAAGTTAGTTGCGCATTTTTAATAGGACGAGTTGTAATTTTGTGATCAAGAAATTAAAATATGCATGAAGTGGTGGTGGTGATTTACCTTAGAACTGACGTTCCGGCGAGGGCCAATTCAATTAACAGGAATGTGACGAGCACGACGTATGAAATAGTGAGTAGGTAAATCTCATTCATCGCTGGTCGGCTCAGGCACGCCAGCAAACCTAGACAGTAACATAACATGGTTTCAGTTTCAGCCGAGAATAGCTGGCGTTAACAGATTTATTTGTCCATTCGATCTACTCATCACAAGATGTTTGTTAACATTTGTTAATAATAATAAATTCATTGTAATAATGAGAGTCGTATATTTTGAAATTAAATATGTGTCCAGAATATTTAGTAACAATGCTTTAATTAAAAACTGTACGTTATTATATCTATATTTATATAAATCAAGTGCTATTCGTTAGTCTCGCTAAAACTCAAAAACGGCTGAACCGATTTGAATTATATTTTTTTGTTTTGTTGGAGGTATGAAGGATGGTTTAAACATAAAAAAAATAGGAAAAGCCATAAGAACAGCTGGATATCGAAAAATTCAGAACTGGTTATTTTCTATTGGAATCACTACTTCGGATTACTTTCAATAGTGGTGGACCTACCATCTACAACAATACGTCAAGTTTAAGTTAGAAAAAATAATATATGTATATATAACAGTATAATATGGTACTAACCGTTAAAACGTATCCAGGGACGAAACTGAGCGAAACGAGGGTGAGTCGCTAGTATTTAATAAGTCTAATGATTAAAATTGAAGGTAAATTGTTGTATTGTGTACTATTGAAGGGAAATTTCTTTGGGTGCGCTATGAGAGGGAAAATTAAGCATTATTGTATCGGAAACGATTAAGTTGGGCGTTACGGATGAGAATAAATAGTCAATTAAAAATTATGTAAACTATTATATGAATATTTCAAATAATGAATTAAATAAAAATAGATATTTATAAAAAATATTTCGTACATTTATCGAAGTGAAACTTCTATGAGAGAAAAAAAGGATTGGAGTTACGATTTTTGTAACGGAAATGGTTAAGCTGGGCGGAAGTCAATAGATATTCAATTAAAAATCATTTAAACTCTAATGTCAAATATTTCAAAGAATAAATGTAACAAAAATAGGCATTTATAAAAAAAATTGCGTCTTTCATTTCTTTTTAATTGAATGAAGGATCATATCGAATGAATATTGTAAAAAAATTATTAACTTGATATAATTTTTATATATTATTAATAATTATTTATTTTTATTTATAATTTATTGATATGAATTGAATGAATTGATGATGACTCTTCATTTTTTTTATTTATTAAAGTTCCGTACCTGAAAGGTCAAGAGACTAGCCCTATTGCTTTTTATACACCCATTTATTGAAAAATATTCAAAATAAGTAAATTTACTAATTCGTCCTTCACTTTTTTGATTTAATAAAAGATAATATTACGCCTTATTTTAGTCTTTCTACCTTTTTGAGGTGTCATTGCGAAGTGAATTGTGCTTATCTGGCATCCCCAAAAGCCATTAACAAGAAAATTCAATTATGTCGTTTGACTTTACTATCATATAACGGTATATATTATGCACATTATTTTTTTTATCTCGTTTATATAATACCAAATGTTCAAGTAAATGAACAGACTATAATATATAGGTACTCCAAAAAATCTTTATCTTAAAATTTAGTAAATCTAGGTAGGTACTTAAATTACATTAAAATAAACAATAGGTACTTACAGGTATAAACGAGTGATGTAATTCCAAAAACGATGATGTTTATAATGTGAGCAACACGCGCTTTTTCATAATAAATCCTTTTGACTTGAGTTGAATTAGAATCCGAGAGTTCGAAGTAGCTCATTGTTGACGGCAAACTTGTTGCTATCTCGTAGTGGCTGCGATGGAAATTTATTAATAAGTTATAATTTATTAACGTGATTGAAAGTATTCATTACGAAATAATTCAGTATTTGTTTATTATAAAGCATAGACTATAATTTTTTTTTTTTTACTAAATTTATAAGTTTGGAACTTATAAAAATTGTGACTACAAAAATGATTGGCAACATGACATAATACAAACATGATATAAAACATACCCAAATGGATCACTGTCCAAAAGTGACTGTTCCGTGAATGGTAAAAGCCCGCCAAGAAAGTTCTGGGCGATTAGTAAAGTATTTATTTGGACGATGGTTAGTGCTACGGACACCGCCAGTAGGAGTCCGAGTAGGTGTGTCATATTAGTTTGGTTCATGCGCAAAAAATAGCGCTGGTATAGCATCTCGACCTGAAATAGTGTACATATTACAGATATATTCATATCGATTAATTTAATCACGTTCATTCATCGACATATTAATTACAATTTAGGTATTTAGGATTTTTTTCTGTAAATATTATTTGCTATGTTTAATTAAGTCACGTAATAGATGTATCAGCCCGATGTTTCGTTATAGAATTTATTTATCTGACATTTTATCCTTATTTATCGCTCACTAATTGCTACTGGACGCTCCCCTCGACTCTATCACTGATTTAGAAATAATCAAACTTGTTCGTATTTTTTTCTTACAAAAACTCATTGATTAATTATATTCATAGGTAGGTAGTTCCTTAACTAAATCGATAAATGATATCTTTACAATATCTGATAGCAACACATACAAAGGAAAATATGTGCTGAAAGATGCATCTGGAACATGTTTGTGATGTAATAGAAGCGAAAATTATCAGCAAGTTTTTCCGTCTTAAACTATATTTAGTTTTTATTGTAACTAAAAAAACAAGTCTAAGGAAGCCGTGAGCGTCTGTTAGAGTAGTAAATAATTTACCTTAATAAATCAAATTATATTTATAGAAATATAAATGTAAACTAAAAGTAAAATTCACATCGCTCTTCCGAGATTACGCTCAAATGACTTTGATCAATAGCTGGCACGGATTAATAACTTAATGCTCGCTAACGTGAACATACAACACATTTCGACGCGTGTCAAAAAAATCCTATTCATTATATTTTTAGAAATATGATTTCAATGTTAAAAAACTCTAAGATTTGCGTTATTATTTGTTATTGTTTAAACTGCCAAAATGAATGTGTTCGGTACTATTTGCTGGTGCCATTTCGAGCTTCTGCTTTTTACCACAACACCGAAATATTGGCTTTATTCATCCCTTTAAGAACTTTTTATCAAACTAAAAAAACGTGGTAGGCGGATCGCATACAATATTAATACTGTATAGTCCAATATACGTATTCAAACTCATCGTCAAAGATTTATAAAATTAAAGTAATATTTTATCAATTCTATTAATTTTGTGTTTTAAAGTTGTTTAAATGAGTTTAGTTTGTATAGTTAATTAGATGCTTTGGTAAAAGAAAAATTGTATGGTAGTTTGTATAATACGAACTAACGATAGGCATTGTACGTTAAGCTATAAATTTGATGACCAATAAATTAAGCTTTTCATATAGATAAGTTATGATCTTTATAATACGTTATTACTAGCTGTGTCCCGCGGTTTCACCCGCATTAAATTTATTTTATTATAAACATCAGCTTTACAATAATTTATGGAAGTCTGCCCGATTTGTTGACATTTATGATTACTGCTCCGCTCCCTTGGGCAGTAGCATGAAGATATATAAACCTGTAGCCATCCTCAATAAACCGGCTATGTAACACAAAAAAAAACAAATCGGATTAGTAGTTCCCGAGATTAGCGCGATCAAACAAACAAACTCTGCCTCTTTATAATATTAGTATAGATATTATGTTTCTTAAATTATAAATTCGAAAGTTTGTATATGTACGTATGCTTGTTACTCCATTACGCTGAAACGGTTGCACATATTTAGTACAAAGATAGATCACAAATAGATGTTACCTGGAGTAACAAATATGCTACTGTTAAGCACCTGAGGAAGCAATAAAGCGAAGCGATGGCAAGTCTAGTGAATAAATAAATATTATAATATAATAATATTATACATCCCCGTGTTCATTGTACTATTGTCTACATGATTTAACAAGGGAATAATTATATTACAAACCTGTACCACATTTCCTATTGATTTACAATTTATGCACAACACAGCGACGTGCAGCTCTTGATTCAGTTTGACCAATTATATCTAGTATCTAGTAGAGATGCGATTCAATCAATATGACTAACTTCTAATACATTGTGAAATTCCCGTACACGTTCGTATTATTTTAATCACTTATTTTAATATTATTATTACTTTCAATAGAAATATATCGCAAATTTCGATAATATTTCTTCTTCCATAATATTTAAAATATTGATTTTTTTAGAGTTTTTAGTTTCTGTTACGTCCTCACATATTCCTCGAATATAGACTGTAAAAATATTTAATGCACTATTTTAATCTCGTTATGTCGATGGTAAAATATCATACTAGCGGCGTTCCCCATGGGGTTTCCATAGATAACTTTAAGGGCCCAACTTTACGAATCTAACTTTGAAAATGGTGAACGTTCATACAAAATTTTGTCTATTTAGCCCCTTTATCCCCTTTAGCCCAAAGGTATTTTGAAAAAGTGTTCCTTAGTGCTCACCCTTTTTACATAATTAACTCTTAGAAGCGATTAAAGCTGTAAATGACCCAATAAATTAAAAAAATATATGAAGTTTGTTGCACATGTTATATAGTAAGGCTATTTTCTATATGTACATTTTATTTGTTTATACTATTTCTAGTATAAAGTATAACATTTATTAGATTATCTTGAATCATTGAGTTCGCGTGGTATTGTATTGTGGAGCAATTTATAATTACTAAAAATTAGTCTATCAGTTATTTCGTAGTATAAATCTGATTTTTTTTATTGTAATAGTGAAATGTATTATATAACTATTGTAAAAAGCTTTGCTCTATTAAATATTGAGTATAAAACCTTTATTCCAAATATATCATAAAATCAGTAATCAGATACTTCTTATTTCTAACACTACTTTTTGTCAGCAAAAGCATATTAAATAATATACATATTTTCATAATATAATAAGGATCATATAAATCCCCGGTAGAGTCGCTTTAATCAATAAAACAAAAATACAAACATAGACAAAGTGTGTTTAAAAATATAAAGACAACTCATAAGACATAATTATAAGCATCTCAATTATAAGTCCCCTGAAATAATCAAGTAACGGGGAAGGCACGAAATTGGGGCAAGTGAAAAAGTTGATGCAGTCCTGAACGTGAATTTATTTTACGCTTTTCCTTCGTTGGTTATTTGAAAAGTTTCAAATCAGATAAAAAGAAGTGTCAACTTGGCCTGTCTACGAGCTTCCTTATATTTTTAGCTTATAGTTTGTCGTGAATACAAAAATTACTTAATATTTAAATGCCATTTAAGTTATAAAATATTCTTTTATCATTAAAAGTTTTCACTGATTAAACTAAAAGAAAAACATCCTAAAATTGTTCTTTCGGCTCTTAAGGTATTATTCTGTTACAATTTTACTATAATACTAGCGACTCACGCTCGCTCCGCTCGGGTTCGTCGTCGGTACGTTCGTCGGTCGCTTAGTATAGATTTCTCAGAGATAAGATATTTTTCCGCAGTAAAAAATATCCTATATGTTAACCCGGGTAACTTTTTAAACGGTAAAAAACTAAAAAGTTTACCTTTTGAAACCTTCCGCAAATATATTTTTTTAATGGTTATCCCATGAAAATGATGCTATTTCTAGTATAGTGTATTCCTTTTACAGCTATATTAATTTTTTGAAAATAATTAGGAAGGTATCCTAAACGTTGACCCGAGTAATAAGTTATCGCTACACAAAATTTAGTCAAAATCAGTTTAGTACACGGTGTAGTACTTTTTGCGTGAAACGCGCACATAGATTTCGCTAAGATACTGTTTTTCCATATCCATACAGATAAATAAAATTGAAGTGTCTGTTCGTATTGTCAAAATAACGGCGCATTACTAAATGCATATGATAATTATTTCGTTTCGATTTGAAATCTTTAAAAATTATCGTCATAATTGTTTAATGTTTCTATATATAGATATTATACAAAAAACCTTAAGAACCATACACTTAAACCTTCCTCATGAATTACTGCGTCCATTGATGAAAACCGTATGAAATTCCGTTCGGTAGTTGTTGGAGTTTATTGTGTTCAGACAGACAGATTGACAGACTCATTGTGTGACTTTGTTTTCTAATATGTATATATAAATCCAGTCTTAGTCTGGCCTTTGACAGTGCAAATAAAAGGACAAACAAAGCATCTAAAATTATATTGCATAATATTCTATTCAGTCCTTTTTTAACGTCTCACTGCTGGGCACGGGCAGCAAATTGAAGGGATTCAATGCGAGGAGGATCAGGCTATAGTTCACCACGCTGGCCAAGTACGGGTTGGCGAACTTCACATATCTTTCGAAAACTTGCTAGGTTCTCTCAGACATGCAGGTTTCTTTACGATATTTTTTTTTCACCGTAAGACAAGTAGTAGTAATCATGTTGGAAATGATTCATACATGAAAATATCAGAGACGCGAGACCCGGGAGTTGAATCCACATCATTTGGGTTACCAAGCGAGCACGTTAGCACTGGGCTACCATGTCTTTATATTGCACTAGCGACTCACCATCGCTTCGCTTCGGGCTCGTTCCTAGACAAGCGGGAACCGTACTTTTTCCGGGATAAAAAATAACCTATGTGCTATCTATCCCAGACTATAATCTAACTCTGTGTCTGTAATCCAGATCTGTTCAGCCATTCTGGCGTGAAAGAGTAACAAACATCCATTCATCTATCCTCACAAACTTTCGCATTTATAATATTAATAGCAAAACACGCGGCTTTGCTCGCGCTTAAACTACAAAAAAATCTCTAAAAGGTAGGTAGTACCTAGATTTCATACAAACTTTCATCCAATATTTTACTCCCTTATAGGATGAAATTCGAAAAATGCTAAAACACCTATTTATTTATTTGTATTGAAGAGCATTAATACCAAGTTTCAAGTAATTCTGATCAGACATAAATTTTTGGATTGTATTATAACGTGTTTTCCCGTTGGAATGAGGTAATCTCCCGCTATAAAAAGCCTATGTCACTCTCCAGCTCTCTAACTATCTTCACACCAAAAATCACGCCAATCCATCACTCCATTTTGACATTAAAGAAAGACAAACAAACAAACAAACACGCTGTCACATTTATAATATTGGTATGGAAGTATGGATAATAATATACATTTAATTACCTGTTCATGGAAACTCATTATAAATAGAATTATCTGTTCAGATTATAGTATCAAAACATTATTCTTAGAGAATATTAAATCTGTTTTAGCGTAATTTGAATAGAAAATGTAAGCTAATTTTCCTTCTTTGAATTCCACGTGCAGAGCTTTTAACTACGACCTGGTAGTTTGATTAACCTTTCATACGATATTATTTGAAGCGCAAATATAAATCCTAATCTGATTTATTTTAAGTACAAGGCTTAAATAAATATTATTGCCATTAAATATATATTACATATTATGTACAAAATAACATAATAACAAAAAGCTAACTTTAATCGAAATAATTAAAAAATTGAAAATATTTTTGGATTACTAAATAAATTTATCGTATGTTTGTGTCTAAAGAGGTAATAGAATAAATAAGTTAAATGAAGCCCTGGATACAAATGTATTTTGGAAAACATTTCTAGTTAAGGTAACAGCGATTTAAATCAAATTGAAATAGGGATGCTATATAATTAGCGTTCTCGATAAATATAAAGGAGCTCTTTTGTTATTGTGTATTATAAAATCATGTCACAAATTTTATCGATTCGGGCTGTGATTCTATTCAACTCGGGTAACTGGGCTAAAACTCGTTAAGCGAATTCAATGAACCGTATACAAACGTATTGAAGGTTAAATATGATATTTATGAAAACGATAAATCGACTGGATATATCCAAGTTCAATTAATATGATTCTTATATTTTGTTATATTATCTTGTCCTTATCCGTATTAGATATAAACAAATATACTATATTATCCACTTATTTTTCTAAACAGTAAACATACATATATAATACAATATATAACCTGTAGCCTACTAAGGCTATTTATCCGGTGTTTCCCTGAGAGCAGAAGATAAAAGAGTTAGGAGCTTTATAGGTCATTTATATAAATTTGGGCTCCGATATTTACATGAAAAGTGTCTGTGGCAGAAAGAGTCGCGGGCCGAATTGCCGAACAAACAAAATACTGTTCATGCAATTTACCCTGGATTTTGTTTGTTGTTAATAATAATAAAAGTTACATTAATAAATACATATTATATTTGTGACCTACTGCTTTATTGCTACAAAGGAATATTTCTAAAACTTCGTTAGTGAATTATTGGTTACATCTACAATTTTTTGTTTGAATTATTTCTAGATCTACTGACGATTTTAGATACCTTCACCTGCATTGCAAGCGTAGTATTATAATATTTTATCTTTCTTCTGGGTATGGTATCTCTATGGGTATATTATTTACATATGTAGTTTCTTTTTAATTATTTTTATTTGAAAACCAACGCATTCCAATGAAATGTGGATTTACTGTCTAGTTAGATATTCATGTAACATATCACGAGCGCGTCTACCCTAGAATTGTTGAGCGTGCACGATGGTGCTTGTAGTTGGCGTAATCTTTATTCTAATTCACAGGGCAATTAAAATAATAACAATATCGACATGATAAATTAGAAAATGTGCACATTTCCAAAAATTGTATTCATGTAAAAATGTTACCAGAGTTCAATATTATTATTTCTATAGAAAAAACGTGTGTGTGTACTTAGTTATACTTCTTTTGGTGTAACAGAACAAAAATAGGTAAAGATTTCATCCCGTATGTCACAACTCTCTGTGTGTAAAAGGAATGCAGCTAACTTCATCATGTCGCTTTCAGCTAACTTCAATATGACGCTTATTGTGTTATTGTGTGCGCGCACATCGTGAAAATTTTACTCTTATAATTTTTTCCAAACGTGTCAAAAAGAAGTATAACTTTAAAAATAATTTTTGACCATAATATTTCCAATTAGCAACTCACCCTCGCTTCGCTCGGGTTCGTCCCTAGGTTATTTTAATTTTTTTGAGCGGAACCCTATTTCTTTTACTGAAATAAAAGTAGCCTAAATTACTCCTTATAACATTGCCAGTAAAAGTCCAGTCAAAATCGGCCTAGCCGTTTCGAAGATTAGCCGGAAAAAACAGAAGGATTCTTTTTTTCAAAAATTGGTATTTTTTTTATAAATACCGTATATAGGTACTCGTAATTCCATATGCATTGAATATATTAAAAAGCTGTTATTTGACATTACAAACAAATACTTCAATTTTATTTGTCTGTATAGATAAGATGAACTGATAACTATGAGTAAGATATGCTTATAACATGGTGTTGCTGTCATCTAAAATGACAAGCTTTCGGTGTGTTCAGAGTTGCAGTAACAATAAGCTTACGCGAATTAGAAGAGCGCTCGGGTTCGACTAACCCTCTCACGGTCGTTTACATACATAAAAGATATACCGAACATGTATTTTATATGACTACACTTTAGTTGTTTGCTAGTAGTAACAACAAATAAAATTAAGGGTAAGCATATTAAGCACTTATCTCCGGAAAAAAAAACTTATTAAATTATTATTATTGATTTGTGGGGTCATAAATACTACAAGTACATACTACTAATATAATCTTCTTCTTTTTCTTGAAGTGCCTCTATGACTAGCGAAGGTTGGCAGTCAGCTTCGAATACTTCATTTTATTCTTTGCGAGGCGAAAGAGCTCGACAGCACTCGCGATTCCCGTCCATTCTCGAATGTTGCACAGCCAAGACTTTTTTCTGCGACCAACGGCTCTCTGGTTGCAAGAGTTCATATCTTTTATGCCTAAACACGTGTCCGAGATATGCAACTTTTCTTTTCTTAACAGTCTCCAAAAGTTGCCGTTTCTGGTTGACGCGTCGTATAACTCCTACGTTCGAGACCTTTTAAGTCCAACTAATGGCCAACGTACGTCTGTATGCCCACATCTCAAAAGATTCTATACGTTTCTTGAGGTCTTCTTTAATTGTCCACGCCTCGCATCCGTGAAGAAGTATAGGCCAGATGTAGGAGTCGTATACGCACAGAGATCTTAAGTCTGCGATTGCAGAGTACTTATTTAAACGCGTAGAAGGCACTTTGAGCTATTTCTATGCGAATATTTACCTCCTGTTCAAAGCATCAGATGTTAAGCCATGTCCCTAGATATTTGTATTTGCGTACCCTCTCAATTTTTTGGCCCGCTACAATGATAGCAATGTCATCGAAGCTATGTTTTGATAAAACCATGATCTTCGTTTTTGATGTGTTTATCCGCTGACCAGCGATCTCACTGCACTCATTAACACGGGTCATAATCAACTGTAAACCTTCAGGTGATGATGCTCTTAGGACTGTATCATCAGCGTATCTGATGTTGTTAATATACCGGCCATTTATTTTGACTTTACAGTCTAGGTCTTCAATTGCTTTTGCTATAATATAATCTAATATAAGTAATATAAGAAAACTTTAAAGTTTTCTTTAATTAATTATTATTTGATTATATTGATACTCCATTACGTTTTACAGAAAGAAGATAAGCGCGAAAAATCACAATGCCCTTTATTCGACATCGTGTTGTGTGTGGAATTTTCGTTTCCATCTATTCAGACAGGTTATTGGCTGTAAATTCTTCACTTTATTGCTTTTCAGCACAGCTTTATTATGCTGCTTATTGACGTTTGATTTCCGTACTAAAATAGAAGAATATTATTTTTACAACATCGATTTTATTAATCGAGTCCTGAAATACTATCTTACTCGAGTTTCCTAATAATAGGTAGGCAATAATAAACTACTGTTTTTATATTAACATAGAAAGTATCTAAATGACTTATAAAATATATACTAATAATACTTAAAAAAAATGGTTTTGCTTAAAAAAATATGAGAGAGAATTTTGTGATTGATTTGAACTGTTATTTTATAACTAAGTTCTACGAGTAATTCTTACAATATTTTTTTCTATATAATTGTATGTTTGAATAAATCATACAAATTGAGTTAGGAGTTTAGATGCTAGAGTGGGTTTTGGTAAATTATGAGTTAAGCGAGTTAATGTTGAGTTGAGTTGAAACTAGCAGAACCCGCGGCTTCGCTCACGCTAAAAATACAAACATTCTAAAAAAGTAGGTTCCATACAAACTTTCATCACATATTTTATATATATATTTCATCATATGGAATCGAAATTGACCCAATAAGGGATGAATTTCGAAAAGTGCTGAAACATGTATTTATTTAATTGTACTGAAGAGTATTAATACCAAGTTTCAAGTAATTACGACCATAAATATTTTTTTCGGTTGTATTATAACGTGTTTTATTATAGGAATGAGATAATCTTCGGTAATAAAAAGCAGCCTATGGTACTCTCCAGCCCATCAACTATCTCCACACAAAAAACCACGCCAATCCGTCACTCTGTTTCGACGTGAAAGAAGGACAGACAAACAAACAAACATACAAACATACTTTCACATTTATAATATTAGTATGGATTTGAACATAAGATATTATTATTTTTAGTACATGTTCCGTCGAATCGTTTTATTTATAACAGTACCTTTAAGTGACGTAAGGGCAAAACAAAGTTTAGTTGGCCAGACCACTGCCACGTCATACAACAGAGACGGGTTCAAATGCTACGTGTAAGTAAAAAAAATAGATATTTTGAAACTAAGTGCTTGCTATACATTATTAAGAAAAATGTAATATAAGCTTATAAATTGCTATACTTTTCAATACTTACATGTAAATTTTCAAATCGGTGCGTCTCGCACACCGCACGTATTGGACCAGGGCAGTTTTCAACACATTGGTGCCAACAGTCGTCATCATCCTCTTCCATGTCATCGTTGGTAGTACCTGCTCCTCCCGCCTGATCAGTGCGTGGATCTAAATAACAAAAATTATTAATTATAGCTTAAATAACTTTGAAATTATATACGTATAATATTTATGTACTAAAATTCCGTGGAATAACAGTTAGACGTAGATGTAAGACAGAAAAGAATATAAATTCTTTTTTACATATAAATAAATAATAATAAGAAAGTGTATCAAGGCATTATGAAATAAAATCGATAGAAATGAGGAGGAGGAAATAAGTCAAGCGAAACGATGTAAATGTGATTAAGTTTGAAAATTCGACCTTGAAGGTGTATTCAATCAAATTCATTTTCTAAATATAATATGTTTATGTTCATAATATGTTTTGAAGTATTGAGTACCACCAAATAATAGTTATATTATTAACTAGCATTGCCCGCGGCTTCACCCGCGTTCAGATGACCAAAAACCAAAATCTTAGCTTTTACAGATTAGTATACTCTTACATTGCAGTTTTATCTCAGAAAAGAGATATTTTCCCGCGGTAAAAAGTATCCTATATGTTGACCCAGATAACCAGCTATCACCATACCAAATAAAATCAAAATCCCTCTAGTGGTTTTCCTGTGATTCGGTAACAGACATACAGACAAAAATTCTATAATATATGTATAGCTCCAGCTATACTAATATAAGGCGCAGTAGCCAAATGCTGAGAATACCCTGGACCGCATTCAGGACTAACATCTCCATCCTCAAAGAACTCGGCATTAAGCAGCGTCTCTCCTCTATAGTTCAGGCTCGTATCTTGACCTACTTCGGTCACGTATCTAGACGCAATAATGTGGCCATAGAACGATTAGTGATGAAAGGAAGGGTAGAGGCACAGACAATACAACCTAGGTTGTATTGTCTGTATGTGGGTAGAGGGCACCAGAGCACGTGGTAGATAGTGAGAAAAAAATGTGAGAGAAAAATGTTCATTTTTTTTGTGGTGGACCATCCTTATCACTTAGGGGTATGAAAGATAGTTTACGTCCTGTTCTCACACAGAAAAGGTTGTATTGTCTAGACAGACGTTCTCAGATCTACTCAGGTCAAGCCGTTTCGGAGGAGTTTTGTTATAAACACTGTGACACGAGAATTTCATATATTAGAGAATATTTATTTATTTATTTATTTATTTATTTATTTATTTATTTATTTATTTATTTATTTATTTTAGGGAAACAAACAGTACGATATTACATACATAATTAATAATAATAGATGACACATAAACCAATGAAGTTTCCACAAATTAAACAATACACTTAAGAAGCAGACCATAATGAAAAAGAAAAACAAAAAGCTAAACAATAAACTAAAAAATTACAAAATGAAACACTGCTTGACATGAATAATAAAAAAAAATAAAAAAATAAGGAAAAATAAAAAATACATAAAATACAAAATCAACAATTAAACAATAGGTTATTAATACTATATTTGAATCTTAAAAGTGAATTTGAAAATATGTCTATACTTGTAAATTTTTTATTATACTCATTACATGAGCGAATTATAAAGGTATTTCGAGCATATTTCGTTCTAGTACATGGCAGGTCAAAAATATCGTGGTTACGCTTACTAAATTTTGGAACCTTAAAATTCAAACAGCTTAATAAGAAAGAAATATATTTATAATAATAATGTATACTGTAAAAGTTTAATTAAAAATGGTTCAGCAACTAAAAGATTAATAATAAATTAAATGGGAATTATAGCCTACTCTTTATTTACGAAAAGGGAAACGATTCCTTAGAAAAGAGAGAATCTTATCCATTGAGTACAAATCAATTGAATAATATTAACTTTTCCGGAAATAAAATGTTCATACATATTATCAACATTAATGACGACGACGACTCAAATATATTTTATACATTACATATTATAGTACCTAGATATCATGACACATAAAATATTTTTGAGACGATTCAAACTTTGCATGATACTGAAATATTCTATAGGTATTCGACCTACAATCGAATGCCCCTCACATTTTATAGCGACACGTTCATTTGTTCCGTCAGTCAATGTAAAAAGAATGTCAAAAGAAGTTTCGATATGTGTCGAATATGTTGGCACGAATTTTCTCAGAAATATTTTAAGAAAAATATTCGACATTTTGAATTCTATTACTCTTTAGAAAAACAAAAATGTAAAAAAAAACGAATTTACAATTCAATTATATATAATATAGTCCTACAAAGACGTATACAAAGTACTCGAAGACGGTCAGGTTAAGTTTGTTGACTTCCAGACGAGCGTGGTACACGGGAATGCTTTCCACTTACAAATAGTTCAAGTATGCCTAAAAGCTTAATAAATACTTAAAGTTGTAAATAATATTTAACTTTGAATTTATAAGAAAGTTATTTGATAGATCTTACGCAACCCAATTTATAATATGACATTATCCCAAAAATATGCAACCCTAACTTGGTCAATAACTTTATAAGGTATTTTAATGCAGACTCCTGACATTAAATTAGGAAAACGAGGCTTCTACCTGTTACTCGGTTGCAGACGAAATAAAACAAGACTATAAAATGGTTTATTTGGTTCTTAACTGAGTGATGATCAGGGCATGAGGGTACGGAGTTTACGATAGTTTGAGGTGGGCGTGTTGGTAGGTTTTAGTATCCAAGTAGTTAGGTAAATATGTTCCTCAACTATCATATGAAGCTTATTATGTTTTTTATTTTATTTAAATTAACCAATTAAATAGGCGTGAAATATTCCTAAATTAATGAAAAAAAGTACAATTTTAATAGAGAAAGGTAGATTATTTTGTGTAAAAAGGAAATTTATTTATTTATAACAAATTAATGTATGAGTAGACACTATAGGATTATGAATGGAATTATATATGTACTAAAATTAACAAAGGGTGGAATTGTATATGGGGTCACTAAGGGGCTTACGCTTTATCTTATGCGTACTTGTTCTTTTGTGGTCCATGACTTTTTTGTATACATGTAAATTGTTCATAATACTGATTTTTCAAATCCATTGTTGTCTATAGCTTACTAATTTAATTAATTAAATTTCTTGCTAAACATTTTATATTACCATCTAAAATATTAAGGACCAGCTGTACCTGCGACTTTTATTACGTTGATGTCAAAAAAACAAAAATGTGTTGCGTAGAAAGGTGTAAAGCAAGTACCTCAATTATCGAAAAGGAAGAGCCCTTAGAGCTGGTGTTTTTTTTTTCTAGTGAGAAGCGCAGCTCATTTCCTTTAGGAAAATGTTTCTAATACTATATTCCTTCGTCAACTTGTTTTCATCTTTTTAGTTAGCTTTTATGCAGTCGGCTTTTTTATTTTTATAATATATTTTTTTATTTACAGCTTTTTAGATTTTGCCAACTATTTGAACTAATATTTAGCAATTTTTATTCTAAATTACTTTTAAACATATAAGTTGTATATATCCTACTCGATTGGTTTGGAAGAAATTTTTTCCATCATTTTCCAAACACGAAAAATCAGGAGAGGAATAGACATTCATAGTAATATAAACTAATAAAACTTACATTCAAATAATTTTAATTCATTAAAAAATAGATACTACAATCGCTGTAATTTAGTCGTAGAAAGTATTATATTTAGCAATGGGCCTATTCACATCTCACAATGAAAAGTACTTGACTTCTGTAGTCTTTTTCTCGAATGCGGAGGCAGCAGTTAGTATTTTACAAGGACTATTGACTTACTGCAGTTTCAACCCCTAGTTCACCCCTTTCAAATTTTATTTTCCTGACAAAATGTACAACTACAGACACACTTACTTTCGCATTTAATATATATATATATATATATATATATATATATATATATATATATATATATATATATATATATAATATGCGTCTCGTAAACGGCTCCAACGATTTTTATAAAATTAAGCGTATAGCGGGTTTCGGGGGCGATAAATCGATCTAGATTAGTCTTATGTCTGAGAAAACGCGTGTTATCGAGTTTTCATGCAGTTTTCTTTTGTATTATTCCACGCAAAATATGGTGGTTAACCGGCCAAGGTGCAAGATCAACAATCAAAGGTGTCTAGTTTCGTTTCGTCGTGTTTCGAGTTCGAATCTCGGTCGCTTACAAAGTTTTTACTTTTGTTTTTTTTATATTTATTCAATTTTTTAGTTTAAAAAAAAAGAAAATTGTACTTTAGGCCAAAAACTCCGAGCCAAGCTCGGTAGCCCAGGTACTCGTATTTATGTAGGTTAAATACTTTAGTTAAGTGCTAACCGTTAAGGTCGAATCTTTTTTTATGGGTTCGTTCACAATTATAAAGTTATAAAGAAAAAGAAAAAAAATATGATTTTTACGCTTTTCCGTTAAATTTTTGCAATTTTTCTCTTCGTTAGAACCTTCGTAGGACTTCAACGAATATTTGAAAACAAAATTGCTGAATCGGTCTATTCGTTCTCGAGTTACTTAGCAACACATTTAGATATTCATTTTTTAATAAGATTAATTATTAGCTTATATAATATATTTTTAGCATACATATATTCGTGCATCCTCCACTCATCATAACATGTTAGGTATAGATATATTTAGATATATATTGGTATATTTAAAATATTATTTGCTTATTTAAGACTCTACTATGATATAATTAAACTCGGTAGCTATTTCATTGATAAGCGTATTTGTAATCATTTATAAATTCACCGTTATATCTCCCAATATCTTCGAACCATACCGCCTTACCGTTGTTCCCAATAAACTACAACAAAACTTTATACTTCCGTATTCCTTATGGCAACCTATGGAAAATCATTTATGTACATTGTACATGGAAGCTGAATGCCCAAAGCTCAGTTATTACCTACTCTGTGAAGAAAACATTAATTTCCAGCCACGAGAACATTCTGATTGAATCGAAAATCGTCATTAACCAATCTTTGGATATATCGTGCTTTTTAAATTTGCATCAACATTTAAAATTCATTCCATCAATACTTGTTAAAAGTCCTCATATAGTTGCTGGTCCAGGGGTGT